TAAAATAGATCCCGACGTCTTCCGCTATCCTGGCGGGTTCTCGTCTGTTTATCTATTCCGGGCTGCATATCTAAACGGAAAATAACGGGTCGGCCCAAGGTGCATGTGCACGGACGGCGCAGGTAGATAGAGACACACACGCGCGCGCGCGTATTATATAGCCGAGGATTTTGTGTGTGAGGCAGCCGGAATAACAAAATGCTCTCTGTTCCGAGAGTGCGGCGGCCAAGGCGACTCGCACCGCACGGCAAAAGAATATTAATCCGTCTCTATTGTGCGCGACGCAGTGTATATACGGGCACACTTAGCGTATTCAGCCTCAAGCCGATGTTGTTTGCCCACTCGAATCATATACAAGTAGTAGTTCCCGACTTGCATGATTAATGCCTTCCCGAAAGTCGCCCGGGGAGAGGAGTCGACCGCGGGTCAACATGACGAATTTAACGACAAACGCGCGCGTCGTCGTCGTCGTCGCAACAAATAGAATTGGGAAAGATTCCTCACATGGTGTCTTCACTAAATGGGACAGTCTGTTTTTTTTTTTTTTTTTTTTATTTCTCAAGGAAATAACAATCGTCTTTGTACATGTCCGGAGTGCCGAGTACATACGGGACTCCAGATTAACCGGCGATAATGCGTCGTCTCTCTTTAGAGTCGGGAGAGAGAAAGAGGAGAGACTTTCTTTTCGCCACGTCTCGTCTCTCGTCACCGCGCGCGGGTTCGTGACCGTCCCTTTGTACCGACGGGATACTCATCCGCCCTATCTCTCATGAAAGAAGAAAAGGGGGGGGGGAGAGGACGCGCACAGGAGAGCGCGGTCCGAACAAAGAAACGAGACGGGTCCCAAAGTCAAGGGTCACCTCGGACCAATTTCAGCAATGCCGGGCATTTAAATGGAGCCGGAGCCTGACGTAAAATCTTCCTATCTCCTCCTGACGCTCGCATTCCACGAGAGGCACTGATGATCACCCCTCTCTCTCTCTCTCTCTCTCTCGCTCTCTCGGTCTTCATCTTTCTTCTCCTATACGGTATATACGGTACGTGCGCGTGCATGCACGCCAAATGAAAGCGCACTCTATCCTCCTCCACACGGCTCGGCGCTTCTCCGTTCTTGTGTTTCTCCTCCTTCTCCGCGAGTTCTCGCGCTATCGTACGAGTCATCGCACGATCGCGCGCCGTGTGCCACGAAGAAAGGGCGCTTTCACGAACATCAGGAACATACCGTCAAAACGTCCGCGCTTCTCTCGCGTACAAACCCGGTCTGCGCCGGAAAAGTTTAGGTCAAAAGGGGAGCAACGAGAGGTAACGAGAGAGAGAAAGAGAGAGAGAAGCAGGAGGTTTCATAAATTGCGTTTTACAGAGCGACGCTAAAGTGACACGAATTTTAATTGGCCTCCGTTGGAGTCGGCGTGCCGCTGCGCAGCGCGCTGACAAAATTTTTAAATGAACGTCGAATTAATGTTGCAGCAAACAACGTTTGCGAGCGAAGCTACGGCTACGTTACATCTATCTGTTACACTTGGCAATGTTTCAGCGTAAATCAGTACATACTTTTACCATCTTCCCTCTTTCTCTCTCTTGTACGCGAAAGAAAAGAAGATGAGCACGGGATGTTTTTATAAATAATTCCGTTTTACACAGAGTGACGTTGTAAACTCGTACGTTTAAAACGACGCAAATTTTAATTGGCTTCGGTGTGTGTGAGCGCGCGCACTCATTGTGTAGCAGGCACTGCGTAAACGTCCACTGAATTAATGCCCGCGGCGAATAAAATTGCGACAAATAAAGCACTGTCGCGTAATAACGCTTATATTAGATAATATTTTAATGTGGACGTTAATTTGAACATGAGCAATGCGGAACAAGAGAGAAAAGAGAGAGAGAGAGAGTCGTTTTTATTTTATACAGAGAGATATTTTTCAGTTTATACGAAACGCACGCGCGCGCGGTTATTACGTTTGAACTACCGCGCGGCATATTTCCGCGGGATTATGTGTCTGCTAACGTTTGACTTTCTCACTTTTTTGTTACAGGTCCGGCTGAACTTTTTCTCGAACACGAAGGGGGAGAGAACACGAGTGCATCAACAATAGACACACACAGACACACACACACACGTACATTTGAAAAAAAATAAGTTTTTAATATAATTAGAAAAGCGATCCGTTTATTTACAAGTAGCGGTTTAAATATCTTACGTACAGTTTTATATGTACGTAAGAGCGTAAAAGTATACAAAGTTTGAGAAAAAAAATCTTACACGCGTGCACAAATTCTATACCTACTTATATCTAGTTGTGAATGTAATTTATATAAAATCATATACGAAGAGCGAGACGCGATTTTTTATATGATTGAATTTAATCATACCCACGTATAGAATTTGTCCGTGTATAACTTTTTTTTCCCGAGAAAGTTTTTTTTTTTTTTAAATAGAAGAACGTGAGAAGCAAAATATCTCTTCATTCATACACACACACACACATACACACATTTTTGCCTCCCGGCAAAAAACGACATTGTGTTCCAGTTTTATTTATTTGCAAGAAGCAGAGAATTGTTGTCGCGCGCATCTCTCTCCGCGTGACATTGAGAGAAGAGAGGGAAGATCGATAGAGAAGAAATGGAGATGTGCCTGAGAGCGTTACAGGCGGGCCTGACTCTTTGCTCGGCCCGTTACTTTTAATGTTGGGTGAGCAAAGTTTCAGGTGTGTTTGTGGCGTCATTTCGTCACGATTCCACCCTACAACGTGTATACACACACATACACACATAGGGACAGCGTTAGATGTTTCGCTGTATATATATATATATATATTTCGTTTGTGTACACATCTCTTGACAGTACTCTTACGCCTGAAATTTGCTTTTTTTACCTGGCCTCGGCGTTCTCTCACTTTGAGAAAATAAAAGGTGAGCAAAGTTTCAGGTGTGTGAGTGCGTTAAATTCGTCGTACGTCCGTATTTTTTTCTCATCGCACGTGTTACGCGCACGTGATGTACATCGTTTATAAGTTCCGCTTTCATATATTCCACGCCCAAGCGCCTGGTTGCGCCAAAGACGCAATTCGTAATGATTGTTAATTAAAGTTATTGTTAATGTCACAAAAGCCGACGACGGACAGGAGAGAGGCACGCGTTCGCTCATTGGATATAATTTACACAATAACACATCCGTTGTTGGTTAAATTACTCCGAATATTATTATTACAATAGCCACGGGAGATCAACTGAATTAATTAATTTAATTTAATTGTACTTTATTATAGGATATATATGTATACGTACATAATTAGATCTGTGTGTGTGTGTTATATTTATTCCGACATTTTCCGATCAACGCGCGCGCGTGTATGTTATCGGAAACAAATCGCGTGTTTATGCGTCCAAAAATACGAGAATAAGTTTTAAACATAAAATTAAACAACGTTGCGAGATATGTAATAGATTATTTATAAAATAGTATGACATAGGTTTTAATGAAGAACTACGTAAATATATAATTAAAATAAGATTATAAATATTTGCCATCATTCAATTACAGCATTAAACACCAATAAAGTTTTATTTAACGTAGGTATTACACAACATATTTGCACAATATGTTAATACATGCATATGTGAAATATGTGTATTATTATTATAAAATGGTTATTTATTAGTCGATAATACCGATCGTATTCTACAAATTAAATGCCAAATAAGTGAATTAATTAACAGGAGGAAAATTTTGTTTCAATAGAAAACAAAATACTAGCGTTGCTTGTAACGAACGAGCAAAATAACTTTCTAATCAATTTCGTAATCAGGAGATGAGAAAGTGTTGAATTACGTCGTGTAAAATTAAACGAGATAATATCTTGTAATATTTTGTGCGTGTTGTAAAAAAAGAAATTTATATCATTGTTACAACAGCGTATTTTATACACAAGCTCTCATCCCTTCCTCTATATATTGCACTATAGATATATTTATTTAGCACGTTGAGAGAACATTCAGAAATAATTAAATGTTCCCTAAGGAGAGTTCAAATCATTAGTTATATTATATTAAATTGTTGCTATTTTTTTCCTTGCAAATTTTTTTCGTAAAATTTTACTTAGATGAGTATAAAACCGTTTGTGAATTTAACATGTGTGTTAAAAGTTAAAGTCGCATGTTTTCAACCTCCAAGTATTTTTGATATCTTATTTATTTTATTTTGTCTTCTTTGATAATTTTTTTGTGCTGTATATTTATTATTATAAAAGGTCGATCGAGATCGCTTACTTACGTTTTTCTATACTCCGTCACAATGCTCTTTGATCCGTTGATCCTCACACGGTTCACGCAACTGTTGTCGCAGGTGAGTAAAATTCACTATTAATAATACAAAAACGTAGTAAAATATTTATTTGTGAAAATTTTCTTTTATATGTATAAAAATGTTTGTACACTACATCCAAATCTCTTCGCAATTACAAACTAAAACGAATGACTCGATACGCGCGAATACTTCTTCAAAAACGTGTGAAATCATTATCTCTTAATAAAATAACTGACATTTAATATTTTCAGATTGATTCAATCTTTGTTGAATTTGTTCCGATTTTTTTTGCCTTCTTTTTTTTTAAACCTAAGTAATCAATCGCATAACCTCAGCGAGGTTTTGAATTGGTTACTTTAGCAGAGAATAACCTTCATTTTAAACCGTCGATCATGGTTTTGTGTAAAATATATACAAAAAAACGAGATAAAAATATAAAAAAAACTTACCACGTAACGTTTTAATGTACGCGTTTGAAGACAAACAAAAATTATTTTAGGACATTCTCCTCTCAATGATCTTTTCCCTCCGACACACTTCGAGCGATAAGTTCGAGACTGCTGTCGATCAATCGATAATGCAATTCATATCGAAAATGAGCGCAAGTTTGAATATCGATTCAATGAGGTAAATATAAAATAATAACAACTCAAATATTATATATACATATATATATAAATTTGGTATTTTTATATACATTGCCATTTTTATAAAAAATTAGAGCACTTAAAAATATTACTTATATATACAAAATACACTGATTTAGGTCAGTAACACGCAATACTCATTGCATGCAAATTAATATATATACGTATTATTATTTGCGTTGTAAAATTTTTAAGAAATTATAATATGCCGTTTAACTGACTTTATGAATATTAATTAAATAAGCATGTTTTAACCTATCTTAAAGTTAAATACACGTGTATATAAATAAATATATATAAGTTTTCGAGAAGGAAAATGATGAGGATTATATAAACATGTGTGTGTATGTGTATGTGTGTGTGCGCGCGTGTGCGTGTGTGTATGTTCTATACTATTAAAAACAGTTTTTATCTAAAATATTTTTATCGCGTTTCTTTCTATTACATATAGAATTATCTGTTTACAATCTGTGACTTTTCTTCTTGACGGGGAACACATCATACCTTCACGTATTTGTTCGCGTGCAATGCGCAATCTACCTAATAATCGTAGATTAAAAATATCTTCGTAAAACACGTCCAGGTATATTTCTTTATTCAACTTTTTTTCTCTATGGTATATCGCCCCATAGATATCTTAGCAAATCGAGTTCTCTTTCCGTGCCCCAATCCGTCTCGCATCGGTCTCTCCGCTTTCCGCTAAATATTACTACAGCTTTTTCGATGTATATATATTTTTGGACATCGCTGTAAATAATTAAATTAATTTGTTATTGTTCTTTTATTTGTGTGAAAAATGGCTTAAAATTAATATATTATTATTTCGTTATTATGTGAAAACAATGATGATGTATTATGTCAACAAATTGAAGACATAAGTATAAAAATAGTCGACGACTTTGCAAAGTCTCTTTGAGAGATAAATTTTTCTCTGACACCAAAAAAGAATATTCAGCTTTTTGCACGATAGCGGTTGGCGGAAGATAATGGAGAAGCCAAATATGTGATTAAAACATAAAAAACCATTTTGATTAAAATATACACACACACACATATATACGTATATCGTGTGCATTATAAAAAAAGCAAAACAAAGCGATTGCCTCAGCTTTTTCACACAACTAATAAGAAAGGCGATGACGATAGCGACGACACAATGACATGTATATACTCACTTCTTCCGTTGATCTCACAGTTAGGCTGAACATTGACAACGTTTTTTCTAACTAGGGTGACGAACCAGACGAACTAGATTCTTTCTTGAAGAAGAAATCCGACACCGCTTGTATGATGCTCCTTCTTCTGTCCAGATCCTTGGACTTTTTTCTGTCCTTAATTCTCGCCACGTTGTCGTTATTCAAATAACTCGCGGCGTTCGACAATTCGTCCATCGATTTTGCATTAACAGCCAGTAGCATCTCGTAATTAGGCTTTTTCGCGATGTTCTTCATATTGTCGGTGCTCTTGCTGGTTTGCAACCTCAACTCGGAATTGTCCATCTTGGCGTAAGGTCTGACTCGTCCGGTTTCCGAGGTATCCTGTATCGAGAGTCGTCTTCGAATCGCCATCAGTCTTAGCTCCTTGAGTTTGTCTTCCGTGCTTAAAGCTAAATCCTCGTCGCTCTTTATTCTGATCTTGTCTCTGACGTCTTGCTTAGTCCTCTCGCTAATTATCTTCGCTTCTTCGTTCTTCAGTTTTAGAGGCGCCAGTTCTTTCCTCAAGACACTTTCCGTATTGGTGATGATCAACTTGTCGTCTGTCATCTGTATCCGGGACAAATGATCGAGCTTGTTCGAAATGTTTTCCTTAGATTCTGTCTGATCGCATTGCTCGCGACGCGAGAACGGAGAAACATTTTGCGATTTACTCGTTTCGTCGGAAACCGTACGATCGGGACTGCTCGTTGGCAATACAACGGAAGTAGGCACGAACACGCTATCGTTAGAAGCAACATTAGACGATAATTTTAACGGCGATTGCGTCGCACTGAAGGGTGAATTTCTGGCGGCTCTTCGGGCTTTTTTCTCGGCCGATTTTTGTTTGTACGCTTCAAGCTTGTCCATCAGAAGATCTTCAATAACATTCTTCTGTTTCGATCGCTCTTTGGTGATCTCCTCGAGTTTTCTGGAGGTTGCCGGCGAATTGGCGTGATTATCGTTCGCGCTCACATCCGCAACGCGCGCAACTTGCGTCGCAATTTTCTTTGGTCTCGATTTTCTCACGTCGATGGAATCTTTCACGTTGCTGAAGTCGATTCGGGACTCCAGTCCCTTTTTGTATTCCAGATAATCGGCCTCGTTGTAGCAGTTGTCATCCGCTTCAGATGGATTATCTCGGTTTTCCGTTACTTCCGCAGTAACTGCCGATCTCGGAGGACTAACTGGACTTGCAAGCACCGTAACTTCGCTTATGGTCGTGTCTTCCGGTTCCGTTACCAGCAGACTGTCTTCTTCCAACGATTGAAGCAGTTTCGTATTGAAAGCTTCCGCTAATTGTTCCGGTTCCGCGTTTCTCTCGAGTTCCTCTTGGGTTTGTTCTTTGGTTTCTGGTTTGCCGACAGGTTTATGTTGCTTGCTCAAAACATCCTCCATAGTTACGGGATTAATTTTGATCACATTTACGTCCTTAAATCTTCCTTCTTCGTCTTCTTCCTCTTCCTCTTCCTCTTCTTCGCCGGAATCGTTTTCCAACCTCGCTATTGGTGCGTCAGTGCTTGCTACATTGTGCGATATATTCGTTAAACTTGGAATATAGAGAGGCGGTCTGTCGTTCACAAATTCGGTGTAGCTTCGGGTTTTCAACAAGGTAAAGTTGGAGGCGTCCTGGAGACTATCGTCCAGTAACGATTCGTTGTCCGTGTCCATGTAGTTAATGTCTTCATTGTTGATCAGTAGTTTCGATATGCTGTTGTTCGGATATTTTTGATCGAGTATACGATTGAGCTTGAAATAGTTGAGATCCGTGTTGTTTTCCACTTTGGCAGTTTTGGCAGAGGCAGCAGAAGATACTTTCGCTTTGTTTCTACGTATAGTGATATTACCGATATCGATGCCGTCGTCGCAGAGATCGGTGGAAACCAAACCTTCCTCGTCCCGAGCCCAATCGGAAAATTCCGTTTCGGTGAACGCCGCGGTGGTGACGTCGTTTTCTTCGGAATCATCGTGCTCGTCGGATATCGGAAGCGAGTGCTCGGAAGTTGGACTGTTGCAGTTGTTGCTGTTGTCTCGCAGATTCAACCGTTCCACATTGTTATTTATAGCTTCGACAGCGTGCGCGTTGCCCAATGACGGATCGTTCAGAACGCATTGTCTGTCTAATCGACGATCGCGCAGAAATGATACTTCAATAGAATCCGGTTCGAAGGTTTGATCGTTGTCGGGATCGTAATACTTGTATCTGTCGCATCCCTCGTCCAGTACGAGATCGCCATCGGTGCTGTGAATTTGCAATCTCGGCAAAGGATGATTCACAGCTACGTGACGATCGTCGTTCTCGACCGCTTCTTTGAAATCGGAAGAAGACAAGGAGTCGGTATCTATGTCGGAGTCGCTCAGACTGACATTTTTGTCCTCCTCTTTTTTCTTGTCCCAATCTACTTGCGGAACGACGATAGACGTCTCGTGGAAAGGGCTGTACGACCTGTTGCTCTCTTTAGCGTTGTTCAAAATGATGTTTTCCGCATTTTGAGAGTTGACTTTCGCGCCGTTATTCGACACATTGCCAGTTTGATGATTAATCATCAGTCGTTTGTCCATTTCTTCCCTGTCGTTCAGCGAAGACTTGTCGCATATGTTGGGCGCCGTTTTCGACTTCATGATACTGGACTCTTTCACTAAATCAGGTAACTGTTGCGACTTGAACATTTCTCTCAGGGTCGTCGGTTTGTGAGTAACGTCGCGCGACGGATTTCGACGGTCGTCCGACATTTGCTGCGAAAATAAGGTTGTAGGCGAGATCGGGGAAAGCGGCGTATTGTTAGTCCGTAGTTTGCCAGTACCTTGAAAAAAATCGCACACAAACACACGTGTATTATTGACTGTGACATTAATGAAGGACAGGTAGATAAAATGTAACACTGTGGAATATATTTATCATGTACAAACAAAAAAATGTACTCAATACACATAAGCTATTTACGAATTACTCGTCGCAGATCGCACATATATTTTTAGCAGTTTCAATGCCATGTATTTAGGGACGTGGGAAACACACGAGCGGAGCGCTGCTATTGTAAACAAGGGCGGGTGGACGATTAGCGATGCAAGGAAAAGGTACAGCCACGTATTTGACTAATCGGAAATAAAATCTAGAAGTTAGTTATTTTTTAAATAAAGTTTCAATGCAGAATTTAATTTTTTTTTTTTGTTTTCATAAAATCTTGGATGCGGTAATAAAACAACACGATCAATGAGAGTGATTACGATGCCGTTTTCATCAAATACACACGGGATTTTGAGAAAGAAAATTTAAATACTTACCGGCGAACGTTTTTACGAAAACCGATCCAATAAAATTAAATCGTCGAAAAATTCAAAAAAAAAAAGTTCGATTCTCTAATCATTCGTAAGTGAATTATGTTTACGGAAGAAGTTAAGAAAGAATCAAAGTCGTATTTTTCATAATTCACAACTCCTCGGGATCTCTCCCATATCTCAACTTCCTCCTTTATCCTCACTTTGTGGAAAATCCATCACCGTAGCTAATCGTGCGGATAGGAATAGAAGCACGAAAAGAGAAGTTGATAAGTGGGGAAAAGCAAGTTCTCGAGATATGAGAGGTTCTTGAGAAACGAGAGGAGGTTGAATTATGAGAAGACTGCAGGTATCAAACTCGTCAACTGGTGCAGCCGGAGCGGTTAAAACCGGAAGGCGAAGTCGAAACAAAGCGAGGAACTGATAAAACACGATCGATCTTACGCGCAATCTCGCGCTTGCATCAAATTGACTTCGCGACTAGTTTGAGTGAGTAAATTACAACGATCTATTGTTGCGTTTACGAGGACTTTTCGAAAAGTTCTTGAACTTTTGTGAAATAGCGTGCGAATGCGATGTGTCGCGCGCGTAGTGATTTTCAATAAACGGCACTGCCATATTGATGATAATTATTGCGTGTAACCTCTCTACTTGTCGCGCTAATCTATTGTAATTTGTAGTTACGTGCTGTTTGTTTAGTGCAAAATATCTTTTGCGATTTTCGAAAATTTGTGGCGAGATCTACGTTCTCGTTACGGAAAGATCGTCTGCCAAGACTGTTTTTTTTTTTTTTTTTAAGAACAGCAATGAATCAGCGATTTAGAAAGCGCGGTTTAACAGAGAAAAGATGTCTACTTAAAAAAAGACACCGCTAGCTAGATAGGAGGTAAGTCTAAGACCGCGATTCACTCGATTTTATATTTAAAACGATCTTGAGGTGTTCTTAGGATTAAATATGTAAAACCGGAACACTTTTCTTACAGATCTCATGTATGTAAGAAATACTTCGTTAGAGACTTAGTAGTTCTGCCACAGCGTGAAAGTGTTATTTCTTTGCCAGAAACACAGCAAGCAAGTTTTTTTTTGTTTCGTAATAAAAGAGTTTTGACAATATTATTATTTTTTAATATATTATCAATTACATACTTAGGTTTTTTTTATATTGACTTTTCACACTTTATATTGTTTTTTTATAAATTATATATATGTTCTTTTGTAGAAGACAACTATATATTGTATACTTCAAATAGAATTTCGATATAATTTTAACTTTCGATTGTTTTTATACTTATGAAGTACTTTGTATAAATTAGTATGAAGGCACAGAGAAAGTATAAATGACATTGCACAGCGCATATTTACCTAAATCTACCAAATAATCTGTTATACTTTATTCCAGCTTTTAAAAATTAGTCTTGTAATAAAAACTTGAAGATCCTACCTTGGAGAAAAGCTACCATATTAGGACTAGGTTCAGGCGCCGGATTCAGTAACTTCTGATGTTGAGAAATGGCATCGGTGAAGTTTCTCAACTTTGTGTCCACATTTGACGCCGAGTCTGACTTTACAATCGAACCACCCAAGGCTGATCCGTCCAGCAGGTAGCGTTTCTTCAACTCCAAAGAGAGTTTCGAGGCGAGTCCTCCGGTGGAGTGAGTACGATTTAGAAGATAATCTCCCTTTCGTGGATTCACCAATGGTATATTGATATTTGCGTCGACAGAACCCGAGACAACGCAGTTCTCATCTTTGTTCGGTTCGCGTTTGACATCTTCCAGCAACTGTTTGCTGTCTATCTCTTGTTTCTTCTGGTTCAAGTTGTTCTTGTCCAAAGAGATTACCTTACTCTTTATTTGAACTTTCTTAGGTTCCACGTAAGAACCTCTTGTTTTACGCACGTACAAATCGTTGATAGTGATTTCGGGAACTTCGTGCTGCGTCGGGGTCACTTCATCGTGTTCGAATTCCGAATCGGTCGAAATTTCTGTTGCCGAACTTTTCCTATTTTCCTCGGTCGACTCGTCCTCCGACGACGCTACCTAAAAGCATTCACGTTGCGTAAATAAATACAACAGAAGATGAAATAAAAGCAACTGCTTCAAGTAATTTTTAACGCGTAGCAAGATCGTTAAGAATTTTTCACCTCCGTTTCCGAGCCGGTGTCAGAATCGGAGCAACGCAGTGGCATCTTCAACCACACTTCCTGCTTTCGCAGCTCCCTCGCGCGCACGTCTTCCTCGTCTTCGGTTCCACTGTTGCTTTCATCGTCTAAAACGGAAAAATAAAGCCATAATATAATACAACTTTAAAAAAAAATTATTTATCGTTTCTTAAGAAATTTAAAGTCAATGAAATGATACCTTCACTAGTGTAGTCGTCGCTAGAATCTTCGTATTCGTTACTGCCAGTATCGGATTGTCCAATTGTAGCGTGTGGATGGAAGTAACGCTGCGTCCAATTCTTAGCCAGCTCGGTAGTTGCTTGGGTTGTTAGTGGCTGATCTATAGCTTTTTCGTATTCTTCATTATCTTCATCAGAACTACTAAAAAAGCAGACAACAATAGTTTACGCAAACTATCAAAGAGTTAAAATACATACACAATTATTTCAAAAACCCTACCGCAAGACTCCAAATAAGTAATTTTACAATATTGCGACAATTGCAATGCGACACGTGTTAGACCAAAAAAAAAACAAAAAAAACGTTAAAAACTAGACTCCAGAAAGTAAACAAACAGATATCTAGACAAGCCGTCTATTCTCAACACAAGTTCGTCGAATGTCATAAGTTTGAATGGACAGATATTAAAATTTTGTACACTCGGAAGTTAATTGGCACAAAAAAGATAGAGGAAAGTGTGGGATATGTTGGTGTTGTGAAACGTTTTTACATTTTTTCTGTTAGGCGATGAATTCTAGTGGTCATTCTTGAAAGCATCATCATTGTTTAGTCATTATTTTAGTTGTTCGACGTCACGTGATGATTGCTAGCTAATGTACCAATAGCTGGCAAATGTTAGTGTGTTTTTATTTTCGAGCATTTACAAACATTTGCGAGATGAGATTTTGAACATTTGTTTATACATACTCTCTCTCTCTCTCTCTCTCGCTTTGTTATTAAACTTGGTCTTGTTATCACACGAATATACTTACATTTGAGTGTTTTGTTTTTCCGTGATTGTGTGAACGTTTCATTCGTCTTTAAATAGTTTGAGTTATGTAAAGAATAACATAGTAGTAGCATCAATACCACAAAAATATGCCTTTTTTCTCGAGATTTCCATGTTACCAGCAGTTCCTCCGCACTCCGGATAATATCAATTCTTTCTCCCCAATAAATTTGTCTCTATCCCTACTGCTACAAAAAAAGGGTCAGTCATGGAAGTTGACAGTTTAATAGCTGACCCTTTTTTGTAGTGCCCGATGGGGGCAAAGTCGTTCATTCTTAGTTTTTAACACAACGCACTTTTTTTCTTTAACAGAACCAATTTGTTCAGCTATCGAAGTGGGAATCCATTTTACTTTTCCCTCCGATCCATTATGTGTGGGTGTAGTGTCGCCATATTTAGTTTTTGTAAAAGACGTCTTGAAAATATAGGGGTAATATTTCGTAACTCTTTGGCTTTACAATTTATCGGACAACCGTTGAATATTAATAAATCTACTGTAAAAAGTGTGAATGAGGGTCCACATTACCACCCTTTCCTCTATAATTCCGATATGATACGTGATAGATTTACGAACGTATGAAATTAATGTTGCGTCAAAAACAATTGCAACACTACATCATCGTCAGTAGAATCATGAAGTCAAAATAATTAAAAGAAATATTTATTTTGATTTTTGGTTTGAGCGTTATTTGGCTTTCTGTTCCCTTCTCATGTACAATTAAAAATTTTCATGTTCGGGAATTAGCTGTGCCAAATATATAACAGTTATATGTATAATATGACACATGCAAATAACATTTACAAATAATAACTTGTGCGATTTCAATTTACATAATAATACATAAACTTGCTAAATACAATATAGAAAAAAAAAAAAATTACGTATATCAAGAAGTACTAAAGATACTTCAATATTTTGATTACAGTTTGAAAAAAAAATCATTTTTTTCTTCTTATGTATAACAAATAATATAAAATTTGCTACGCGATCGCACCTTGGCAAAATTAATACAAGGTAGACAACAATATACCGTAATATATACAGAATATGTACAATAATATTACACATAATATGAATATAACTTGCCTCATGTCAGAAATGTGGTCACTGGATCCCATTTCCGCAGTTGAAGCGCCGAAGTTTCTGTCCGTCCATTCGTCTTCATCCATTTGACTATGAGCCTCCTCGGGATCTGACATTTCTGCCAAATTTTCAAATTCTATTCTTTCTTGAGTCTGACTACGATCGATCAGATCAAATCCAATGTGTTCTACTGATCTCTGATCCTGAGAAAATGATTTGTTAATACATGTCTAAGAATATGGATATGTACGCATGAGTTATATTTTTGTAATATATTATGGAAAGAGAGAGAAAAAGAATATTATATTCTTTGTGTACATTATAGACAATAATATTATATTCCAAAATGTTATATATTACAATTGCAAATATTGTAAAATATAATACAATATAAAATTAATATATAAAATTAAATTACTATATAAAATTTTTAAAAAACTACAATAACATACAATATATAAAAAAAATCTATTTTATACATTTTTATTTCGAAGAAAATTAAAGTAGAAAAAAGCTAAACACTAATGTTAATCAGATCTATCATATATACAAGATGATGTTACATACCTCGTCTGGTAGTTTTGCAGCATTAGATACATTTTCTTTGTTCATTAAGATTCTCTTTTTATCCACTCCGGGTTTTATCGTTTCCGTAAGCCCAAAGTGTTGCGTACAATAAAAGCGACCTCCGTTTTTCTCCCGATCAAACGTGTGATTTCCTACGAAGAAACGTATCGATGTTATACAAAAATATAAAAGTTGAATCACAATTATATAAATTATTGCTGACGTTGCGTTTTTTATAAGTATCTTAAATATAAACTTACGCTCACTGAAAAGATATTTTAGATATTTTGCCATAAAAAAGATAATGATAAATTATCTTGTAAGAATTTTTTTCATTCTTGGCAATCGCACTTTGATAGAGAAGAAAACGTATATTTACCTATTCGTAACAAAATGGAGCAGTATTCACATCGGAAGCAGCTACGGTGAAAGTACTTGCCTTCCGCGCTAAGTCTTTCCATTAAGTAAACTCGTTTTTTGCAAAAATGACATATTTCTGAACCTCCTTGGGCTGGTAACACAATGGTGGGCTTAACGTTCTGCAAGCATAATTTATGCAAAAAACATTCTCTTTTTTTTTGGAAAATCGTTGAAGATCATGCATGTGTGATATTAGAACAAATAGTAACTAAATGCTCTAGGAAGTTTTTACACAGTATTGATCGAATGCGAAAAACTCGCGTGTGTTTGTTAAACCAAACCGTTAAAAATCCGATCAGGAGTTTTGTAACGCGTTTAGAATTCGCTGTATTTACCGATTTTTGCTGCTTGATCTCAGCATCCTGATTTTTAGGGGAAAATTGTTCCGCCATCACTGAAACTTTATTATATCCAACCTTGCTACCCTCTCGAATCTTCTTGTCTATGGTCTTCAAGGTATTGTCTATTTCGGCGTACTTACTGTAAATGTCGGACTGACCGTTGCTCCGCTTCTCCATTTTGATCTGCCGAGCTAAAAACTGAATGAAACATACATACAATTGAAAACAAATGCAAGAACGACAAGCGTAACTGAGTCTTTTCTTTTTTTCTTTTTTTTTTTTTTACCAACCTGTTCGCGACTCCACTTAGGTACCTTCTCCACATAATCGTGTCGAACGCCCCGACCCATTCTGTTCTCCTCGATTTTTTTCTCGATCTCTTTCACATTCCAGTCTGTTTTCTCAATCTTGCCTGCGTAAAAAGTACTTTTATTATTTCGTTCGTAGCACAATAAGTTAAATTATTAAATAACAAAATCTTTTCCACAAGTGTGTACCGATAGCGCGTAAGAGATCTTTGGGTTTCTTCTCCGTACATGCCACTCCTTTCAGTTTATCCTCCAACAGTTTCACTCTTTCCGAAAATTCTTCCTCCGTGTTACCCTTTTGGTAACTAGCGTGTATCTTGGGTTCTCTGTCCTAGGAAGAGTTGTTGCACGTTAGTGTAAATTAAGCAAGCGATCGTCGAATGAGCGTGAACATAAATAAAGCGAAACAAACCATGCGAAACAATGTAAAAACAAATGAAATATTCAGATACATTTGGTTCGATAGTTTTAACTGAAAAGTACCAAGAGACTTGAGAAACAAAATGAGATAATGAAGAGTATTAAAGTGAAGTAGCTCCTCGCTAACATTTCGCTCTCCTCGGTTTCGCGAGCGGTTTCCGATGTTGCGGAAGGATATTGTTTCGATAATTGCCGGCTGTGTTGTCTCTGATTGGCTTGACCGCCGCGAAGTCATCCTTACACCAATTCGCGCGAAACAATTCCAGGAATTGGCGGAGATGACTCCCATCGACTCGATACCGAGGGAAAAATGCGGACAGTTAGCGAGGAACTATTGTTACTCTCTTTCGAAGTACACAATTCATTGTCTGTCTCTCTAGCGCGCTGAAATGTTTCTTCAGCTTCTCCGATATTTCGGATAAGATTCTTTTAAACGTTATCCGGAATTACCCGAATATTTCGAATAATGCGATTTTTTTTTTCTCTAGTCTGACTGGCCAATCTATCTTGCATCTCGAAATAAGCCGAAAGCCATTCTCTATTGTGTTAGAGATAGATTCATTCTTCATTCTAAAACTGGTTTCTATCGCCATAATTACGGACTTCTCTAATCTAGTCTCACTCCACCTACATACATGCAAAGTGTCATTACGTTATAAGGTTTCCTTTTGCTAGCCGTTTGCAATGCTTGCTGTCTTTCCCTCAATGTCAAATACTGTTTAACGATACGTGCTTTCGTAGCAGTCGTAAAAGCTGCGTGACTGTCTCGGGGGTACAATCGACACGTTTGATTTCTGGCCGATCAACGTGCGTTATGTGAGACGTGGAATCGGTCAGCAACGCGAGTGAACAGTTAAAAATCGTTCTCCTCTTCAAGGAACACGGCTCAATTGAATGCTTTTCTTAAAATCTTATCTTAAAACTGCGTGCCAGGTTGAGTTACGTTCAAAGATTATTCCAATACATACAATATTTGTGTGTATATGAAGAAAAAGTTTTTTTTATTGTATTTATTAAGATTTTAATCAGAGATTTTATTAAACAGTATATATAGCTGGTTAATAACATGCAAGTATTGTCTCAAACAGAGTTTAGTATATAAGAAGTAAATATTAAGTAAGAAAACTATTAAACAAGATATATTATCAAAAAGTAGTTTTTTTTTTTTTTACACACTTTGTTATCTTATAAGCATCATTAAAGAACACAAGAGTTTTACTATTGAATAGTAAAAACAGTCAAACCATCTTTGGCTTACTGGATAAAGTATTTTCTGTTCTAAATCTTTTATTCTGTCCTTGAAATCTGGTGCGGATTGACGGTACAAGAAAATCGAATAATCTTCGAAAGGTTCGTCTTTTTTCGTTTTCGCATTTGTTTGCAGCATCTGCATGCTTTTGTAGAACTGTCGAGTTACCAGTTTACTTAAATACAGCCTCCTCTTCATGTACTCGTTTCGGTACTTCTCGAATTTTTCGTTCTTTTTCTGCCTCTCATCCTTCGTCAGGTTAAGAGATATATGCAGATTAATTTCACGTAAACACACATAACTGCATGTAATATGTTACTAATAACATTCGAAACCCAAGCAAGAGATAGAAGAGGTCTGATTTCCGAAATCGGGAATCAGAAAGTGCTGAAATCCCCACAGAAAGCGTCGATTCCGAGAAACTCTCGATTTCTAAACTTTCCCTATTGATCTCGGATTAAAACGGAAAATTCCGTCTAACAAATTTGTTGTGTTTACACACGGTTGGCTTTTATTTTGATAGTGTACGCGTCTTATTTTCTGTCGAAACATGGGTCTGACAAATATAAAAAAAAAAAAAAAAAAAAAAAAAAAAAAAAAAAAAAGTAATGTGTAATCCAAGATTGTATTGCAGCTATTAATCGATAGAAACTGCAATTGAAATAAAAAATTGGTTTTACTTACCGCTGCGCTCACTTTCTCGACGCTGCGTCTCTTCCGACAACGACGGCTGATCGTGTTTTCTTTATCAACGTACAACTTCGCGTTTTCACCAGAATGTCGTGAACGTGAGTGCTTTCTCGTAATCTTTTCCTCGGGTGATAATTGTTTCAATTGCTTTGGATGTGTCACGTGATCTTGTATTTCTGTCTCCTGTTTTCAAACAATAAAACGAAGCTCGAATTACCGCGAGAATATCTCGGATTTTCTCGGGCACATTCTGTGTTTTTACAGTTACTCACGTATTTTGGATGCTTCACGTGTGGACTCACACCTCTGAGAGCTTCGTATATTTGCGTCAAGTAAGAGAACATGGCAAGTTTGTCAGGAACATCACACTGAGCCATTTCTTCTCCAGTCATTATCTATAAGAACGCGTTTAGTTGTATTTTCCACATGCACACAAATAAGTTAATGAAATTTCTGATGATCTTATACAAATGTCTCAATAATATTCGATGGTTTCAAGATGATTTTAAAACCAAAAGACGGTGCATCTTAAATAAAAAAATTGTGACTTACATTGAATTACGATATTGAATAACGTTAAAAATATGGATTGTAAAATATATCACATCAGAACTGAAAAATGAAAATGAAAAAAAAAAAAAAAAACAACAGTGTGACATGCTTACTGGAGGTATGTTCAATTCCTTTTCCAGTATGTCGAAGGCAAGTTGATTGTTCTCCACTACATCTTCCGCCTTCAGACTATGAAAGTTGATTAAATCTGGACGGTATTTATGAATGATCGCACAAATAGCTAAACCATCTTTGAATGAGACGCTCATATCTTCGATATGAACGTTGTCGTAAAGTGCAACTTGCTTTTGTAACCAGCAAAGCAATGTGTCAGGATGAACTTGAGTGTCAGTCCTCGTCTCTAAATAAAAACAATTTTTTTTTTTTTTTTTAGAATGACATGATGTAAATGCTGCACGCGCGAGTAAACAAGATGAAGAAAGCTACACAAAATAAGCAAGACAAAGTGGTCTTTACATTGAGTCATAAAAAGAGTTAAAAAAAAAAAGTCTCAACAATGGGATAGATGACCAATAAGTCACTTTCGTACGGAAAAGTTCACACGGATTTTACTGTGTACAGCAGCATTCCTTCAAATCTTCAAATTCAATAACCACGAGATTTTAAAAACACGTAAGCTTCGGAGATCTTCAATCATCATATCACTTACCGTGACGTCTTCGTTTCTTTGGAACATTGATCTCGTACTGTTTCATGGATTGCTTGATGCTCTCAGGATCATCTGTGTCGAGAAGATTGTGCACTTGCATTGGTGTTACAGAATGTACATTGAGATTTGGATACCTTGAAGAAGAAAGAAATGAAATCGTTTAAGTATTTCAGTTAGTCTATCTCGTTTGTGGTTTACACTAGGTGTGTGTAAATATAGTGACTTTATCTTTAGATATATGTTAGCTCTAACTTGACAATCATCATGGTATTTTACCTGGTATGAGGATCCAAAGTGTACGCGGCGTAATCTCTGTTCAAGTTCTCCGGTGTCGTTTGTCCCAGCAATCTGTATATCGATTCGCGCTCGGCAATTACTTCTAACGGCGAAAACAAGGCACCCCAACTCTTGATTGCCCAGCCCGCATCCAAGGAACTTAGAAATCCTCTTGCGCAACCAGAACCGGTAGGCCAAAACGGCTATAATCACATCAGAACTCCCATCAATATTCCCAGGAACTCTAAAAAAATGTTCTACTGGTTTTGTACATAATCAATATTTTAGCCTTTTATAAATTTCGAGGTAAAAATTGTTGTTAAAGCTCTTCCGAGGAGTTCAGAGATAAGAACTCCGGACGAGTTCCGTCGAAACCCTTGTGATTCAATGAGATTAGATAAGGAAAACAAAGAAAATCGTGTCGACAATAAAAGGTGTATCGTTTTGTAATTGTAATCGTAACGTGTTTTTATATCAAAACTCGAAATAAGACCTAAACGTTTGCCAGTTATTATGTGAAATAATGATAATCGATATCTTCTACAGTTTACGAACACGTTTTTACATCAAATATTCTTGTTATGAGGCTGTGTGCCTATTAATATTCATTATTACCGCAAAGTTGTTGCGCAACTTTGTGATCAAGCGTGAGATATACGTGTGTTATTATTTACCTCTAAGAGACTGTCCCCCACAAGGATCATGAGCAGTCTGTGACTATAACGCTCCAATACGCGACTCGCGTTTTCCGCTGCGTACATCGAAGTAAAATCAAACATGGCCACATCCGGTTGGCCGTAATGATTCACTGCAAATTCCATATCCATCATTTGATATTTTGTCGAGAATTCAGCCGCTTCTCGCGCATACAGCATCAATGCCTCGCGGTTTACGTTCTCCTTCGCGAGCAGCTTCGCGGTATCAGCGTGATCCTGGAAATCAATTATTGGAAAACGTCAAAAGCGTTACGTAAAAGAAGTTTGCACGGGAAAAATAATTTTTTTTTCTTTATACACGTTTAGGAGGTTCCATATTTTTATTACCTGTACAATAACCCCTTTATCGATTAAGCTATGTTTTTTAGCAGTCATGACAAAGTAATGCGTGTCATCTTTGTAATATACTATGTTCTCCAAGTCAATACCCGTTTCTTGATACAATTCCTTAAAAAACCTTTGGTTAAAAATAAAAGCGACTCCGCTGATCTCCTCCACACGAGCCTCTGCCTCAGTTCGTTTGTTGATAAAATTTGCCGTTATCGCTATAGCTAGTTTTCCTCGAAATTCCTTTCGCTTAAAACCTTCTAAGGTGTTTCTTTTGCCATCGGCACCGATTAAAACATCGAATTCGTACTGAGATACAGGATGATCCGTTGGCGAAGTTTTCGCTCTCCAGCCAATTTCTGAAAAAGAACCACGTCGTTAAAATTATTAACTTCAGAAAGATGTGCGATCAGGTAACATATACTTTGTTATAGCCTAGACTTTTTCATGAGTCTGACTGGAAAAACAAAAGACCATTATCTTAGCGAAAGTAATATTTATCAAGAAGTCTTTTCTTTGTATCTGTGAATCGAGTCTATTTGTGTAAACATTTGCAAAGAAGACAGGAAAGAGAGGGATGAATTACTTACTGCTGTCTTCTTGATTGTCCGGGGGTGGTATCAGGTAATCGAAGCTCACATTCTCGTGGAACTCCACGCCAAGGATCAGAGCGACCTTCAGCAAAATACACTGTAATTGTCGTATGCTGATGTGATCGATGGAACCTGCGCAAAATTTTCCGAAGAATTTCTTCGCCCCCAAACTTCGCAGATCCTGAATGACGAACGGCCATAGATGTAAAACATTATTCCTGGACATCCGGTCTCTTTTCTCCACCAGAACAACTTTGGCTCCCAGCAATTGTGCCTCTATGGCCGTGCGCAAGCCACATGGACCTCCACCGATTATCAAAATCTAGTGATAGATCACAGTTATTTAAAAAAAAATGTACTTCTCCTATTTTATAATATTGCCCGAGAGAAAGAGAGAGTTACAAAAAAAAACAAAAGAAAAGAACAAACTCACCTTTGTGTTCGGACATGCTTTCCCGCGATTGTAACATTTGTGATTAGCCCGTTGATCGAACTTCTTCCACAGCGCTTGCGCTTTCCACGATCGCAACTTTAGCTTCAATTTTGGATAAAAGTGATTGATGACATTTGGGCGGATCTTCAACAGTTCGCATAGTTGTCTGTAATAGCCGAGAATGGACTTCAACGTGTTGGCGTTGCAAAACTGATCAAACACTTCATTAGCAAGTGCTATTTCCGGTGAATTGTCAATGTTATTTCCACTCGGTTGTTTTCTACCGGCCTGATTCATCATGTTGGCTCTTGGTTTCTGACTTCGCTATAATTGATTAATGCGTTATTGCAAAGATACATTTGCATTTAATGTGTGTGTTATTTTATATTTTGTATTTATTTGCTAATATGAGTAAGTAATATAGTTTCGATAGAAATACAAATACGATAAATACACACGGTTAACCCGCACCGTGTCTTACAGGTAGAAATGAGGAAAAAGTGTTATATAAACACGAAACGTTTTTGCTATATAATTGTAAGATTGCACATAACATAAGAGTCAAATGATAAAATTCAATTCAATTCAATTGTGCAAGCGGAGAAAGCAGAAATATTTACAACAGTTACGTTCGTAGAAGCGAACACATTTATTAACTTTTTTGCATCTGCTTTTTTGGAAAAGGTAATTTTTTTATCGTTCAATCACTTGATAACGTTTGATTATCATTTGATAATCATTTGAGGGGAAGAGGCGATTGTGATATTTTAGTGGACTTGTATCTGGACTTTGTGGCGCACTTTCTCTGGTTCTGTACATGCGCTTCGCTTCTATCTGTATTAATATTTATTTCCATGTCAAATTTTCATGTGAATCATCTTCAGAAACAAACAGATTATGTCGCACCGCTTGTGAATCTCTTCTCTCTGGCATGAAACGAATGTCTCATTTTTTTTTCTCTCTCTCTCTCTCTCTCGTCCTACTCCGCTTTGAACGTCTTCTATTCGTCGAACTTATTGCATTAAGATTGCCAGACTTTCTCGGAAAAAGCGGAAGATTTTTAGCGACATACATTTGCAAACGGAGGAAATACGGTCGGCCGTAAATGTGTGAAAGAAATGTCATTTTCTTCGTGTTTAAAAAAAGATAAACACGTTCAGGAAAATTTCAATGTACCGAAAAAAAAAAAAAGAACAGAACAAATTGTCTTACGAATATAAAAACCCAAAAAACCGTACGTTGAACGTGCCAAGGCGACGTATTAAAACTGACGAGAAAAACTAAGATCTGACAATCCCGTATTACATTCAAACAGGACGTTGTTGATGATTTCCCGTTCCGCTCCGCATGCGTATCTAGCTAATTCCATATAATCTTTCCTTGCCAATGATTCCTTTAGATTGAAATAATTGGCTCGCAATCTGTTTTCACCATAGTGATAAATCCTCCGAGGGGGTTGTTCCCGTTTTTTTTAAATTGCGGTTGTTTGACTCCGTTGTTTTTTTAAACACAGCGTTTTTCCTCGTACATTTTCCGCTTTCGTTTCTCACATGTTCCATTCCGTTCTCTCCTTTTTGCTATATTTTTTCCCCGCGAACATTCCCTTGAATTTTGAAACGGCGCCTTGTGATTTTCTTGGTTGTTTTAATATAGCGACCTCTCTTTAGCGATCTCGTCGACGACCATTCACCCTCGCGCTTCTATCACGAATCGGAGCTATTCTTACTTCAGCATTGTCCCCATGCATTGTTCTTATATAATATATATTCACTTTTCTTTTCGATCGATTTTTTTACAGGCGTCTAATCTCGTATTTGTTAATCGATTTGCCGTTAGCGTTTTCTGTGCACATAATCTCTCTTTCTCTATTTCTTTCTTATCTTGCAATTTTTCGAAAGATAATATTCTATCGCTAATGCCTCAGTTGTAAAGATCTAGTTTTCTCACATTAATTCTTTCGTGCTCGTTTCACCTATTGTAACAATGCCGTATTAATCCTCGTATACCGGGAATTACCTTCGATTTTTAAACTTTATTGCGATTTTATTTTCGACGTTTCTACAGAGGTCGTATTCTATTTCCTCTTCTATGTTGTCTTTGTATTATTCGTATCGCTTTTTCCAAAAATTTCAAATTTATCTCTTCTCATTCATCCATTGTAATGTATTTCCGTCCCTTTCTATCTATTCCGGCAAGGATACATTTTTCATCCATTGTAAACTTTTTCGTCCTGACCAATTCTTAATGTTCAGTGTATCCTGTATGTTTTTTCTGCGACGTTGCACAAAAAAATTCATTGCCAATAGTTTTGCTTAATAATTAATTAACACAATCCTGCTTTCTCTTTTCATCACATTGGGGTCAAATTTCCGTATAGTGCGCATTGCTTAAAAAAAAAATAAAAATCATCATGATCCAAATATTGACCTTATAAAGCTTTTGTAGAACATGAAAGCTGTGTTCTCTCTCAAACAACTGTATATTGCGGACTCTCTATTGAAATTATCAGAACTTTAACAAATTTGTGCTCGAATATGAAACTGTTCATCTGTTCCAAAAAACTTGTACAGATTTTTTATCAGTTCGTACCTGACTATGAATCACACGAAGCTTCTACGTTTCTATGCTCTTTGTATTTTCTTTGTACCTATAGGAGATCTGATACCTTTTCTTTTTTTTTTTGGAAAACAATTTTTATGCTCCACGTGCTTTTTTTTTTTAAAGGAAGCCATCACAGAGCCTTGCACTTCTTTCATTTTCTCTTTGACAAAAGCACATGGAGCGTGGAAATTTGTTTTTTTTTTTTTTCAACAAACAAAAGAAACGAGTTATCAAATTTTTTTCTATCGGCGCTTTGATTGTCTCAGTCGTCTCATTGTGGTCCTCTCTCTCTCTCCGCTCTTTTGGAAACAGTAGTAGCATAGTATGTCGTCAGCAAACCGAATTAATTTTCACGTCTCCCCGATTCGATTTGTCTATTTTAGGTTTTAGGTTAAGTAAAAGAGACGTTACCAAGTGTTTTAAAGTTTCCTCATTGCATTTAAATTGGTAATAATTTTCGCGAGGAACTACTTATTTTTAGGATTCGCTCAGCGTGATGCAGACTATTTATTGAAAGAAAGCAGCATTATTTATAGGTGGTGTATCATAATGCGATATATATATATATACATACATATATATATACATCTGAAAAAAGGGCTGTGCCACACTACTTACAATTCTATGTCATTGTGCCGTGGACTTGGTTCGTTTGCGAGATTTTTTTTTTTTTTCGTGGGATACACTTTCGCGGGATCTCGTTTTCGTTTAAATATTCACATCACACACTAGAAAAAAAAAAAAGAAAAAGTAAGGAGAGTGTCAAATGAGAGGATTTTAAATCGCGAAACACACACACGCACGCACGCTCGCACACGCAGAACAAGTGCATCGAGCAGAAATGGAGAGAAAAAGAGAGAGAGTTTTCCAACACACTACTTGACAAGTAGTTTAATTTCGGTCGCAATGCGACTTGCCACTGGTAAAAACACACATACACTTGTTATACGTATACGTACGTTCATTAACCCAATTTAATCACTCACCCGAGCGCACAGTACATTCTACAATACATCGGAAAGACACACCACGATGTGACGACGGCGAACACTACTGACGAGATGGCGCACTATTTATCACTGGGGGCATTTTGCACACTCGCGCATACTGCTTTCGCGTTGCCAGAGCAGGATGTGTTTGCAGTGCCCTCTAAAAGTCGCACGTTGCAAGAAACGAAGACGCATGCGAGTCACATGCGAGACGCAAAACTCTCCGGACCTTACACGGTCAATAACTTTTCAGACTTGTTGATATTGACAATGTGATTGACCATATAAGGTTTTGTTATGTATCCGACTCGTGCGTGTTTTTATCGGCAATGTGGTGTGTTGCAATTTTTTTTAATAATATCTCACCATCAGCTGATATTGATGATTAATTAGCCGGTACCGGACTACGATGATTAGAGATGAAGATTAAATTGGAGTTGGACCAATCAGAACAGGGTTCGCTAACTTGAGATTTAATCTCTCGTTCTGATTGGCCGACTTTAAATTCGATCTCACGTCTTACGCGGTACCGTGTAAGGTTCGTACAGATTTGACTGGTCAATTATCTGCGTGCAATGCGCTTATAATTTTGCTTTTATTTGCTCTTTTATTGTATTAATATAATTCTTCGCATATCTCAATTGGTATTGTATAGCAATATATAACAGTGACGTTTCGATTAACCGGTTTGAACGATCAAATCAAACAAAGCACCGGATAATCGAGAAAAAAGAAAATATTAAGATAATCTATCTCGATAATACTTAAAAAAAAAAAAAAAAAAAAACGTTTGTTGTTGTTTTCACCGACAGTAGTGACGATGTAATCTGATATAGTAACGAAAACGAAGATCACCTCCAGTTACCAAATCTTGGGAAAGATCGTATATATAAAACGTTATTCGGAATGAGTCATCGCTATGTATAAATAGTACAGTGTGTTGGATAATCCAAAAATTATATATATATAGAAACTTGAAAAGCTTAATTCAAGCACTTTGTAATCAAATCTCTCTCGATTATTAGGAGTTTCACTGCAAAATCTAAATTGTGCACAAAGAATTTTTTTTATTTTCTCTTTGTGAAAATTTAAAATACATGTCATCGCAAATCATTTTCCCTTTCTGTGCTCCAGTCGCGGTCTTCCCTTTTTTGTTGTTGGTTTATCTTTTCCCTTAGTTAATAACAAAACGTGAGGATGAGTTTCTGCAAATAAATTCGTATACACATGTAGATGTGTGAATATATTATTCATTACGAACTCGTGTTGCTAAAATTGCTTTACAATATATATTATTTATATTATTTATATTGCTACATAAATTACATGTAATTTTACATAAATTATAATTGGAAACTTACCGTCAGTCGGTGCACCTTGTAAATTTATATCATGGGAACGGTATTTTTTTGTTGGCGGTTCATGAGATGCTATTTGAGTATCTTCGGACTCCTCCACATCCGGAGATATGGGTAGGAATTGAAGAGAACCGACATCTTCAGTCTCTTCATCGGAGCTGCAGAATGCAGCGACCTTATCAATTGATGCAACATCAACTTCTATTTCTTCATCCTGAGTCTCTTCTCCTTGTACCACGGACTTATCTTCGTCACTCAAATCGAATTCGCTCTCTCTTTCTTCGTATTCAACGTTTTCATCTAGTTCCTTGAAATCTGGTGCAAATGCAGACCAATTCTCGACCTGGTTTTGTGCCCAAATAGACACCACACCCGATGCCACAGACGCAATTATAGGCCTCACCGGATGCCACTAAAGAAAAACAAAACATTACATTACAAATACAATTTTATTGCTTTATTCTTTTTAACAAACAAAAATAGAAAAATCAATATCTTACCACAACATCGAGTAAAAGTTCGCCTTTAGTACCGTGCAAGATTTTTAGTAAATTTCCAATACTTTTTTCCCAAATATAAAGAGCATGCGTTCTTGTTGTTCCAGCGCACACATATTCACCGTCACCCGAAAAACAACATTTTTTCCACATTGTTTTATTTACCAGATCTTGTAATTTTTGAATCGGTTCGGGTTCACCGTCCTTGCCACATGCCAATATCTCAGTACTATCGTATACGCGAATCACTCTGTCAGACGTACTAACCAGGAAACACGAGCCGCGACGCGCAAACTCAATACTTTTTACTGCCGTGTTACTAGCAGTTCCTTGTGTTATTTTGTAAGAAGCTTTTACAGCCAATGTCTCGGCATCAAGTACTAGAACTCTGCCACGGGCGTTTCCAGTGTAAACATATTCACCACGTCGATCAAAAGATGCTACTATGTTCAAGTCACTCTAAAGTTAAAGTAATACTGTTTCAGATACATATGTGGATTAAAATTTGTGTAACAAAACCTTGAACTTTATTCACTGTTAATATAAGAAACATTTGATAATGACACATACATCTTCATCAAGTGGTAGAACTCTGTGTGTTCCCTCAACATCAACCATAACAGCAGCATGGCGTATTGGACATACCAAAAACTTATTAGAATTTCTTGGATTAAACTGTACTTTCAGTATTGGTGAAGGAAATCTATATTTCTGATCACATTCTCCAGACAGAACATCCCATATGCACACATTATTATCTGTAGAAGCACTCAAGATCTTATGACCATTTCTGGACCAACTATATAAAAAAAAAAAAACTCATATAAAATAAACATTTACTTATACATCTAAATACTTTTGTATATAAACTTGTATACAAGTTTATATGTACCTTAAGGAACAAACAGGATGTACATGAGCACTGATAATCTTGGCTATACCACGTGTCAGAAAATCCCAAATTACTATTCTTCCGTCATTGCATCCAACAGCCAGCAGTGTTCCTCTTTTATTAAATGTACAAGTCACAGCAAAAGACAGAGAGTCTAAAGTACCATCAAATTCCTGAAACCAATTCAATTATTAATTAAAAAAATTAAATTATAAATAAAACTATTACAATAACAGAATTACAATTGATATTACATACCTCTGGATAGTTTTGACCAAAAGATTCTGAAAAACAAAATAATGATAAAGACTTGAATCAAATTTTATACTAATGTTATTAATAATATAATTATTACTATTGATCACTCACCTAATAACTCCAAATTCATTTTTTTTGACAACTGTTGTCACTTTGTACAGAAAGAAGAAAGTTGGATATCACAAAGCTTTCTTCAGCTCTACTTTGTGAACTTTTTATGTTTTTAGCACATCATCTCTTAGTTTTTAATTGATAAGCATTTTGTACACAAATCCCTATCTCATGTTTGTTTTTGTGTTCTTTAACATTCTTTATTGTACCGTCAGTCTCAAATGAAACTTTTTAACATCAAACCGGTATCATCAACTTGTGTTTACTATGTTTTTATGTAATATTTAACGGTAATTGTTGTGATCACTGAGTCTCTGCACAAATTGCGTCAACTGTCAGCTTTTTCAAAGCTTTTTGCGCTACGTCAATAATCAGTCAGAGTTGCGATGGTTTTGACGTGGTTATGTTTAACCAGAGAGAAGGTTAGTTTTGGTTCGGTATTGTGATGACTAAAGGGCCGTTAACAGAGACAACTCATTGCAACTCATTGTGGAATGAACCTAAGTCTTACTCCTTACGCTCGTTTCCATCATCTTTGATTAACTTAATTAATCGGCCAATTATTCCATTGAAATTGCCAGTCGCATTAATCGTTCAGCAAAATAGACCAATCACGACTGATACTTAATTGCCGATTAAGTTAAGCGGAGATGATGAAAACGGGCGTTAAAGTCTTAGGGCACAAATTAGTTGAAAATGTCCCCTTGCCAGGTGCAAAAGATGGTAACTACTGGGAGAAAAGTATTTTTTTCAGTTGCACTTGGGGCCGTTGCGGTTGCCAAAAGAAAGTTGGTCAACTTTTAACTTTTAGCAACAGCAACTGGCAATCGCAGCACATAAAATAATACTTTTTCCCTAGTATATTTGCAACTGGAACATTTTCAACTCATTGTAGAATGACCCTTAGTGACGACGCCTAAATTTTTTTTATATGTTCCTGGCCTCAGACTGAGATTTTGGACCGATTTCTGACACTGTGGACACAAAATGTTAAAAAATACTTTTACAAGTTCTCACTTGTTTTTCAATGCGCAAAATTTGAAAAGGGTCTTCTTATAAGACAATTTGACCATCATCCGGAGGTCTCACAAGAATTATCAAAAATTGTCTTATAACAAGATCTGCTATACACACTTTTGTATAAATTTTTCAAATTTTATTGAAAAATGGATAATAAAAACATAAATTATGCGATATTAATAGTTTGCTAGAATATAATATTTATATAACTACTTATATATAGATCATCTTAATTTTGTTTATATTAATAACAGAAAATACTGCAACGTCATATTTTACCAGTATTAATTTTTCGTAACCGGTACTTGCACAAAGATAAAAAGTAACATAACTCAAAACTGGACAAATAATTCAAAAAGAAATACGTTCTAAAAATAAAAATTATAATCTAACACACACATGGTAAAGTGTTGTTTTTATATAACACACAGATAATATGTATATGTAACTGTATATTTTTTGTATACTGAGTTATGTATAATACGTGCGATAATACAATCATCTTATTAAAAGAAAATTCAGTAAATTCTTGTTAACGTTTCATGTGTTGCAGATTGAATTGTCGCACGCACTACAAGTTACTCTCGATATGAATTGATGCATGGCACATTCGCTGAAAAGATCTTTTTTTTATACATATATATATATATATATATATATGTATATATCTTTCCTTTGTTTAGTCATTCCGCATTAGTGTGTCTAATGCCCGTGTTTTAATTTCTCTCACGTCTCTTATTATAAACCATTAATTTATTATACAACTGATTGTTACTAAAGAATAATTATTGATACATGAATTTTGATTTTGTTCAAAAAACATACAAAAAAATGCTTCAAGTTTTGTTTCACGGTTTTGTTTTCGCTAAACACACATGTTCGCTGCAGTCAATTAGTTTTTCTCTCTTATTGTTATATTTTTTTATAATTTACAAATATAATTTGTTACAACTCTCTCTCTCTCTCTCTCTCTCTTTCTCTCTCTCTCTCTCTCATCTTCAAAAAATACATTCGCGACACACATATCACCATTCTACTCTTTATTAGAGAAAGAATATTCTGTCAATGTATTTCAATAAATCTTTTTCTGCAAACAAGTTAAAAACTTAAACAGTTAAAGATTTTAAACAACTATTACATCAATAATGGTGATGTAACGTAATTAATTAATTAATTAGTATAATTAAATTTATAGTAAGCACGGAGAGTGTTACTTAAAATATATTCTCTATGTATGTAATGTAATTGTATTTAATGTGTACATAAAAGTACATAAAAGTAATAAAGATGATAAAGATCGAGTTATAATATAAATCTACCTGTTGTATTGAAAATTATCTGTAGAAACGCTCTTAATGTAATAACAGAAGGTAAAATACGATACTTATACCTCGCTCTTATTAATTTAAATACGATACCAAGTTTCGAGTTTTCAGAGTAGAGATACGAATAGAATTTATAAAAAAATAGATTTGTGTGTGTGAACAAATACATATATATATATAGTTTGTTAGAAACTAGAGTGTGTTCCAGAATTATAAATAATTATAATTCTTTAAAGTTTAATAGGAAATTTTTTTCTTTATATTACTAGATATTACTTCGATGTTTCCCCTTGCATTTACACATAAACTGGCATTATTGTATCTAAACTCTTTAACTACAAAATTATTATCGTATTATCTATGTCGTTTTTGCATCCACGTTTTGTTCTCAAAACTTGTATACGTTTTAAAATAAATCTAAGTGTGATGTGTGTGTATGGAAATTTTTCTATCGGACATATAAAATCAACAAAAATATCCTTCTTACACATTCTAATCACGCACATCGAACTGTATGCTTTGTCTTCTGTCTCAATAGATATAAATTATAAAAACAAACGCAAGTTTTTTAACTTAAATATATCTGTATTGTGTGTGAACAGATATGGAAAATAGTTGATAATAGCAATAAGAATAGAAACAACAATCTTGACCTTTAAAAGACGATTCACACTAAGTCGGTATTATGTTACACACTAAATCGGTATTATGTTCAAAATTCATTTATACAATTGAATCGCCTTATGTTTAAAAATTTAAATACATATGTACATGTAATTGAAAAATGTTCACCGAATAAATCTTCACGAGATAATACATCGAAAACAAAGTATGTATAACACAAAATCAAGTATTTTGAAAGAAATGTTCCACATTTTAGAAAATGTTTTCAAACTTTCTTTTTTGCAAATAGCATAAGAGTATTGCTAGCAATTTTCAAATTCTGAACAAATTATTCTAACGATACAATAATTTTTTTGTGGCATATTTAATACGTCCCGTTCAAGATCATTTATTATGTCAAAACGGATACTTTCGTTGGCAGATTATTGAAAAAGTTATTTAACGCATAAGAGATCTGGACACAATGGTCTTGATTGAGAAGCGAAAGAACTGTGCGAGTTCTTTTTTCGTTTCCATCGATTTCAAATTGTTTGTCACAATAGGTTATCAAAACCCGTCTTAAATACACAATCGATAAAAAGTTGTTTTCAGAAAACAATAACGCATGTACAGACACATGAGACAACGCACTTTTTACGCACGTTCGCACGGATTACATCCGCAATTTGAGAATGCACACACACGATAGCGTCAAGTAATGACGCTTGAGAGAGATACGTTATAATATATAATATATATTATTGTGTGATGTACAAGGATATATATAATACTATATATATGATGTATATAATAATATACGTCAATAATTATTATATACGTCATTATTAAATATAATATATATTTTTGTGACATATAATATATATTATATATATATCACTATATAATGTTGCCACATATCTCTCAGATCTCATCACACATCATCAGAATATATGTTGCAAGATTATCACGAAGATTATACAAAGATTAAATTATTTATATATATATATATATGTATATATCTATTTATTCACATTCATATTTCGGAATTCATCATTATTTTATGCACTATCATTTTTATTATGCTATATTGTAATGGCAAAATTCTGTTTTTTTCACGCTAAAGCTAAACTTTATACCAAACTTAAATATTTATATTACATATATATATATATATATATATATATATATATATGTATATATATATATATACATATAGTTATAGTTGCACGTGTCTTGTGTCTCCGAAATCCCGTTTCCCTATAGTTACCTAATGTACTATGGCTTATCGCTTTAACTACGATTTTTCAATCACATTTTTAAATTCGGTTATCTGCATATAACTTTTTGTATAAATAAGATTTTTCACTGTTGTCGCAATAAGATAAGAAGTTTTAATCGGCACAACGATTGTTTAACGCTTCGCTGAACATCACCGAACTCGTAATAGTTTAGTTCTCAGCGCATTTTGCGTCAAATGCGAATAGTCACAACACCACTAAGATGGCTCGCTGCTCATCTGCGAGTTATTGTTTGACGTTGTTTCTAGATTGCTCTCGGTATTCTGTATAGGCACCTGTGAATCAGAAGTATTAGCAGTTCCTTTAGATGTAAGTACAGTAGAAGCACTAGTGATTGTTGTCTCTGCTACGTGAGATGGTTTTACTGGTGCCGACAGAGTCGTGTTTGATCTCGCCTTGATCTTGGCTTGCTGCTCCACACTGTCGATTTCAGCCCAAATAGCTCTTACTTCTTTAAAAATCTAAAACACGCTCGGTTTTATTTAATATATCGTTACTTCTAACTTCAAAAAAAAACAAATAGTTTTATACATACATGTAGAAAATTATTCGTAAAATACTCACTTGATTCAACCATGCTTCGTCTGCTAATAATTCATTTAATATTATCGTAGTATCCTTATCCGGATCGGCTATCTTTTTGTCTGCCACTCTTCTCGCACATTCCAAAAACATTAAATACTTCTGATGAGTGACTTTATTGTACAAATCTATCTTCTTTTGGCAAATGCGGCAAAACAGAAAATCCTAAGAGCGCAGACAAGAATAATTAAAATTAAAAATAAACGGTCAACAAGAGATAGTTTTTGATGTATTTTAGTATGTTTCATCGCGCGTAAAGTACTTTTTCTTGAGGTATTCGTGGATCTGGTGGCGAGCCTTCCAACGTGGTGCTGTTATATGGTTGCCCGTAAAGCAGAACCCTCGCATAGATGTTATTGTGCTGACAACCGGCGCACGATTTCCCTTTATATTCGGACGCCGATAATTCTTTAAGCACATTAAGACAGGGCCACGTTGATATCGCTGTCACGACATTCGGTTTCCATTTGGTTGTGGACAAGAGACAACGTTTTTTCTCCTCCGTTACATCATCGACAACTTTGACGTTTGACAAGAAATACTCATCTAAACAATAATAACAAGATATATAAATTGTCGCGCATGCGGTTATTTTGAAAAGTGCTGCAGAAAGCTGCAGTTTAAATTCATTGTGTGTTGCTCGTTTCTCACCTTGTTCTTGAAATATCTCGGTAAGAAAATTTGAATCCAAGGCTTGCGAGATCAATGTCTGTAAGTATACCTCGAAATTATCTTGATATTTCTCGGTCTCTTTCATTGATCTGTCGATGTTCTCGCTAAAAAGTCAGAAAAACAAATAAATATTAAACAAATATCCAACATCGTAATCAAAAACTTATTTAAAATATTTTTCTGCTTACCTGTCGTAAATAATCATTTCGTCTCTCAAGAATTCCACAATTGTTTCCGTCTTATCTTGCTGCCAAAACTTAACTGGCACCGGTTGATAAAGGTGACGACTCTTTGAGTCCCACGGGGAATACTACAAAAACGAACAATACACACACACAATGTAATTAATTGTATTTAATTGTTGTGTTGCCTGTAGAGCACACATGTACTTTTATAACAAATTAGTTAAATTTACCGTAGATATGTTTCTGTATAATATTTTCCCACCGGATTTGTCAGATTTGAACGGTTCGTATTTCTGAAGTAACAATTTGCCGTCTATCCTCCAAAGAGGAGGATCCTCTTCGTTCAGATCTGTTTTCACCACAATAAATTCGCCCGACTAAAACAAAAGTAAGAATAAAAAATCTTGCACAACTTAACGCGCAGAGATTGTTTTCTCTAACTTTTAAAATATAAATAAATAAATATCGAAACACAAAAACAGAGTTAAAAAAATTACCACATATTCTGAGTTGCCTAGGAAATGCTGCATGCGTAAAATACAATATAGATTATTTACATGACACGACGTGTTAAAATTATTATAATACAAATGTGAGTTTTGCAGAGAGAGAGAGAGAGAGAGAGAGAGAATGTGCTTTGAGATACCTTAAACGGTGAGATCTCGATTTCTTCGTCACTTGCTGCTGTCGTTTTTACATCGGGTTTCGAAGAAAGCTTGCCTGGATTATTAGAACTTTTTGAAAACACATCGTGTTTCTTTCTCGTTGATTTTTTTGTGATAATAGGTTCCCCTGACGAATATCCGTCTTCCTCCAATATCTTCCGAACTTTTTTAGTGATCACGGGTCTGCCGCGTTTCTTTCTCTTCTCTTCCTCATCCCCGACCAGTTTTGCAGCAGGCGTCCAAGCGGGGTCCGAGTCGGAATCAACTTGTTCCTCGTCATTATCGAAATAATCTATACCCTGTTGTCTCTCCAAATATTGTTTCACTGAAGTTTTTTCCTTCGCTTTCCTCCTCGACATCTCGCGTCTAGGAGGAAGAATCAAAGGATCCACTGTGCAAAATACATCCACAGTTTTACAATCGTATAAATACAGTTTATTACATATCAAATGTTTAAGTGTTTGCTCTTTTATATATACCTTCTTCACTTTTCTTCGAAGACTTCTTCTCTGCTACTCCTCCTCCTCCTCCTCCTCCTGCTGCCGCCGCCGCCGCCGCCGCTGCCGCTGCTGCAGCAGCAGCTCTTCTTTTCCTATCCGTAGGACCACCAGGCTTAATAGGCCGGCCTTTTCTACGCTTTCCTTCAGGTTTTACAGGAACAACTTCAACATTATTCGTAGTGTTGGTTGTGTTCTGGACTTTCTTCTCAGTTTTCTTAGGAGGAAACAGAAAGTCGTCGTCGCTGGTAAATCCATCATCGCTTGAATCAAAGTTCGGTTTTTTCCTTTCTTTCGGCAGTGGGAAATATCTAGGATCGTTGGCGTAATCTATCGCCGGTGTTTCCTTGACTGAGGTTTCTTTAGTCGCCGTCGGTTTCTCCTTTCTGACGGGATCACTGTTAGCCGCACTTTCCGTGGGTTTACCCGGTATGTACGGCTTTGATCTGTTCCACGTCGCTTTCCTGCCACCGCGAATAGCGGGCGGCGGAGATGGATCTCTTTCACCGTGCAAAAACTTCAAATAGCTCGTCATAAATCCCGCGTTGTGGTCCCTGTTGGGTTGTTGTTTGAGGTCCTTGTTCATTTGATTCATGCTCTGTATTAATTGTTGATCTTGCTGAAGGAAGCCCAATTCCTCCTCAATATTAGGAACAATCACTTTAGGCTGGTCGTCTCTGATCTCTTGATTATAATTGGCGTTTTGATTGGCGTTGTTTTCGCTGTATCCTATTGGCGTTATTTCAATCGAAGACTGAAATTCGTGCGGATGATGCGGATGATGACCCGCGGGAATATGGAAAGCCGGGAAGTACGTGATGGAAGGTGGTGGGTGATGCGACACCAATAACGATTGGTGTTGGTGAGCCGAAGTGCCGACAAAATTGCCCGAGTGATGTAACGACGACTGAGAACTATACATGCATCCTGCCGCATTGGACGCGGAAGGAAACATCTTGTGATGTGGCGCGGATAAATTCCACCGTTCAAAGTCGAAATAACCGTTCTGCTGTTGTTGATTTGAAGCATTGTGATGTGCCGGTGGAGGCACTCTGTTGAGGTATTCCGTCATCGTTGCGCCACCCGCAATCTCGTTTGATAACGGAGCGCTATGTCCGCTCTTGTCCAAGCTCTTCCTCTTCTTGTTAGCACAATCAGCCTTTTGTCGTTCCTCAGCCTGTTTTTGCTGCTCCGTCGTCGTGCCGGTTAGAACAGTAGTGGCGTGCTGTTGCAATTCACAAGAGCCCTGTTGCAGCGTTTGCAAATTTTTCACAACGGTCATCGGGTCTCCCCTGCAACTGTTCAAGTGTTCTTGCATTGGAGTGGCCTCGAAATAAGGTTGCTGTCTTTCCGACACGTTTATCAGCCTTTGTATTTGTTGCAGATTCTGCGCACTTATGTCCGCGCCGGTCGCTGTGTTCGTGCCGCTATATACGGTGGCCGAGAACTTTCTGTTGCCATTGACTGTTTGCCTATTGTCATTCTCCCAACAGGCTTGTTGCTTCTGCGAAAAGTCTTGCTGCTGTCTATCGTACGTTTTACTCTCCACGTTGTAAGTAGCCTTGTTGTTCTCCGCGGTGCCCAATGCTCGTGTGATCACTGACGAATACGCGACCTGTCCTTGCGACGCCGGTCTGGAAATGGTGACGTCCAGAGGCGATGGCGGAGTTACTTGTTGCACCCCACTTTTGTATGATGTGCTATTGGCACACTGACTGCTGGTGTTCTCGGCGTGTTGTTGCAACGGTGACGGAGACGACATGGTCGCCATTGGACTATTATACATAGGATACGCCGGACTCGGAACGTGTCCCAACGGACTGGCTTGCGAATGAGCCTGCAAAGGACTTGGTCGCCGTGGAACAACGACACTGCAATCGGGTCCATTCTGCGTTGAGGTATTGGAAGAGTAAGCAGAATCCGTCGAAGTCGCAGATTTTGATCTGTTTGAATGATATTCCGTATCGCTTGTTGATCCTCCTAAATAATGTCTGTAAGAAGTAGTTTGTGGTTGCTGTTGTTGATTCAAAACGTGAAACGTTTGTTGTTGCTGCTGCTGCTGCTGCTGCTGCTGAGAATGTGAGGATTGTAAATTGCTGTTGGATGACGTTCTTTGGTTGCTCGTAAGCTTGCCACTGTTGTTGTTGCAATTTGCAGTATTATTCGCTGCATAGTTTAAACTGCGATTATCCATAATAGAGAAGCTAATCGGAGACGATTGGCTAGTATCATGTCCTTGTTGCTCGTTCCTGCGATGCTCGACTCCGTGGCTCCCCAAATCTGAATAAATCTTATTCTGCGTCTTGGTTTGAATATTCTGTTGAGTGGTGGTAACGGTCGCTTTGTTCGGCGTTGGCGTGAAACCACTGTTGCGAGTTCCCTGCTTATCCTCGATCGCGGAAGCCGATCCCGTAGAAGCGTTCAAAAAAATCGTTGAAGCGGTTGACCTTGAAGGCGACTGCGGTATTCTGTATTCTTTTCCCGTAACATTGCTCGGTGTCGTCACGATACACGATTGCTGATGCTGCATCGACGACTGAACTTTTCCGTTTCTGGCAGTGGATTGGCTCCCGTTACCAGCGGCCGTATAACTGTTCGTTAAAGTTTCAGAATTAAAGGTTGTCGGAACTTGATAAAAAAATGTTTGATTATTACTGGTTTGTGAAGTGGAAACTAGTGGAGACTTTGCGTTAACAGTAGGCGATTGAGGTCTCACATTGACTGACTTTTTTGCGTCAGCTGGACATCCCGACGCTTTAAAGTCGGTATTACACGCAGTCGGGCTGGTTAATTGAGATGTATTGATGTTATTTATAGCCGTTGTGTTGAAATGAGTGTTGAAGGCGTTTTCATAGCCGGTGCTGTTAGCTTTTGTGGAAGGCGGACCCGGAGACGACGGTACAACACTCTCGTGTGGTAAAATGCCAAAAGGGCTTGGAAGTTGCGTATTGTTCTGTGGCGTCCAGGCCAGTGTTGACGTTGGCGATGTCGAAGTTCCTTGTTGTTCAAAAAATGGAGCCTGATGCGCCATGCTATAATTTTCTTTTAACGCAGGAATATCGGATTCAGTTGTGATATTTTGTTTTGTCACCGACGCTGTTTGCGCTTGAACAAGAACTTGTCTTTGTTGAGCTGCAACATAATGCACTTGCTTGCTATTGTGATGAAACAGAGGCGTAAAGACGTCGTAACCCACAGGGGGTGGAGATAAAAACCCCCCAGGGTTAAAAGGAGATGGTTGACCCGCCAGAGTTGCTGATGTATGGGCTGCTTGTAAAAGTATTTGTGAGGTCGTTGATGGCACTGCTTGTGCGGCAGTTACTACGTGATGAGATACAATTTCACTGGTTGTAGTTGGTGATGTGGCTTGAAATGTTCCAGTGGTACTACCTCCGGTAAGACAATTATAGGACGTGTACCAGGAACCAACGGGATCCATTACCCAAGCTAGGCACTGTAGTGCCTTGCTTGGTAAAAGTTTAGCGAACTCTCTCACTGAACAATGTCGTTAAACACATTCCAATGTACTTATGTGACATTCTATCCGCAACTTTGTTATGTGCTTACTTATTTACACTATTTTTATAGTAGATTATACTAAAAACTCCAGTGTATACTCTCAAAGTTATCCAATTATCGTAGCATGTTGAAAGAAGCTCCCAATTTTATCTGAAAAATACAATGTTTCATTTTATATAATAAAACTTGAATACTGCTACTAACAAAATTATTAAAATCACAATTTCTTCAAATTGTGAGTGTGTGTACAGCACATTTTATAATAAACTGAGAAACTATATATGTCACATTATTATATAATATGTAATTGGTCTTAAAGAATTTTTACTTAAAAAAAAAAAACAATTGCATCCATGCAAAAGAGGCTATAAATATTCTAAATAATGCGTCAGCATAATACAATAGAACTTTACGTTAAACAGTAATATGATGTAAGAATTTTTATATATTCTTTTATATATCGTTATTTAACTAGACCTTACTGTAAAACAAAATAAACTGATACACATTGAAAGAAAAAAAAAAAACAAAACACATAGAAAACGCAGCAACTATTGCAACAGTCTATTAATCTTGTTAACAAGCACAAAAAGCACAAAGTAAACCTCTTACAAATTTATTTACATAAATATAGAAGAAAATAAATAACTTACTTTTCATACAATAGATGTGGTGCGAAGCAACAATAAAAAATGCACATTCATAACAATTGATTGTTAGGCGTCTCTGAAATCCACGCAGTGGAATCGAGTCCTTCTCGGGCAAGAGACAACGGACAATTGCAAGGATCCAGGATCACTCGGTTGTGAGGCTTTTTCTCGATGTGTCGAGGCCGTACCACAGCGTTCAGCTGGAATCAGTAATAATGACAATAATCGGTTCGCCGAATGCTGCACGTCCAACGACAACAAGACAGCATGAAGCAATCGCTGCATATTCAGCGCGGGAGCAGTTCCCGCGGCCCACCGAGTCCTGACGAAGACGAAGACAAAGACGAAGACGAAGATGAAGACGAAGACGAAGACGACGACGATGATGACGATGATGATGCTGCTGCTGATGAAGATGACGATAACAATGCCGATGCCAATGACAATAACAATGATGAGGACGATCTTATTATTTTCAAAGACGCACAGCCACACGACCGAATATCGCGGAATGGTGCGATGTTCACCAGACTATCGTACACGTCCCGGCGAATAATACCATAAATATGGCTACAGGAGCACGAGTTACGAACGCGCGATATGCGATACGCTGGCGGCACCAGCATCATCGAACAGCGAACGAGTTATGCTCACATGGTCCGAGCGTGCGATCGCATCAGGACGAGCACATTTCCGGATGCCGCTCTAGGACACGTCGCGGCGATCCATCGTTCTCTCGCGCGGATTTATTTATCGTCTACAGGTGCAGCGTTCCGCATCGACATTTATACGTCCCATACTTGTGCACCGTATAACACCGCTGCCTCATTATTGGCTGCCATTTCGATTCTAGTCAACAATAAGTCGTGCCATCTTTCGTCTGTTTTAGGTAAATCACGGGAAATCATCACGTTTGCGCGCGGCCCAGGCGAGTTGATTTTATCAACAAATTTTGACTTCGCCAACGATGAAACTTTTATCGAATGTGTAAAGAGAGACGTCAAGGCAACATCGGCAACCTGTTGCTTGTTAAAACTCACGTACGTACGTAGTTAAACACTTTGCGTGTAGTTTAAACATTTTGAAAACTTCCTCCGTTCTCTCTCTCTCTCTCTATCTCTCTCTCGAGAGATGCTTTGTTTGAAATAATAAAATTTTATTTGATGGTGGCAAAAATTTATGAATTTTGTATTTCGAGTAAAATTACAAATTTTACTTGGATTATAAAATTAAAAAAAAAAAATCTTCGATACTTCTCTGTTTCAATTAAAATTCCGGGAAACAACAAACTTATGTAAACAGGGACGGGATAAAAAAAAGATTTGATTACGTTACGTGTGTGCGTGACACTGAAAATTCATATGTATATATATATAATCACAATATATAATAACATTTATTATATAATCGTAAATGTAAGAATATATTTATAATTCCTATTTCCTAGTAAGAAAGAATTATAATAGCATAACACGCGAGTACGATTATGTTATTGATTGAAATAGGTAATATTGTATCTATAATTGTATTTTTTACAACTGCCAAATTATTGCTAATGTGTGTGTTTGTGTTTGTTTGTTTGTTTGTGTGTGTGTGTGTGTGTGTGTAGAGATGATGAATAGGCAGTTCGTAAAACTCGCAAATCGCCTTACTCATTATCATTACAAGGGACAAATAGGATTCAACAATTAAGACACTTAGTTGAGTATATCGCAGATATCATACAAAGCGTACCAATGCCACTGCCCTTGGAGCGAAATAAAAAATAAAAATTCGAAATTTTTTTTTGTAGAGACGCGCGTCTCGAGAGATTCTTTGCAAAGTGGTACATCGGCGCGCAACCAAGAAACTTATTAAATTTTCAATCTTCGCTCGTTAACAGAAGAAGAGATCACGCAAGTGGTAAACGATTCGAGACGATCGTTGTCCCGTATATTAAAACACAATGCAATCAGATCGATAATTAGAAAGACGTTACATCGGGAGAAAAGAAAATTACATGTGTGTGTGTGTGTTAATATGCATTAGCGAAGCTTTGTGATTCTGTACAGTGGCGGTATCACAGTTATTTTGATATCGTACAATACGTAGTCGCTCGTCTCGTCGCGCGACTCCCGGATGTAATAATATTGAACCGAAACAGTCGCGTTTTACGGATATCAAGTGATATTAGTAGTGCAACTACGGCTTTTTTTTTTTTTTTTTTTTTTNTTTTTTTTTTTTTTTTTTTTTATTTCTCGTGCAAAGATTTGTGAACCCATTGTTTTCTGAAAAATCAGCGCGTTTAAACGCACATTCACACACTCTCTCTCACTCACTCACGCACACTCTTTCTCTTTCTTTCAAGCAATCAATGTGTGTGTGTGTGTGTATATATAATCCGCAAGAAAACTATTAGAAATAAATAAGACTATAACATTGTGTGTATTCTATGAAACTAGCTCAAATCTGATACGGTATATCGGAATTGCAGTTGAATCAGAATGATTTTTGCAAAAACAAACAGGTATAAATCTTTTAAAATAAACGATAAAATAAATAAACAGTACGTGTGGCAGCGCAGGACACATGACCTGGCATAGCTTTGGTTTTTTTCCTCGGTCTCTCTCCCTGGTTTTTTTTTTTTTTTTTTTGTTTGTTTTGTAAAATACATTTATATTAACCCTTGCTCAGCGGACCCAAAAATCCATTCATCAGACCCACCTTCACAGACTTGTTACGACTTATAAGCGACAGTCATTGTAGTCCTATCTTATGTAACTCGAAACAAAAGAGAAGCGCTTTCTCAACTCTCGCGCTATCGCGCGGTATCGAGACATCGCATATTTTAATCAATACAGTAGAGCGAGCATTTTAATTTATCGATTGATCAATCATTATTATGCGACTTTGCCGCGTAAAAAACTGCGATTAATACATTCGAGACAATGACTCGGCATTGCAAGGGGTCATGCAATGTTTCAACGTCGGACGTTGGTCTCGAATATATAAAATCGATAAGTTAAAAAAAAAAACCTCGCTTATATAATAACGCGAAAAAATCATGAAGACGACGAAGCGAACAAAAGTGTCATCTTATTGGGCGCTCGTATAAGAAAATAGTCAAAAAATACATTTCAAAATTCTTGGAAGATGCTATGTTTGTACAGACAATTAATATAAACGAAACTGCGACGGAGAGATGTCATGTTCGTATTCTCTCTCGCGTGATGGAGAATAGCTTGAACTTCAATTTAAAAGAATAGTTTAAAAATAAAATAATATTTTATATATCCTTGTTCTCTGAGAAATATATAGAATATTATTTATTTGTGTGTGAATGCTATTTTAAATTGGTTTTTTTAGATTCTCTAACTTAGAATTATTATAATGCGTATAAAAGTATCGTTTTTTTCTTTTCTTTTTTTTTTTAATGAAAAACAAATGTCAGTATAGCAAAAATTCAGTATATTATATCCTAGGAACATGAAAAAGTGAGACTTTTAGTTTGAGTTCAAACTAAAATTTGGATCCAGGATCCACCGTCCGAGGATTAATATCTAAATGACGGTAACATTATAAAATGCAATATCTCTGCTTAATCAATATTGCTTTGTTTCACACATATTGTTTTTTTGTTGTTGTTGTTGTTTTAAGATATTTTAACAAACGGCTACCTCTTTTGCATTTTCCGCTGTTGCCACATGGCAAATTTCCTATACGCAGTGTTTAGCAATTGATTTAAATGACTCGTCAAGTGTTGACTGACTGGAGAAAATTCTCTTTGTACACGATCCTATGGGACAAAACCGAAATTGAAATACCTTACAATATGGAAATCTCTGTTGTAATAGTTGTAAATATAATATCGCAATGCTTACCTCAAAAGGCTTTAATTTAGCAGAATGAAACTTATGTAAAGCTGCGTGCATTCTTATCGCTTTTTCCTCGAGCTGCGGTGTTGTCGGAGGAAAACTTCGCCAATAGTGTTTTAACAATTCGCACGCACATACATATACATTACGTAATTCTTTCTCTAATTCCTTTGGTATTAATTCTATATTCACAAACAAGTACATGGTATCAGCTTTATATTGATACAGAAAAAAAGCAGAAGAGATAGATATTTTATTTAACAATCAATATACTTACGTCCAAGACTCTCTTCTCTAAAACCTTTCATTAAGGATCCACCAGGTGTTAATTCACCTAAAACCGATACTGCTGCAGCTGGACTAACTAAGGACGTTATTGCCTGCCGCGGCAAAGTGTTGCCAGATACCCATCCAGAAGCCTCTTTTTTCAAATGGCTCAATGTAACAAGTAGTTCTTCAGAAGTTGGCTCTGTGCTACCACTTCCTGGTACAGGTCCATGCAGATATCTGTCTATTTGTGTCAGATTCAACGGAGCTCTGTTATTCATATTTACGTCACAGCTCGTGTCGAGATCATCGTAAGTTATCTTCTCCTGTATTCTACGCTGTAAAAGATATGTCAAAAAAAAAAATCAGATTTTATATAAATTTTTCTAATTGTGTAGAATTGCAAATGTTTAAAATAGAGAGAAATATATATCGTACCTTTTTATTCTTTGGTCCATCATCCACTTCATTAACTGTGACTTTACTTGCAGAAGGTGAAGATCCATTTAATTGCGGTTGATTGACTTGTTGTGTCGACTGTTTGGCAGTGCTAGCTTTCATAACCATTATACTATGTTGATTGAACCTCTTGATCATATTTTGATGAACAATATTTCCCGATGCCTTATCAGATTTAGTGCAAGTGCTCCCGTAATTCTCGTCCAACGTTTGATCCTCAAAAGAAGTGAGATCCACCAAAAGGTCATTTATCCCAGACTGAAGATCCTTTTTAAGTTCTTGATCATCTATTTTGGCACACTCGGTAAAGAGATCCTTGGTCCCAGCATTGATACGATCTCGATGAAAATAATGCGATTGAAAGAACTTTGTCCAGAAGTCAGATTCCGACATCTTGTGAGGCACATTTTCCTGATGTTTTCTTTTTACAGCTGGGTAAGTTTTAAATATGCATTCTATCACATCGACGGTTAAATTATATCTTAATCCATTGCAGCCATCGGTTTGTGGTTTGATATCAGCCTGAAACAATTTACATTGATCCATCATTGTGATAATTCCGATCATTGATGCACTGAATGAGAAAATCATCAATTATAAAAGATATCTTACAAGAAAAGCACTATTAACACCTATCTCTTGGCGTTGAGTCTTTTTGGCTTGCGTATATTCTGCAGCATGTTGTGCCCAAAATTCCTCAGATGATATAATTTCTGTGATAACGAGATCACGATACAACTGAAGCAGTGTAGGATGTTCTTGGAGAGTTCTGAAACAAGATGAGTGCAATTAATAAATTTGTTACTTACGTTCGTGTTTTTTTTTTTTTTTTAATTAATATGGATCACATTTTGTCTTGTACCTATTTTTCTCTTCTAGTTCTTTGTTAACTTTTCTCTTAAATTTTGGCAATAACTGCTGTAGCAGTTCTTTTACATCATCACGATCTTTAATTTGTGCCTCTTGTCCATTTTTATTTACAAAATGAAATGTAGATGATGTGCCATCATGTAACACCACCTGCAATTGTATCTTTGACTTCCCTTCTGGTGATATCTTTTGTACTGTAAAGAAGAAGAACAGTCTAGAATATTTACTTTGCATAGAAAAAAATTGTTTTATAAGTATAGGATATTTGTGTATCGTAACTATAAAATTATTTATTATTAGTATCTTACATTTAATATCTGCGTATTTGTGACTGACAGATACAGTGTCTCTGTTGTCGAGCATCCATGCTATTCGTTCATTCATCACATACAAAGTGCCGTCTCCTTTTTTATAACGCACTTGGCTCACTTGCATCAGGACATCTTCTGAGGATGTAGTCATGGTGGATGTATGATGTAATACAATTCTGTGAAAAAAAGACAAATTGTTTTCTAAGAAAATTTATATAAAAACCAACTGACACTTGTGTTATTTTTAGTGAAGCTTATATTTATTATTTAAAAAAAAAAGAACAGAAATATATAGAACAAACAACATTAGGAAAAATCATTGCACTACTGTGCACAAGAGAGAAAGACAATGCTTTAAAAAAACATTTATTTGTAGACCGTTAGACAGAGACTTAATTGCTTTCTTTTTTTCTCGCACCAAATGTAATGATGAATATCGTTATTGAATAAGGAAAGACCGAGATGGTCCTATATAGAGTTCGAGTTGTTTGTCGCGATGTCCTTGAATATTGCGCGACAATTAATTCGACGTCCGATCACACTTTTGCGATTGTTTTTCGTTAAAAATCGCACGAGAAGCGATGATTCGCGACGAGAAGAGCGTCGGACGTCGAGGAAATTCGCGTTGCGGCGCCAATACCGAGACGATGTAACGCGCTGCAGTGTGAACCCCCGCGCGAATCTCGTTTTCATCGATCAAATATTTTAATTACCGCGAAAACTCGGCTTCGCGTACGGTTTTACGCGAGAAACGCGCGTTTCCCGTTCACGTGGCGTGAAAACTAATGAAAAAACGAACATTTACCAGCGGCGAGTCGCCGAAAACCGCGGAGCAGTGTGGAAACCCGTCGGGCGGCACGGCCATGTGCAGAAACACACGTCGGTGGACGCATCGCGAGACGAGCACAGCCACCAACGGACCGTCTGTACGGACAACACCATCGACCTGCGGCGACTGACGACACTATGTTGTTCAAGTGACGGCGTTGTCGCCGCTTCCTGTCCCGGCGTTCGCTTCACGGCATTTATTCCGTCTCGTGTTTGTCGCGCGCGTACGGCGTAGATACTCGCAAAAACTATCTGTTATTTCGTTCATTTCAGAATAAAAATTCAACGCCACGCGTCTATTCGCAAAAATTATTTTGCATTTTCGCAGTAACAATATTGAGTGAGACTCCGTTGGCGCGTGCATATTAAATGCGCTGCGCGTGCGCCGAGCGCGCGAGGGCGCTGACAAACCCAATGAAAATTTGTTTTTCCCAGTTCTTTTTTTCGACGAAAGATGCGCGGAGTAAAAATCGCGGGGATAATCTCCGGAAATTTTCTCTGTGATTACAATCGCTTGATTTTTTTTTTTTTTTTTGTTTTTGTTAAGATATCTCACCGTCAAAATGCACGTCAAAATAAACTTGGCCTCCACGGAAGGTAAAAAAATACACGGATTCTTTTCTCTTTTTCTGTTGAGAATTTTTTTTAATTATTTGAATTTTTCTTATGTCGCAGATTTTGAATATATAATAGAAAAACCAGAAAAGCAGAAGATATGTTTTGGTTCTGGGAAGCCACGTGACACCTCGAAAAGAGGTATGAATTCTTTCATGAGGTATCACACCGGAGAAGATCGTCCCAATATAGGACCTGGCTCCTACAATGTACTGGAATCGTTTAATGCGGTCAAAACTAGGGTACAAATATGTACATGGCGTTAGTTTTTTTTTTTTTTTTTATATGTTAAATACACGCGCGTGTATTTCACATATCGCTTTTACAATTTGCGCGATTCTCTTTCAATTCAGCCGTGTCTTCGCAGTATCAGCAACAAGGGTTACAGTGGCCTGGCTCGATTCGCCAAACCCGTCGCTCGCACAGAGAATTATCCATCGCCAACGGATTACTTCCCTCGCTTTCCTACTAAAATCAAATCACACAAACGTCCACTTCCGTCTGTCAGCAAACGGAGATACTTTTATTCCGACGATAATCCAGGGTATTAAAGTTCTGTATAAAAAAACGAAAATTTGTATTCGATCACAGTAAGCAACACAAAGTTTCGCTTCAGACCCGGAATGTACGTGAGCAAAAAGATTCAAGGTATCACCTTTGAGAACAGTTTCGGCGGCAGAGTTAAAATGCAATTAGGCGTCGATCTCAAGTGTTGCCGCCGAATCACGGACACTTGCGACTTGTGTAAGACAAAACCCACGGGAGATTATTGGCATTTGAACGATAAGATTTTCTTGTGCCGAACGTGTATGACGAGAGAGTTTCAACGCCAAGTAAAATTTAAGAGGAAGGAACTCAAGTTATTTCGCGTAAACGTTTAAGAATCAATTCTTATTACAATAAATATTTACACACACGCACACGTGTGAATAATTAGATTGATTCTTGCAGCAAGTAAGAGATTGCTCGCATTTTCACGTTCACGAAGGTAGCGACGCGAAGATATGGCTGATGCCACCCGCCACGGTCAACCAGTGGAGCAGAAGAGAGGCGTATCTCTCAGCTTACTTGAAGGATTAAATCAAACAGAAGTAATCAAGAAAAAATCCTTCTCTCTCCAATTTGATCCTCCATCCAGTGATGTTTTTCTGCAATCAATATAAATTTGTCGCATATATGAACATTTTTTTTTCCATGGATCGCGTTTACCTCATTCTTAAAACCAACATGTTTTAATACGTTTTAAATTTGTTCAGACATTAGAGAGGTAGGTCCTGAAGCAATTGTAATCAATATTTATTTGATATCATCATTATTTATATACAGGTCGTCATTTACTGAAAGTTCTGGAATCGGTAAGTTTTATTGTGACGCATAGATGTGTGCGCGCGTGTCGAGGCCAGTTCGAGTCCGTCGCTACAATTGGTTCAAGTATCAATGTGAATGTTAGATTTACAAACAGAAAAATATTAGCACGAAAGACCTTAAGATTACTTTAAAGACAAGGTACAACTTCATACGCAATACCAACGCTTGGTTTATCTTGGAAAATTTATCGCGAATTTATAGTTTTAAAACGGAGCCAGCCGGAGTTTGCACTTCCGCGAACATTGGGCCGCGACGTTTTTACCTATTATCACGTTCCCACTTTCTCCCGCGCCCTGAAGTGCAATGACTCCGGCCGGATCTGGTTTAAAGTTTATTTGTCATATTATAAAACTTGCACTCTCTCTCTCTCTCTTTGTTAAAATGTATATAAATATATAAATTACTTTTATATATATATATATATTTCTAAGTCTAATTACAAGTGTGTGAGAATCAAAACGTGCGTCTCGGTTGGTTAGGATGTGTCATCTTGCGCGGCGTCGTGTTGCTTCGACACTACCGGCTTCTTAACCTCCTCCACGGGATTTCCACCTTCGGGCGCTTGTCTCGACACTCCGGGAAAAGACAGTTCCGATATGGTGGAACAATTTTCCATCTTGTCGTCGTTCACCTGCTTTATCAACAATTTGTCGAACAACTCGTTTGACGTAGACGATCCCGCATTGTTACTCATCATCAATTCGTTTGTGGATTTGTAAATAACGGTGATGTCGATGCTGTCGTTCGGGTTTTCCGACGCGCTCGAAGATGTCGAGGATAGGGTGTTCCCATCCTCGGACTCCGACACGTTCGTCCGTCTGTTCGTTTGCGCGTCCACGCGAGATGAAGCGTCGTCATCATCTCTTGTCGAACGATCGATCTTGGTGCCACATTGAATAGCCGCGTTGAAACTTCTCGAATATCGATTATCCAGTTGCTTCACGGCTTCCACTTCCGGCGACGCGACCGACGAAACCTGCAGATCCGGTATCAGATGCTGATACAGAAGCGGATTAATTATGTTGTCCAGATCCAGATGACGTATGTTTGAAGTTAACAAATACGTCGTCAGCTCGTCACAGTTCACACTGTCGTTGTTTTCTTCCGCGACCAATTCCTCGCGTATCACGGTCGATATTCTGCTGGACGGTTGTCGCGACTCCTCGGACGATTTGGGAGTGCTCTCGCTGATGTCGGACGCAGCAGAATTGTTCGCGTGAGAATAAACGACGTGGCGCTCGTCCGTGTTGTTATTAATTTGCGCGGGCATCGAGCAAGTACTGACGGTGTGAACGCTCTTGTCCTGAACCTGCGAACTGTTCTTGTGCTCCCGCAAAGCCGCGAACAGCTGTAAAATATCTTTCTTCATCGGTGCGTTCATTTCCGGGTTTAGTCTAGGTGGCAGATCCAACGAGAGCTTGTCAAGTAGATGATTTATGTGAGTTCTGGTACCTCGCACCGGATATTCCGCGCTGTTACCGTACGACAGATAGTCACGAGTCGAACTGTACTGATTTTTGTACTGATTGTGATAATATCCGGGATGTTGTTGACCGAAGTGCGGGTTGGAGCAATATTTAGGATCGGTCGCTTCGGAACTCACAGTTCTGCATTGATTAGACGACGGCTCGAGGTGTGGATTAGTGGTGCTGGTAAAAGAAGTTTGTTTTTCGCTATTCGCAGCGTTTCGAGCAATTTGTGTTTTACATTGTTGTGCCATCTGCGACGTTTCGTTAGAGGAGTACACGGAAACTGCACGCTGCGGTATCTGCGAATTCTCGTCGTTATTCTCGTTTCTTTCGTCAGTATTCTCATTGTCGCTATTTAGTTCGATCATGTCGAAATCGTTGTCGATATCATCCTCGAAAGCTGTGCTCGTTACATCACGCAAACGTGATTGCAAACGTTTCGTTATCTGATCTAGTTCGGTCAATTTTTGTCTGTAACACGATATCGATGAGCGGTTAAATTCGGCAAATAAATACATAAATTTTTCACTTCAAGCAAGTAAAATTCCAGTACCGCTTACCTCAGTGACGATGACAGAAAAGACATAGAAATGTCTTCTAAACCGTGACCAATGTCTGCTACAAAATCATTCGGCTTATGATCATTTTGTACAAATCTGTCTTTATTGTGGCTTATATACGATACCATTTGATGTACACTGTTTGGCTCTGCATTGCCGTAAGACGCGTGATACGGCCTGTTTGTTTGCGACAAATTACCGCATCTTGATAAATTATTAGCAGCGACCGATGCTAATTTTCTTAACGGTAATAAACTGTCCAGAGGTGTGATACTTATCTGAAATCGAATTGAAATTTATTTTACGCACGCACGCGACGTACACGCGACCGCTTTGATCGGAAGAACTTGTTTAAAAGCGTGAGAATTTACTTTGATCTGTCCGTTACATCTTCCGGTCAAGTCCATGATGTGAAACCATCCGGATACCATGGGGAATCCGGCCATCAGTACCGAGAGATCGATGGCAGAAAAGCCAATTATAGTGTCTCTTTCCAAATTGATTTCGGCGGATGCGTCTGGATCGTTCAGGTGCCACACTTTGAGAATTAGTCTTTTCTGATTCTGAAAAATATCATAGGGATAAAAAAAAAAACAACCGCGCGCAATGCAAATTTGCACACAACATGTAATTAAAAGAATTACGTACGTTCAAAAGCAAATCCGTCGATAATTTTGCATCGCATCTCCAATTCCATTTTGGATTGCAACTGTGTCGAAACACATTTGTCGCCACGTACGAATTTGACTGATCATTATGATCGCGTTTGTGAGACAGATCTTGAAAGGTTACGTACGTGCTCGGTTCCAGCAATTCGTTTGGACCCTCGATCTTTGGCAAATGCAACGCACACTCGATTTCCACAACAGATCGGAAGAAAGAACCATCGCAGGTAATGTTAGATTCCTCTTTCTCCGTGTTTTCTTCCGTGTTTACGGGCGACTGAGATAGATTATGATAAACGTTATTGTTCTGTTGTTGATTCGATTCTTCGTATTCCGCGCCAACGCCGACGCTTCTGTACATCTCGGTAGGTCGAAAATTGTTTCCCGGACTGCAGCTGTTGCTGTCGTCATTGAGATTGCTATTGCTGTTACTGTTTAATGTATTCAAACGTAATTCCTCGGTGGCTCCTACATCCATCGTTTGATCATCTCCGCCGATCTCTGTTTGAGCCGACTGATCTGTGTTGTTTTTATTGCTGTGCAACACATTGGCCAATCGATCGACCAAAGTATGCAAAGTCAAATGTTTCGTATACGCAGTTTCCCGCACCGGGCTGTCCGTTGCAGCATTTTTAAGACTCGAAATGTCTGTCTGGCTCTCTTGAGTTTTGTGATCCGCAAAAGCCAAATCCCGATCGGGCGTGTTATAACCGTGATAAACGAAATTATCACAAGTGGACGGGCCCGAGTTGAGATTCGCCATCTCAGAGACGTTAGACTGCGAATTCTGTTGATGACGAGTCATTTCGTATTTCATATTGTCATAGCACTGATGGCTACAAAGTGTTCGCGATACGATACTGGTGTTTCTCAGACCTCTTGACATTTCTAGCGACGCAATTTGTTCCGCAGTACCGAGCGCAACCAGCGCGAACAGTTCTCCGCAAAATTTTCCACTTATTGGATCGTTTATATTGACCCAACCGTCCACACTTATTACGGGATACTACAAAGAACATATTACACATATTGTATATATATATATGTATAAACTTGTTTACAATTAACGCGCAAATTACCTTTGACAATAACAAATGAGGCAGAACGAGCGGATCTCTGTAGGCAATGTATAACTGATGCACAGACAACTTCGCTATTCCCAACAAATTATCCGTCCCGCTGTTTTGACGACTGTACACCTCTATGATTATATGATTATCCCTGATTCTTTCCAGCAGTTCTGTACCGTGAATTAAAGGTACTAGCTATAACAAACGTTTGCAACATTAAAGTCACATTTGTGTTCGAGCGAAGAGTCAGTTTGTTAAATGTGTAAAAACAAAACGTTTACTTGAAAAAAATGATAAAACGGATGTTTCGTATTATTGCAGATTTGACTGGTCGCTTTATCCTCTCTCCAAAATGCTCTACATATTAGATAAGTATTAGATTCTGGCAAGTCTTTACCCTCGCCCACATATATTAAACCATGAAGCAAAACCTAAAATTAAAAGCGTAATCGTGTTATATATCACGAGTTTAGATCAACGTCATGATAAAAAAATGTTATATTGAACGTCATTGCGCATACACACACAAGCGTAATTCAAGAAAATATTTTCTCTCCACGTTCTCTACGTCATTAATATGAATTACCTTATCCTTAGTACTGCTTTCTGGATTACTAGTGTCAATCTTCTTATTATCTAAATTTTGTTCTCGGTGCCTCATTATATTTTCTTTAGAAATTAAATCCTTATTGCTATTATTATTGGCGAAACATTCAATTCGCTTGGCGGAGACCGATGACACTTTGTTGTTAGATTTGGAAGAATGAGTTCCCGTTGCGCTTCTATATCTGTTACTATTCGCGCTCGCTGTAGGATTTGTTTCCAAAATAGGAATATTTTCTTTGGCAGACAATACAGCATCTAAAAGAACAGTTTCATTAGCGATTATTTTTAACCACAATTGCACACAATTATTTAACATAATTAACATTTCAATGAACATTTCATTACACGTACCAACAAATTGTTTTCCGAAGTTCATGGAATTACAGCCCAATTCCGCGGTGACTTTTAACTCGCCTATTTTGATGCCTTTGTTTACAATAGCTATGCACTGAGTACTGCTTAAATTTGCGCTAGTAACAATATCACTGACATTCATAGAACCACATCCCAATTCAGTCGGAAATTTTTGATTAATATGTCGAACAAATAATTTGAACTTCAAAGGAAAGCTTTTGTTCACAATGTGTCTCGGTATGCTGTAGACACCTTCCGAGTTGAAGTCAATTACTATAAAAATAATATAATTGTTATATAAATTATGTGCACATTTTACACGGAGTTGTCTTTTACATTATTGTACATCTTAAGTAACTTATTGCACTCAAGTAATTTTTTATCATTATAGGCTTTTACCTCGACCCGTTTGTTTTTTAGCACATGTTCTTACGAACTTATTGTCTTTCTTAGATTTCGCATCTGTTTGCCTTACAGATCTAAACGTTGTGTCATATTGAATGAAATACGTCATCGTTAACGGCACATCATCTATATTTGAAAAAGAAATGTGTGATTTAATCAAAGTATGTATTCAACATGTTGTTATGCGCTTTAAGTAAAATATTTACAAAAATTTAAGTTTACATACGTTGCAAGCATGTGGATTTCGCGCGCCTATATCCCGCGGGACTCATGGTGAAGGATTCAATGAAAATTCTTATGCTGTCTATGTAATCAAGAGGATGTGTCTCTGAAATGTAACACACGAAAATGAATAAAATAAAATATAAAATTAGGATAAGTTATCTTTTAAATTAAATCTAATCTATTGTGTTTTACAAACCGTTTAGCTCAGTATAGGTCTCTTTATGCAACGCATCTTCTACTGGATTGTTCAATTTCAGGGAGAAATGCTCAGCCTGTTCAGTCTGTTTATTATCATTTTTATCAGTTTTAATCGTTTCAGATGCTAGATCTATGAAACTCGGAGGTGGAGATATTGATCTCAATATATCCAGGGCTTTTTTCTCCTCCGAGAAAGTCATTTTCTTTCCCAAAATATATTCGTACAGTTTTGTATCATTTTCCACCGAAGCGTTCGGTTCATTGTTCATTGAAGTATCACTCAAGGCTAAAGAATCCTCATTACAAGTTTCTCTTAATATCGCTCCTCTGAGTCGCTGTGCTCTAGCAACAATCTGAGCGACCAACTTGTCTGTCATCATTTCGTTGAATTTTTTTCTATATACTGGAGTCTCTGGTTGTCTGGTCTTAAGAACAGATCTGTATGTGTCAAATGTATCAATATTCGTAGATTTCGCGGAGTTTCTTTTCTTAATATTTTCCATATTCTTACAAGATGTTACAGATGTAATTTTATTATACTGTAAATCATTAACACCAGATAGTAAAATATCATTATCTACATGTTTCTTACTACATTTGTACGGTTTTGACTGCATGTTTGAAAGTTTTTTTAAATATGTTAATTGCAGAAAAACATGTATCTTTCCTACTTTGCTTCCGCTGTTATTTATTATCGAAAAAAATTCGGAATAAGGTTCGCACGTAAGTATCCTGGACAATTCTCCCACATGTACCGTGCCGATAACCTCGTGAATCTTCTCCGCTATGATTACTAATTCTATTGCTTCACAATTTTTAATATAATCCTCAAACAACGTGGCATTGGTCCTTATATCGTATATCTCGGTTGTATCACTGTTTGTTCTTACGGTATCTTCAATACTATCTATTGGCCTGTTAAAAAAACAAACAATTGTTATTAACATTCAGCAATACGATCACTTCTTTCAGTGTGGACTGAAGAAAAGCGTGTCTAAGGGTATCATTTTGTTTCATCTCACTTGCTATCGGAAGATATAGTTTGGTTCAAGCAAAATATTGCTAGTCACCTGAATTGCGCGCTGTCCTGCTCGCCCCACCAGGAAGCCACTACTGTGACATCTCCGGGATTTCTTCTAATCCAGATGATCTCGTCAATAACGAGCTTCAAATTGCCGTGAACTTTGCCTTCGACCAACGGCGGCAGAGATCTACATGGTTTTACTTCGAGATCCATTTGCTCTTTGTAAAGTAAAGCATACCTGATCTCTCACTCATCTGTAAGTTTGTCATCGGATCTGGAAAATCAAAACAGAGCGGAAGCCAGACAGAAGCGAATAGAAGTTCGGCGCAAAACGTGAATCCAATCAAATACAATCTTGTTTGATCTGCACCGAATTCCGCATCATTCCAAACATACCTTCACCTTAAGTCCGAATCGGACTGTGAATAAAGGCCTGTGTACACAGTAAAAGTTGTTTGCTTCCATTCTGGGGATATATACATAACGCATGCGCAATGCACTTGGTATTTAATTTTTTTTTTTCTAACTTATCGTACATATTATATATTTTTATCATTCTTATCACTTCTAATTTTAACGGTTCTCGCTTTTGACGATTAATTATTCGTTTTTAGAAAACTTAGCGTTGATTTGCATTCGGATTTTCTAAACTTTACAGTTTGCGTAAAAACATCTTCAATAATTTTGTAATTCCAAGTGTTCATTAAAAATTTATTTTTTTTTTTACTAATAGTTACGCACACTTCTGGAAATATTGCACAATGGTTCAACAAGTTTTTATTGGTCCAGTAATTCAAACAGATGAAAGCGGAGAATTAATTATTAAAGAGCACTTGGCAATTTTTACTCAGGATGGCAAGGTATAAAATATCTTTAAAAAAATACACAAAAAAAATATATATATAAAATAATATAAAATTCTAAACACTACACATTTAACATTGTAGATCATTCGTATCGAGGAAAATGTACCAATAGGTCAACAAGAGATCGAGTATTACCTGAAAGATTTTTCTGTGGACGAAGTTAATATCTTATCACATGGACAATTTATGATACCTGGATTCATCGATTGTCACATTCATGCGGTTCAGTTTCCAAATCTTGGTTTGGGCTATGACAAATCTCTCCTGGACTGGTTGGAAACATATACATTCCCTTTAGAGAAAAGATATACTGATACAAATTTTGCAGAGCGAGTATTTGATGCAGTTGTGGTATGTGTGACACACAGTGTAACGTTTCTATTAAAAATTAATCAGAAAATTATATTGTATTTGATATAAAATATTGAATAATTGTTGGTTTTCATTTTAGAAGCAAACTATTAGAACAGGCACAACAACAGCTTGTTACTTTGCATCTTTATATGCTGAAGCATGTATAATTCTTGCTAACAAAGCTGCGGAGCTGGGCCAGCGAGCTTTTATTGGAAAAGTAAACATGAACTTTCCTCGTGAAGATGGATATTACGAAAGCACTGAAAAGTCAATTGAGAATACTGTAGCTTTCATAGAATCTATTGAACAAATAGGGGTAAATCCAAACTTATTGTGTGTGTGTATGAATGATTGAAATAGCAACTCTTCAATTGTAGGTAGAAATCCGCAAGATTAAATGTACATTCATACACCAACAATTATTATTCAATATTTCTTATTTGTAGAATTCACTTGTGAGGCCAGTTATCACACCAAGATTTGCGTTGAGCTGCGACATGCAGTTAATGAAACGACTTGGGGAAATTGCTAAAGCAAGAGATTTACATATACAGGTATCTTCAGTTCAGTTTGCACATACATATAATCGCCAATGTGTCACACTATTTTTACAATATATTCATCGATTTCATATAGAGTCATGTTTCCGAGAATTTAGCTGAGATAGATGCAGTAAAGAAAGCTTTCTCAGACCAGTTTTCGTACACAGCTGTTTATGACAGCGCTGGTCTTCTCACCAGTAAGGTATAAGTTAATTCACATTACATAATAGATTAAGAAATGACAAACATTGGTTTCTTATACAAATGTTTTTGCATGACTTGTTTACAGACATTGTTAGCGCACGGAGTTTATCTCGAAGACAGTGAACTTGTCATCTTGAAAGAACGAGGGACAGCTATAATTCACTGTCCGTCGTCGAATATATATTTGAAAAGCGGATTGTGCGACGTGCAGAGACTAAAAGCTCATAATATCAAAGTTGGGCTTGGAACAGGTGCCATAAGAATCTTCTAATGCAAAAAAAATACTGAATAATATCAATATGTCGATATAATATTAAATTTGATTCAATACTGAAATACGCATATAATATTCATTACGATAATAACAAATGCGTACTTTCAGATGTTTCAGGCGGAGCAAGCTATAGTATATTGAATGAAATGAGATCAGTTTTGCAAGTATCGAATTCATTGTCTATGATGAAAGATAATTACACGCAACTTAGTTACAAGGATGTTTTTCATATGGCAACTTCGGGAGGTGCTAAAGGTACATTTTTTATAATCGCATATTAAGAGAGAACAGAGTCTCCAGTATCTCATACTTGCAATATAAATTATTTTAAACTCTGTATTTTTAGCGCTTTCAATAGAAGACAAACTTGGCAATCTGATGCCAGGCAAAGAATTTGATGCTCTTATTATAGATTTGAACGCGGAAGGTAGTTTGTTGGACAATTTCAGAGAATACACACTTGAAGAAAAACTTCAAAGATTTATATATTCCGGTGACGATCGTAATGTAATATCAGTGTACATCAAAGGCAAAAAAGTTAAATAGGTCAAATATTTTATTTTTATACAAATTTTACAACTGAGATTCTAGATGTGATATTTTAAATGATGATATTTTTATATATCATACATATATCAAAATAAAGATTGAAGAAATTCGATAACGTCTTCTTTCACATCAATGTGATAGAATAATGTATAAATTTATATTTTTGTATTCCGCTACACACATGTCCACGTATGTGTGTGTGTGCGCCAAAGTTACATAAATAAAACCAATAATATCAAACATTTTTTATTTTAAATCACATTGTTTTTCAAATTTTTTATTTTTTAGTATGTATAACAAATAATATTTCTATAAATAATACGTGTAATTTTTTGTTAAAACCTTGAGACTTTTTCATATAGTCTAAATATAGTCATTTAAAATTTCTCCACAAGAAAATCAATAATAATTAATTAGATTAATTTCTACTATAAATGTATTTTAAAATAAAACGAGATTTTTTTTTTTAAGGGGAACGCGGAGATTCTTGATCTCTTATTACAGTCACACTGAATTATAACGTCAAAATGAGAAATATAAATTTTTTTTTGTACTATACATAAAAATTAACTTCTTCGAGAGTTTAGTTTTCAAGATGGTCTTAGGCAAAAAAGTATCAGATAACTAAAAACTTATAAAGATCAGATGTCTTTATACAAATTTATAGCTCTCGTGGCTGTTTTGCGAACAATTTAATTATAGTTTAGTTTGTTATTATAAAATCATTTTTTTTAATATTCTCTCTCACATTTAGTTTTATTATTTATATCTTACTGATACGGAATTAATTATATCGCGTGAGCCGCGCGCAAGAAGACACCGCAGAATTCACATTGGGTGAGGCGCTGCGTTTCTTATCTGAATATATCTGCTGAGAATCTGCTCAATCGACCAGCTGTTTAAAGGACAACGATTATTCATCATAGATAGTGCTTGATTCACGAAAAAACCAAGAAAAAAGATCACAATGCTCCACAACACGGCGCGCCATGACGTGTTTCTTAACCGAAAATGCAGCGATCTTGCGCTGAAAAAAGAGAAGTTGCGTTAAAATTTTAATCTCATCTCAGATATGTTGAAAACAACAACAACAAATTTAAGATACCACGAGTTATACTCTGAACTGCTATCGTCATTGGCAGAAAGAAATTCGGAACATGTTTCCTGATTGATGTTCATCTCCTTCTCAACAATCGAGCAGTTCATCGCACTTTGACTGTTGAATTGACTCAGTCGTATCATGTCGTTCTCCTCTCTTGAATTACGTCGAGATTCAGTCTGTTCGAAGATACCTCGTAATTCGCTGATGCTGTTAGAACTGCACGATAAGAAAACACAAATGTAACTTGATATAAATTATAAAAAGAAGAGACCGCTTGGTGCTTTTTAAAATACTTTGAGAAAGGAAAGAAGATTGTGTCTACTCTCAACGGTGTACTAACTTGTTGTGATTCAATTTCTCCGTTTCCCATTTAGGGGACTCGGCGCTGAAAGATGGTCTTCTTAGAGTCATACGTCCGCAAACGGAATTTCGTTGTCTCACGGTATCCTATATCGGTCAAAAATAACAAAGAGATGCAAATACACATTAGAAAAAGAATAAAAATGAACAAACATAAGCATGCTGCATACGCTGTGTGCTTCTCATTGTGTTAGTGGCGCGCAAAAATGTAAAAAAATATCTCGTTACCAAGCTAGGAAAACAAAAATTTATCAAGCTAAAAAAAACCAAGACAAATTGCCTTTGTGACATCTTGCGTGTTGCCCATCGGTCGAGACATTGTGGCTACACTAGCTCTTCTTTTAGTCATCTGGAAAGAAAATTACGACGAAAAACAAACGTACCGATCAATCGACAAAACGAGAAAACAAGTGCGAATGTGCAAGTTATTCGAAAAATTTCCTGCCAAATTTGTGCTAACGTGCGAGACTATATCGACCAAAGCAAAAGAAGAAAAAGTCCAAATATGACGAAGTTTTCATATTACGTGACAGAAAAAAAAAAAAAACTAGCAAAAAAGCAATGTACGTGAATCTGTAAATAATTTTCGAACCATCATACGATTATTGGCGCATGTGCCGCTCCGGTATCTGATCCGAGGCAGATCGTCGCTGAGTTCGCCGGAGTTCTCTTCTATCACTATGTTGTTCTCCGTCAAGATCCGTCTGGAAACGAACAGCGTGCACTGTCACCGATACTATCATGCATTCGTTTAGAAAAACGTTTGGAATGCTGAATCCTACTTCTACTTAACTTTACTCTACTATAGAGTGTTATATAAAAAAAATCATCTTAAACTGTGTGTCGCTAATTACTTGAGTTATCAGAAAACCAAACTCTTATACAGTTTTATTTGCAACAGGATTGAAGAGATACGCGTGTTATATGAATGTGATGTCACACGAAAGCCGAGTAAAACGTCAAAAGCATGATGAGGACAAATTAAAGTGACAAATCTGACCCTCACTTGGTCTCGGCAACATTGGCGGCCAGCTTCTCGCACCGGGCCAGCACCATTCGGACATACTTGTCGGTCAATAAAACGGCCCGGGCGACTCTACACTCCTGATGTACGGCGCCCAGAGTCTCGGCCGTGCAAGACACCCTATGAGCGCACTGAGCGATCATGTCCAACTGATGTCTGATTCGTTCCACTCGTTCCACGGATTCCCTGTCCGCGCATAACAGTCTCACAAGATCCTGACGTCATGCAAAATTCAGTCCTCTTTCAACGAACAGAGCAACAACGAAAACTAATTGACGAAAATTGCGTGGACAAAGACCTCACAATAAAAAAAAAAAAAAAATATTCCATTCCACATTTTCCGTTTTCTACACGGGGATTGATTTCGATAAAAGAAACAAAAGAGCTACGGGTTGTTCTTGTTCTTGCTCACCTGAATGTTCTGCTTCACCTTTTCCATCTCGCGAAGAAAATTCTTTTCCGACTGATCGCGTTGTTGAAGCGATATCGCCACTCTTTGCGGTAAAGTTAGCCTGTCGACGCAAAGGCACAGGGAAAACGCTGTGTATTTTTTCTGAAATTAGAAGAAGAACGCCGTGCGTTCAACAATCAACGAACAAAACTCTCGTTCTATTCGCAGCACAGTTTTTACTTACCTGCATCTCGAGTTCGCTTAAATTCTCTCTGTGAAAAATAAAGAGAATCATTCGACAAATTAAATTTATAATCCTGTACACACGAGATGATTACACACATGTTACATGAACTTGTACTCGCCTACTGTTCAACTCTGTGTCTGATGAGTTAGTTATATCGGACTCTTGTCTTGACGCTCGAACATCCGTCAGACTAGGAAAAGCCCTGAATTGATTCTCTTCCGGAATTGAGGACGCACTTTGAACATCCTGTCTGCAGCGGCACTTCGATCGCCCATTGTTTTCACCCTCCGAAAATGATCTTCTCGCCATGAAAACTCTCTGTAATGACAAAACATGTCTCGTTTAATTTTAATCAAGATCAACAAGGATTCTGTCTCGTGAATAAAACAACGTTAGAGTTCGAGTCTCTCTCTCTTCTCTCTCTCTGTTTTAAAACTTTGCATCTCTCTGATCTATTTTTAAAATAATAAAAAAAAACTATATACATACACGCGCCAGTGTGCGCGAGTTGCAAATCGTTAACAATCGCAGCGCGCATACGCGATTAGGTGAATTTATAAGTGATAAGAAAATATAGTTGACTCCTGGCACAAATCGCAGTTTCAGTGGTAAAGTGACCTTCGTGCGACGTTATCGCTTCACGATTTGAATAAATATTATCGGGGAAGAAAATGAGAATGTGTGAAAAAGAAATTACACGCGCCGGAACGTATCTCCAGCGTACTTGGAAGATCCGGAATAACAAATATTGAATGCAATAAAACTCGAGATATTTTCTCGACGTGATGTTCAGTTGTGGAAACGAACTCGTTGTGTTGTGTTTCCTCTTGCCGCGAAAACGATTCATTATTAAATTTATACGTCGCGTCGCGCGGACAAAGAGCGTAGCGGATAAGAATTTCGACAGCAAAGACTTTCTTCTCTCTTCATTTCGATTTTCTACCGATATATTATTCGTCGTATTCACGTGGCCAACCGAGGCAAATATTATCTCTCGTATCAAACGGAATAGACCGCCGGATGTATGGAAGGAACACGTGCGTTGTGTGACTCTCTCTCTTTTACCGCGCACTTTGGATATAATATTTATAACTTCGCGGTATTCCAGAGCTGAATATTTCGAGAGAGAGAGAAAGCAATTCAAAGGAGCGGCGCGTGATCTCTCTGTTAATTTAAAAAAAAATTGACAAAAGCGCGCGACGTATAGAGACAATAAAAATAATAATCCGAACAAACTTATTTTGAGCGCTCAAGCGTCTGATTGTTTGTTAGAAAATGTTTCTCTTCGTACAACAAACACAGAAATATCTAACGTTCCTGATGCAAATTTGCGTAAGATAAATCAATGGAATCAATGATACGTGTCAAGAAGATCAGGTAGAACCGTGACAGTCGACTGATTTAGAAATGATGAAGAAATCGTGAAACTTGGAATTGGTTGTTCGATCATCACGTAAAAATGTCGCGCATCAACATATAAGGTAGAAACTTGCACGAGCAACCTTATTTTTACTTTTCACCTCAGATCACCTCGTGATTGTTGCAGTCATATTCTGTCAACGATAATTGAAATATTAATTAAGTAAAATTTGGGGCGTGACTCGGTTGTTGCGGAAGAAAACCATTATCTATCTTGCGACGAGTAAAAATTGGACAAAACATCGATGTTGTAAAGTTTATGCGACAGTTGAAAGAGAGATATAAATGCAGAAGCAAATACAAACTGTAAAAATACTGCCGCCCCGAGAAGCACAGAGATATTTATAAAGCAAACACGAGAAATCTCTTGCGACTGTATAATATATATTTGTGACGGAAAAAGATTTATAGGTTGAAAGGTGATAAATTTCCATAATCACAAAGTAGAAGTGTCTAGCTGATGACAAATTAACTAGCGTAACGCTTGAAACGAGCTAAAAGCGAAAACTGCAGTTATTTAAAAACGCATGAGTTTTTTTGGTTACTTTAAATCTTGCGAGTTAAATATATATAAAATGTTATTTGTTTAACACATACTTTTACATATGTGCGAAGCCAGCAATAAAAAAAACATTACATATTTTAGTTTCTCTTTTTTATAATTGCAAAAGTAGCAAAAGTAAAAAAGTAGCAATAAAGTAAAAATTACATTTATGCTTATGTTTTATTGCGAATGTTTGATGTGAAATTCGCATTCGTGCGTGTGTAAATAAAAAAAAATATTTACTAAGATAATTGATCGTGTGTAATATAATAAAAAAAAAACAAACTACAAAAAGATTATACAGTCAGGTAATCCAGCAATTTTTCTTGTTACAAACCTGTTTTTACATAATGTTTTTTTCTTATGATGATTCCATTTATATGGAAAAATAATCCACTGAAGTTTTTCTCGTGAAGAAAGATTACAGCATTAACAAATTTAGATATTAATGCATGTGTGTGCGTACACATGAGAGTTCTATTTAAAATTTCCAATAAAAATAAATATTAAAATCATCTCAATCAGTGCTACCCGCAAGTGTAATACTGATGTTAACTAATGATAGTAAAATTCCAATAAATATGGCAGTTGCGACGCGTATAATTACGACGTACTACACGAGTAATTAGTGCCAATTGACCGCAGATTTATCGGTTGTAACTGTTCGTTTTCTTAATGCAACACTAATTGTCGAGATATTAAACGCACGGATCCATCATCTACAATTTGTTCGCATTAAGTGTTTCTATGAAGAGTAACATATCGTTAAGTGTTTTTCTATAAATTCTAATCGCGCGTATTCCAGCGTTTAAAATTATCGCGCAAACACACACCGACTTCTTCCCTTTTTCAAACAAGTTTACTCGTTTGTCTCGTGCATATATTACTGACATGTATTACCTGTCCTTTCGCTTTTCGTTTCCCGTTTCTGTTGTGCGTTTGTCTGCTGTTTGGCACCACGTTCTTGCATGATATTATCCTCGCAAAGGCCGGACCACTCACTTCACCGGCAGTTGTGTCAGTTTTGTTCACAACTCTCTTCGCGCACTGATCACCGGACTCCGCTGCTGGCTCCAGCTCGCTCCCACTGTCCGAACTGTCCTCGCGACTCGACATTTGGCTATCGACTGATTGCTTGACTCGTAACTGACTCTCACTGCCGACTCTCCGCGTGTTTGTCAGAGAGTGGGGATCTTCTGAAACCGACAATCTTTGTTGAGTCTGGGAGAAAATGAAATCAGCAAATTGTGATAAAAAGAAAGCAAAATAAAAAACACACTTCTTAAACACAACACGAACTTCATCTAATCTCGGGACAAACGTAAACTCCTGAATGATAAGTGCGAGATCAATCGGCAGCGTAATGTTTTTTCTACGCGCGCAATATCAATCGGTCAATGATGTAACGAGAGACTTCTATTCTGAATTAATTGAAAACAATCTATCCGTCCATCGAGGATTATAAATTAAGAGGAGTTCGAGAAATTCACTATAGAATAGATTACGTTGAGTTAAGCGATCGGCTAAAAACAAACCTCGAGGAGAATTCTCGTTCGGAACATAAACTTAAATTCATATTAGTAAATGAAAAAAGTCACATCGAGCCAAAATAAGATATTAATATAATAATATAATGATTTAATGATCAGCACTTACATGTATAAAAAATACGCAAAATATTTCGACTCTAACTGGAGTCTTCTTCAGTCGCAATTAACATATCAATAATATAAAAAATAGAAAAAATACGCAATATACATTATGTCTGGATATAAACGAAGTCATTGTTTAAAACCAACGTAGAAGATTGGTCGTTAATATTAAACATGGTAATATCTTATTTTGGTTCGATGTGAACCTTTTTCATTTACTAATTTGTTTTTACATTACGAGCGTTTCTGTTTAATTTATTACATTTTTCTTTGTTATAAATTCATATCTCAGAATAATTACCTTTTACTTCCGTTTTGCATTTATCCACGATAAATGTCGCAGATGAGTGCACGGAAGCAACGTTGTCCTTCTCGCGTTCACTGTCATCAGTGGAGGATAGAAGAGCAACATCCGATTCGATAGAATCAGCAACGGGAAAAGCGCGCTTGGAAGTCGCGGGAGTTTCGTTTAAATCGTTTTCTATTTTCCGCGGCAACTTCAAGCGCACAGGCGCCAGACAGATTGTTCGGCCCAACGATCGCTTGCACGGCGACTCGTCGTCCGGCAAGCTGTCTCCGAACGATTTGGTCGGTGTGGAATCGGTCGAAGAATCGCTGATGTTTCTCGTACTACGATAATTAAACGAACATCCAAACGTGACATCCGTCGTGACCTTGTCGATTTTCTCGTCGATCTGCGCGCAAGAGTCATCGCTCATTTCGCTCGGCAATTGCCTCGCTTCCAAACCAGATCCTCTTTGCGGATCCTCGCGCGAGTCCTGCACCGCCGCCATGTCGAACGATCGGCAGTAAACCGAGATTTTTCTACGGGGACTCGCCGGATTGCTCGCGCTGCTCACTTCCGGCACTTGATAGGTCTTAGCGGTATTAATTTCCTCCTTCAACATGGCTAGTTTTTGCGGAACCACTTGCAAAGCGCTACTACCCACTTTCCACATTTCGTTCGTTTGATCTCCGTCGAGTTTGTTGGAATTGTTCCGACTGAGGAAGCGCGATTCCGTAACGAAGGGTAAGAATTTCACGACGTCACCGTTCTCCCGCGTCTGAACGTCTCCCCGCGCGAAAACAGAGTTAAAAGACTCCGCTTTCGAATCTTGATGGCCGGATTCCTGCTGCATCGAGTTTTCCGCGTTCGACAACGGCAGTGACTGTGGACACGATGGCAATGTGTGCACTAATCGACACCTGTAAACAATACGTAGTAATCACAATTTGAAGCGAACACAACAGTTTTTATTGCAATTGTAAGACGTATACAAAAAAAAGTATTAGAGAACAATGAAAAAGAGTCTGACGATGACCGTTTCTCTTTGTAAAACAGAAAAAAGAGAGAGAGAAAGAGAAAGAAAGCCGAAAGAAAAGAGAAGAAACAGACGAAGGAGTTTCTTCTTTTTTTTTTCACAGCAAATAAATTTCCAACTAATAGTCACACACAAATTCCACGTGAAAATTTTTTATACAAATCGACCTTGAACTTCGAGGTGGTGAGTGCTCTTTGCGATTGGCAAGCGTGACCAGAGTGTTCTCAATGATTTCGTGCAATTCTTTGACGATAGGATCGATGGTGCGAAATCGATTTTGGCTGCCTGCGTGCGCTCTTATAATTCTCGAGAAGGAATCGTCGTCTACGTTGATCCCGTTCACTTGATGCGAAACAATCGACCGCCAATCCTTCTCTGTCTCTAGATACGGTTGGCTACAATAATAACAAACACGGAAAGCGTATATTTTATTTATTCTAATGTAAATTGTTTGACAAAAAGTGATACGAACGAATACCCCACCTAGATAGAGAACTTAAACACGCAGAAACTAACAAAAAGACCTACTTCTGCGCGCATGTATTATATATGTGCATAAAATTTGTTTTTACATGCGATATCTGCAACTCGTACATCAATATATTTGAATACCAATCGGCAAGAGAAGACACTCTTCTGCGTGACGAAGTCTATTCATATTTTTGTTTTGATAAAAAAAAAAAAAAAAAAAACACCGAGCAAAATCGAGAAGAAAGCATCAGCAGACAATGTGTAATGAGAAGCACCAGAAGATATTCTTCAGAAGATATTCAGATGATACATAACTGAGAAGTAGAAATTCATGTGAAATCGTTTCGTTCGCTTCTCGTTTTACAGTGTTTAGTTCATGTCAGTCTGCACACACTAGATCGATCATAATGACATAAACAATTCGCGCAGATTACAGCGACAGCTAATTAAAATTGTGTGCATTTGCGCATTGAGATCTAACGCGATAATCACACCAGTAAAGGAATAAATCAAGAATTGTCCTTATTTCATACGTTTATAATACACAATTACAACATCACACCTAAGTTTATTTGTATATGGATGGCTTTTTGTATGTTTATAATTAACGTAAATGAGATTATTGTTTTTCAAAATATTATTAACACATTGAATGATTCAACATACGGGTCACGCGTGCGTTTTGTTAGGCAACTCTCTCAAGAAACTTACCCCGGCAGTTTAACGTCTTTCAAATAACTTCAAATTCTTTGAAACTTAAACAGCCGATAAAGTGATTTTAAAAATTTTATAAATATTAAATTCTTTACTTTAATGTACAAATTATTTTTTTCACACGCACACAAAACGTGATTTTTTCCAAGAGTGAACGTTGTACTAATTCCATCGACATGCGTGGCAAGAAGGTCTGGAATAAACTGATTTGTGTCCGCTCGATGAATTCAAGTTCTCCTGGCGGTGCTATCGTCTCTTTTTCTCTCTCCCTCCTTTTCTCTCGCACAGCTATGAAGTAACCTCCGAGATGCATTTAGAGAGAATGGAATAATCGCGCGCGCGCTTATATTAAAACCACATATGTGTGTAAACAAGCGCTATGTGTATGTTCCGCGTTAAGTTTTTTTAAATATACAGGGTGTCCCAGAATAGCCGTACAATCTCTCGTAGGCAGATAGAAGGAATAAAACTGAGTCNGCGCTGATTGGCCCGCTTTACTCAATAATTACTCCTTTATTATAAATAATAGAAAAAAATGGTTCAGGACTTTTCGACTCAGTTTTATTCCTTCTATCTGCCTACGAGAGATTGTACGGCTATTCTGGGACACCCTGTATATATATAAAATAAATTTTTTTTTTATCAAGACACGACAATGCGAGAATCAAAGATCAAACATGACGTAATGCAAGATTTTAAGATGCAGTCTCGTTTATTTCTGTCCGAAACGTTACATTCGAGAAAGCTGTATCATACGCGCGGACAGATAACCAATGGAAAACATGATATTCCCGGCTATTTTTATGGGAAACCCTGAAAACCCGGCCATTATATTCGACCGTGATCCAGATATCTCACCCAAATGATCGTTTAATTTCGGAATCGAAATACGATATTTCCGTCGTTGGTTTTAAGGATAATTGCGTAATATTATTATTAGAACTAATGCTTCGGTACTTCGGTAAAAAGAATCCAAAAACTCGACACGTTTTTCCTCTCGACCAATTCGACGACAACAAACTCGCATCAAAATTCTTCATTCGTAAACTAATTAACTCGACCTTTAACTCCGTAGCGCGCTAACACATTAATCACATTGCCGCAAGTGTTTCGCGCCGTTGTATGCAAGCGACAAATATTTGTTAATAACTCACGTGCGTGCCGGAGACAAATATTGGAAACACGGGACACCGAATTGCGCGAAGGTTTCGGTTGCGTCCGCTGGATCAGCTCGCAGTTGAGTGCTCGCATCTTTGGCGCTCTTCTTCGTGAATTCCTCGGTCGCCTTGCAAAAGAAAGACGCAAAAAGAAATCGTTTTCTTTTGTCAAATAAAAGAACAAGTCACGCGCGAGAAGTAAAGAAAAGGAAGAAAACCACACACACGTGTGTAGTTTTTATTTTCATGATAATAGATGTTTATACGGAACATGTGAACGGTCATCTGATATAGTAACAGTATAATAACGTTTCAACAGCGTGCGTGTCAAGGTAAGTCTCGGTCCGGTAAGTCTTATCATACGTCGAAGAGATCGCGCGTTGACAATAGAATACACAAATTCTCACGAAATAAAATATTGAAAAGGCGACTAACCATGTTCAACAAAACGTTTGTCTTCCGTTTCAACGCCTCGATATTGTGAGCATTCGAATCCTGCGGATTAAAGTCCGGTATATCGTTACTAGAACTCCACATCGTAACACAAATCTGTATAATTCTGAAAGCCAATCACACACAAAAACTAAAATGTAAAATAACTTTTATGTATCAAATCAAAAGGAAAAAAGAGATGATCACAATAAAAAAACAAAAAATTGAAAAGTCGATCAAATTTAAAAAAAAAAAAAAAAAACACTGACTTTTCCAACTGTTCCAATACTGTGGAAATATTATCATTGTATTCTTCATCGAGTTCTTGTTTGCACGAGTCGTTTGCGCATCCAGCTACAAAGCCCTGAAACACGCAATATGAGATACGCGCATAATATAAATGTAAAAAAAATTAGAACACTATTAGAAAAAAAAAATTACGAACGTTTCCGCTTACCGAAGCTTTTAATTCCGTGTATAATGACTCTTGTAGCAGCACTTTCGTTGTGCACTTGTAGGGCGTGCTGTGTGTGTAGTGCCCATCTGTAATTGGCGGTGACAATGAGAGCTGCAAATATTGCGCGCATTGCCAATTATATACCAAAAATAATTTTCCATATATTTAGTTTTTTTTATAATAATAATAATAATTTACTTTTTCACTGGAAGGATATTGATTGAACATCGACAACGATTGCAATTCCGTGTTTTCGTCCGCGAGCTGACGATTCTGTTCGCGCAGATTCTACACATTACAAAATTACATTTTCATCCAAAGTCACATCATTTATAATTTACAATACAATGCGCGCATCTTTTTTTAAAAAATTTGAATTTTTGCGCTTACATTGATCGTATATTCGTAAGACTTTTTCAGACCAATACTTGTATCCTCTAACTCAGCCATCACGATCCTCAAGTATTTACATTCGTTTTCTTTTTCATCAATTTCTTCTTGCAGTCTAATAACTTGTTTCATAGCATCCGTCTTTTCTTTGTTGAGTTTTTCAATTTTTTCTTCTAAAGCAGATATGGTTTGCAACTAAAACGTCAAATTTAACAATTTAACAAAATTCGGGTGTACAAAGAATCTTTCAGTATGTCTTCATTATCACAAGTACATGAACGTTTTACGCGTCTCTTAAATAATGGAATCTTTCTTGTGAAAAATTGCGATTAGTTTCACCTCGACTTCCATAACTTCCACTCGTTTCGTCAAATTCTCCTTCTCTTTCGTACATCTTTGAAGAGTCGAAGCCGTAGTCTTTTCCTTCAAAATTACTTTGTTCAATTCTTCTCTCTGCTCATCATTTTCCTTCTCCAGTTGCTGACACGTTTGTACATATCGATCTCTATATATCGATAAAGCGAACAATCTCACATAAGTCAAGAAATATCGCATAATTTTTGTATAAAATTTCCATCGTTTGTACAAATTGTTGAAACATATATTTTTTTTTTTTATACGAAGTAAAACGCACTTACAACTGCTTCTTCGCATTGCCGTATTGCAGTTTAAGATTATCGATTACCGCTTCATGTCGTTCGAGTTCGTCATGAAGAAGGTTGTTTTCCTCTTGCAATTCTCGAAGTTTCATACGAAGTTCGAATTCTATTACGTCTCTATCCATTTTTACCGCAGTTTTTAATGACGAGTCCGCGTCGCTCAAGATGTTACAATTTGCATACATCACGTTACCCGTACTGTAACACAGCAATCACACCTGTTTTCTTATAAATTTAAGTAAAAACGTTAATATTACACCGTGCAAATTACACATTTAACACTCTAAGTTGCACGCGTGTTACACTTGATTTGATAAATACATACAATGATCGGCGATGAATTGAGAGGAGAAACAGGTTCCCTTTTACGCGCCATTCTCTTTCGGTCGTTGTTGGTCGGCTGAAATAAAACAGCATACATAAGAGGTATTTGCTTCTCCTCTCACAAAACCGTTTATTGCCAGTCACTGTACACGTGCGTCTTTTTTTAATATCAAAATTATTGTAAACGTCATTGCTTCGTGTGTGCAGATTGAAATCTTCCTCTCCAAGTTCAACAAGATACAAAAAATGACAAAATTATTACGTTTAGTAAAATCGCATAGACAGAAAAATACACCAACGTTATTGTACACGCTTATGTTACATAATATTAAAATAATCGCGTGCAACATCACACGGACCACAAAAAAAAATATTTCCACTCACTTTCCGTGTCGATCGAAAATCATAATCGATCGAGTGACGCGTCGCGGAATGACATACGTTGTCGCTGTGTCAGGAATGCCGGTAGAACATTTCGAGAAATTAATTCCGAGTTGCGCGAATTCATCTATCCAAATCACAGATCTACGTTTGTCCATTCGCGACAAGCGATAACGAGATCGCTGATCGGAAAATCACATTCTGAATGCAAGATGGATTCGAAACCGGTGAAACGTCAACAAGATGACCAGATACGACCACAAGCGATTAGAGACTAAACCTCACATGCGAATTGCATAAGAGGTATCCCGACGCCGATTTCCAGCTGCTACAATATTCCCCGGAGTCACTTACCGCGCATAAAACACCTGCGTACTTGATCGAGAACTTGAAGACAATCGGACTGTTCGTCAAAGTGTTAAAAAAAAAAAAAAAAAACACACTCGCGCACGAACACTCTTTTCGTGACAACCTAACGAAGTTGTGCCATTGGTGTTCGTGTTAAAAAAAAAAAAAAAAAAAACGATAGATTCTCTCAGAAGAAAGAGAAGACGAACTTTAGTACGCGTATTATTTTTCGCGGCTACCGATCGAGACAGCGGGTTTACAGTACGCACACAGACATACACACACGCGCCGCTTATCACACCGCGCGTATAATACACGAGCGAGTTATAATGGACGTGTACAATCGGTTCTTGCATATGCGTGCAACGGCGACACACAAACGCGTATCACGTAACGTTATGCATGTGTGACAGAGTCCGAGCGCAGAACGACGTAACGCAAATAGACATACATAATTCCCGTTTAAAAAGTTTAAGGTAAAAGGCGGATAAAAATCTAATCTTGCGAATGTTCGATGAACAAATTCAAGAGTTTTCTCATTTTTCTTTCTTTGTAAATTATTAATTTGCAATTTGTCAAACAAATCATACCAACAAGTCGTTGAAAAAGCAATGCTTGATCGCGCGAAGATACTCTTTTTTTTACACAGAGATATAGATTTAATAGCGGATTTTTTAATTGCGCAAGAAGGTTGTGTCCTCGCAAAATTTAACATGAGAAAAGTAAATTGCCTCAACATATTGCGAAAAACATGAGAGGCTGTCCGCTCGCGGACGCGTGCGATGTGTCTGTGCACATTATGCGCGCGTGTATGTAATTTTGTAGAACGGCATATCATTTTTACACGTGTCCGAACGAAGGTAAATGACTATGTAAATTCGTGATGCTATCTTGTACGGTCAAAACGGTGAAATTGCATACACACTACAACGTCGTGTTGCATCGCAATAGGCGAGAGAACATCATTCGTTCGTTTATCTATTATGTCGCGGAAAAACAACTGTGATTTCATCAACTGTGTGACAATACGAACTGTAAACTATATATAAAGATAGAAAATGTCTGGATTACGGATAAAAACATCGGGAAAAGTGTGTGTTCGCGATTAATGTCTCACGGCTATTTTTAAATCAGAGCCACGATGGTTCTACAACTCTGTGTGTCTTCATTCTTCAAAGAGTCTCTTCTGATAATAATATCATTTTACTTGTGTGCTCACTCGAATCTTTCCTGCATATTATTGTTGTCATCTTGTAAGGAGCGAGTCTGTTGCATGTCGAAGATCCAGTATTTCGTCGCCTCTCTGAACTGTTGTAAATTGACATAATCGTTTGACGAAACGGCAACGAGATACTTCCGCAACTCCGCCAGTCTATCGACTCTATCAATCAAGACAAACGTGATGTTACGATACATAATTGTCATTTTGTTTTTTTTTTTTGGCAAATGTCAACTAACAGTATCTAGCGACAACTACGTTAAACATAAACACCATTGTATTCCTATGAGAGATTGTCTTAACATATTTGTTTTATTTGTGTGTTTTACAATTTTATTTGCAATATACTTTGTACCTCTGCCGGCATTGAATCTTTCCACAATAGGGAAAGAAAGTTCTTTTTGATCAGTCGAACACAATTGGAATGAAATAGAGTAAACCGAGACGCATAGGAAGAAAATTTTTCAACTTTCGCGAAACGATTCAATGCTGATCAGCATTACGCTGCATTTAGTTAGCGTATTTGAAGTAGCACGGTGCCTTGAAAACGGTGTGTTCCGCTATCTCATTATAAATTAAAGATTGTCTTGTGATAATGTTTGCTTTAACTACGCCATTGTACACGCGCGAACACATGTATAACTAAGATGGTTTTACTTTTCAAGAAATGACTGTGCATATAATACCGATCGAAGTCTGCGTATCGCACTTGTTCTCCTATCGATCGAGAGAGTTATATACGCCAATATATAACTGCATATTTAAGTAAAAAGGCCAGACAGAACGCGTCAACGCGTTAGGACAAGTTTATGCAGTCCGTGACCGTTAACTTGTGCCGATAAAGTTCGGCATTGAGATTTCAATGGTTTTGTTTGTAATAAAATGTTCATTCAGTATAAACGAGAGCAGTGAAATCTTATTGTTGAACTTTACCGGTTTTTTTGGTACAAGTTAACTGCCTGCTCTTACGCGGAACAACGCGGTGGTCGATCGGCAATTTTGCTCACAAGAAAAAACAATTGGCTACCGCACTATCGCTCTTAGCCGCGTTGACGTCAGCATCAGCCACAGAAAAAGAAGATGAAGCAAATAAATATTGTTGTAAGAACAGTCGCAAAAATGAGAATAGAATCGCTCGTTAAAAAATATCGAAAGCGTGTTTCAATCCTCAATGTTATTCTGATACTCACGGCCAGGTTGGCAATTGGTTCTGTATGTACTCAATGATTCTGGAAATTTGCACTTTGTCGCCTACGTATTTCTCGTGCCGCGTCGAGCACGGCGACGACACCAATATACAGACACCGCATTCCGCGAATATGTGCTGCAAAACTGAAAAACAAATCGTTCGCTTAATCACGATTGATCTCTCATCTTCAGTACATGACGATACGTCCGTGAGCAAACTTAATTTGATTTTTCGTGAAAAAAAAAATGGGTGATAGTTTCGACAAGGTGTGAGACGCAACAAAAAAACGCAAATTCAATCATGTGTATTCGTTAAAAAAAAAAAAACTTACCGCTTTCCAACTTATTGTCATCTGATCTCGCGACACTCACAGACATAACTCTACGCGATCTTTGTCAATGAAGATTCTGAAAAATACCTTAATGTGTGCGACAACAGATTTTGATCGCAAATAAAACCACAACCGCTGGTAACGATATGCAAGTATGCGCATATACAATGTTATTTCTATGGGATCACGTTTATCTCGACGCGCTAAGAACACGTAATCACTAAGGTGACACTAAAAACCTGGCATACAAAAATCATCCCCCGTTCTGTGATGTTTCGGAAACAAGAGAAAAGATACTTGGCGGAAAACTTGGTGTACTGAAGTTGCCCGTTTGTGTTTACATCACCGCGGCAATTCATACCGGTCACAGTGGTGACACCTACACCTGATCTCTCGGGCCGATAATTTCACTCACTCGCCGGATTGGTCGACAAGCCCGTAGGGCGCGAAGTTGATTTTTGTCGAACAAAATTCAAATTTTTGCCAAACAAAATTGAAACATTTCCACGTAGTGCTGTGATTTTTTTTTATATTAACCGCGTTCGGTATTGCAAATCAGAAGTTTAACGGCTTCTAGAGCATAACGAATTAAACGTGACGTTGTTTTGTAAAAGAAAATAAATTTATTATTACATTTCTATTATCTCTTGCAAATGTTTCATTAATAAATAACATGTCTAAAAACAGATGCTAAAAACATCAAACAGCACCACGTATGATTATTTACAAAAGCTAAATTATGTGAATCGGTACAATAACTCTTTTTAAGTTTCATTAAAAACTCTACTTTTCGAACAACCCAATATATCAGTAAATTAATTTTCAACTTTGTGTGTCTTTACACATAAAATTGTACCAATAATATATATGTCAAATAAAAATCCGGTTTTTAAAGTTCATAAAGTTGCAATATTAATTGCAATATTAATGTACAGGTGACATGTAAATTGACAAGAGATGACAATATATGCTACACGTATTATACTATTTTTAAAAGTGTGTAAAGATAGCAGTCTCTTCTATTTTATTACGTATCGCAGATGTCAGATCAGGATGAGATTGTATGTGCGATATTATAAATTCACGAACTTCATCTTTACATAGATGTAACATGTCAATGATGTATTCCCTGGTACAAATTTTAATGACATCCAGTAAGTACCGACTCAGATAAGTTGAAAGATCTTCCGGATCAAGTTCTTTTCTTTCTGTATCTGGAAATATTATATGTGACACATACGTTCACAGATTTAATTAATTCATCATCATATCTCGCATATTATTTTCACTTTAAAATCACATTCTCTACCTGTTTTGAGAAAGAAGACTATGCACGCCACAATATGATCTAGTTTTGGTGAGATATTTGTGTCACATTTGTGAAAGCTTAATAGTATATGCACAACTTCAAAGATTATATTAACAGTTATTTGATGAAGTGGAATTAAATTGTACGACTCTTCATATGGTTTTAATATTCTGTACATAATTTCAATCACTCTTGAAATGCTTTCATCGTTAAAATTTTCAGATTTGAATAAATCTTCTAATACAAAAGTTAATATCTGCAACCAATTTTCAATGAATTCTAGGTCTGAGTTACAATGACTGCCCTTTTCTATCGATATCCGTTGCATGAAAGATTCCAACAACGCAGGGATCAAATCGTTCACTTTAAACAGTCTCCTTAAGAAATTCATTTTATCATCTAAATTTATTTGAGACATAGAACTAAGCATCTTTATCACTGCAGTTAATAAGTCATCTGCAATAAAGATTTTGAAAATTATGAAGATCATAAGAAAAATAAATTTTCTTTATAAATTAGATACATGTCTGGTATATACCATTAGTTGAACTGTTCAACATGAAAATAATAGAGTCCGCAAAGAAATTGCATTCTGTAAAATATGTTATCCAATTTAATTTAGATTTCGTTTGGATTTGCCATGTAATTGATTGTACAATTCGGAGAAGTTGAATTAATATTGCGGAGTCATCAGATCTTAAGCGACTCAGAATTTGTGTCATCAAGTGTTTATCATGACATATTGTATCGATTACATTATCGTTACAACACATATTGCCGACGATACCCAAAATCATTTCCTGAAAATATATTTAGATAAAAACATCAACTCTCTTTGCTATTAAACCACAATTCTTTTTAGTCTAAACAACAAAACATAAATATATACAATCAATCGTGACTCATCACAGGTTTCCAATATGTTCTTTGCTATATTTAGAAAATTATGTGATTCCAGATACAAGACTACTGCTTCTTCCATACTTAGATCCCATAATGTACAAAGTCGCTCCTCTACATCCTCTGTGAAGTTTTTATTGTTACTTATCTGAAATTAGTTATACAATACATCAATTATACTTGTTTCATAATTACAAATATAATTAAGGAAAAACATAAATAAAAATTAGACTCAAGAGATCGTTAATAAATTTTATAAAACATTAGAAAAACAACAATTATACTTTCAAATAACTGTGATGGCTTTAACTTACAAGCGGAGAAATGAGTTATATGTAAAACTTATATGTAAAAACTATAATAATAATAAAAAAAATTATAAACAATTACTACCTCATACATAGACATCAAAGTAGTAATCATCCATTTCTCGCTGCAAAGGTTATCACCTATAGCATCGCCCTTTAATATTTGCAACTCTTCTTCGTTTACGTCTTGAGAGTCTATCATATTTGAGATTTTAATTCAAGTGTTTTTGGCACACGTTATTACATGCGGTGAGACTACAAGACAAATATCTGATAAATAGTATTTGATAAATGTCACTGTGTAAAAGTTCAATATATAGACAGATTTTACCTAAAATCTTGATGAAAACACGTTCGAGATGCGTTTTTATACGCAACGTAAAATTTGAAAAGCTAAAAGTATCATTAAACTTTCAACAAGTTATTTACAACAAAAAGAGTGGTTATAACTCCATTGTAATTTTTTACAAAGCTCGCGCATACTGACTTTAACGCCGTCTATTGACAAAAGTAAAAACTACATAGTGACATTTTTTTTGCATAGCACTATAAATGTTACCCGGTTTGATACCGTGCTATATTCCGCTTTATGTCAATAAAATATTATGAGAATCCAAATACAAATCTGCAACTACCGTTTACAAACTATGTCACAATAGATTATTTTTTCAACTTTGAAAAATCAAAGCTGGCACAGTTACTTCAAAAAATCAAAAATTTAAACAATTCTAACGACAGTGAAGTGTTACACCGGAAGTTCTGATGCACAAAGCATTATAATTCTAGTTTAAACACAAACAAAAAATAAAATATTACATTAACAACACTAAATTTATTCGAAGTATTTATTTTAAATATATAATTGAAAGTTATTTTGTTAAAACTTAACATATTAACATAGCAAAATATTTTGAAATATGACCATAAAATTCATACATGAGTTTTGAAAGATAATCTATATAAGCTCTGCCACACTATTTAATAATACAGTAAGACAAATGCATTTCTTACAATAATCTTTCAATACTGTGATCGCAAGATTCCCGAATTCTGAGAATTAAATAATCACATACGCACAAATGTAATTATGCATATGTGTTGTGAAAAATCACAGAACCATTTATTATGCATTCCTATTTCCGTATTTTTGTTTCGTGCAATCAAACAAAAGAGTGCACATACAAAAATGTGAAAAAAAAATATTCATCTCCACACAAATATTACAAGATAAGTTGCAAAATCTCCATCGGCACTCGCATCGTCTGATCATCAACAAGAACAATATCAAACTTTTTCATGAATGCTTCTAAACTGGCTTCCACCTGAAAAGAAACAAAATTATTCATTATTTTCACCACAATGTAACAATCGATACCTTATTAGCGAGAAATTTACATGTTCGTAAAGAAATCCTATTTTCAAGACTGTTTTGTCTGTCCTATTCTCTATTTCTTCTATCATATCCGCGTCTCCCGTTGTATCACCCATTAAGAGAACATTCTGTCTGTTGCTTCCTAACACTTTTAAGGAATCTTCCGCTACTGCGCATTTATTTTTGTTGTATGCGTGTATCATTACGTCGTTCTTAAATCCATCCAATTGTTTTCCATTATACTTGAGAAAGTTGGAGATTACTTTTACATTATCGAAGAGTGCATTGTGGTACCTCAACACAGCCTCCACCATGTCTCCCAAACCAGCACTAAACACTATAACTGGTACGTTTACGTTGTACAATTTTTCAAACATCTCTGTTGTACCGTCGCGCAAAATGTTGTCAAATGTTCGAGCAACTTCCTTTATTTCATTAGAATCAAACTCAAAACCTTTCAATAAATTAGATGCAGCTTGCATCCATTCTGACATAGCAATTGATTTTTCGTGCAAAGACAGATGTGGATCTATTTCCATAGGTCTGTACTTGTCGTACAGATGCTTGGCCTCCTCTAAGTATTCTTCCGGCAACTGCTTACATTTTCTAAACATACCTAATCGATAACAGATTAATACTAAATATCAATACTAATTCAAGTTACCAATGCATTTTACAAGAAACAAAACGTTGTTTAAAAATTATGACAATTTGCAAATTTGATTGCTTATATCTCAAAGATATTAAATTATATCTAACTTAAAACCTTAAATAAAAAAGTTGACAACAAATTATACATTACATATATATATTATACAAAAAAACATTTTTTTAAAACTTTATATACCTTAAATGGATTCTTTCAATACTCACCAAAACTACTTAACGCATGTTTTCCATCTATGTGTTGCTTTGTGAGAGTCAAATCAAAATCTGTAACTATCTGCATAAACACACGTAAATTAAAATCAATTATGCAACAACAAAAATATTTATTTTACAGAATCAAAAACTAAATACAACATACTTGCAGATTACTTGTACCATCTTGTACAAATTTTCTTATTATTTTCAAAAGTGTAACTTCATCTCTAATATAGACATGGTTTTGCCTCAAAGAAGAAATCTGCAATAAAATTTTTATAGTATCAAAAAAGAAAGAATTATGTACAAATCATCTTGCTTTGAGCCACTTACGTCGTCTATCGTCATTCCGCAGTTCATCGTTGCTAACGACACAAAAACTAAACTCAATACATTAAATAATTCTACCATTAAATTCTTTCATATATAAGAAACGTGTAATACAAAACATGTGAACAGCTTCTCAAACTGTGTTGTGTACGACACAATTTCGCCAACTGTCTGGTGACTAGCAACAAATAAGAGAGAGCATACCAACTGTATGTACCTACCTCTCCCAATTCCACAATCGTTCGATTACCTATTGGATGCGTTCAGACAACTCAACAGTTGCACAACGGTTGAGAGATAATCACTTCTGATTGGATCATACTTTTGAACCGCATCAGATTTTGAAGAATAGTCCTATCATAAGTAATGATCTCTCAACCGTTGAGATGTCTGAACGCACCCAAAGTTTCAGTGTGTTTGTTTGGCACTTGCAAAGGTCGCGAGCGTAAGTCGCGTCCACATTGTCCAATCGCATTGGTTATTGTCTGGGAAATTGACCAATGCAACAGAATATTGTGAACCCGACCTAAGCTCGCGATCGTTGCGCCAAGTGGAACTTATTCACGATTGAACCGAGTTTGAACGTATTGAAGTGCGCGGCAAAGCGCGCGAACCTAGCACGGAATAGAATCGAATCAATCGGAAAGATAGGTAGCATTTTTATAAAGATCTATCTACATAAGATACAGACGCGAGTTGCAAATCGCACGTCTCACGGAATTAAATAAATCACGTTTGTCAAATTAGGGCCGTTCTGCTGCTACAATAAATTGCAAAAGATGGTTTTTATGGAAACGTGTTTAAACAAATAAAGACAAATGTTTGAAGACGAGAAACCCAGCAACCCTTTGAGCCATATGGTTGAGAAGAAGTATATCAGCAGGGGTTTTGTTACTTCATTTGCCAAGCATGAAAAAAACAAATCTCTCTCTCTCTCTCATTCACATTTTCTTCCCTAGGATATAATAGAAAAAATAATAAAAAACTAAACTTGTTGATAAATTTTAGCAATGTATTAATAACAAAAATGGAAAACTGATTGTTTAGTATAAATTGTCAGTTAATATATTTAAAATATTGTCTACCATGTATCTATATACATATACACGTGTAAGTAAACATATTGTGTGTGTGTGTTTTAAATATAAAAACATATAAAAATTCTAGCAATAAAATTGTTCACGTGTACAGCGAAATAATTGAAAACTGTGTCCAGTGGCTATTAGATTGTATCAGGTGGTATCCATGGACGCATCTTCAGATTTATTTTTTTTGTAAGCCTTGTCAAATGTCTCAATTGTGTGATCGCACATTTTCTCCAGATCTTGAAAACCACGTCTCAGCACCTCAATCACATCTTCACTGTCCGTTTGAATGTTAAGGTGTATTTTGTTTTCTGCCGGATGAGGTATGGTGTAACCACACAATTTTACACCAGGACTGTAAACAAAACATGTGACTCCGTAAGATTTTATTTTGGTTTTTCACCACACAACACATATACTCGTTGCTCAAGACGGATACGTACTAATCACCTATCACAGAAGTGAGCGCATTTCCTAAGGTATGTCCCTCATCAAGGAGAACAAAAGTTCCGTATGTGCCTCCTCTTGGTCCTTCTAACTGTACAAATAAGAAATAAATAATTCTCTGTGCATATTTTACTCTTTTCATCGATTAACATTACCCTCCACAGACGATTTTCCATTGTTGTTTACCGCTACAACCTTAACCCTCGTCCGGGTGCTTCTCACTGAAACGTTCAACGTACGTGAATTTTCTCACGCACGTGCACTTGCCGCGCATGCGCAATTGTGGACAATGAAGAAGTGGGTGCCCACAGCGAATTCGGTCGGTTCGCACGTGTTTGCACCACCACAGTTGACCACAATACTGTGCGCATAAATACTCCGGTTTGGTTGGATATTTGTGTCCGTGCAGGATGTTGCACAGTGTTATTTTTACTCTTTTTCCGTTTTATCAGTCAGAGTGAAATTCGACACACCGCAATCAGACACACCGGCGCATACGCTCATTTGTTCGACATTGATGTGATTAAGTAAGTACCTCTCTCTTCTGGAAAATCACAATTCATTAGAAATTCATTAAAATTTTCTTGCAGCGTGATTTTTGAGGAAGCATTATGTGCTTTGCACACATCGTATTATCAGAATTACGATTGGAAAGATGCGATATATACCGTCCCGCACGTAGCAATGTGGTTACGTTACTCTTCTGAAAAATAAAATATGCAAAACGCAGTAGAATTTATAACGTTAGAATTAAGACCGCGATTACGATCGTGCAATGTGTTCATCGCTATGCGGGATGACGTTTGTTCGAAAAACGTTCGAATTAAAATCTTGGAAAGTAACATAGTACTGACACTCAAAGACCATAGTGTAAGTTTCTCATTGCCATCCGTTAAAGTCATACCTACCTCGCTGTCCGTGTTGAGCGTGATGAGCAATTGGATTTGCTTCCGATTGCAAACCGCACCGTTAGATACCGTATTCGGATCTTTTAATACGGAAGTTGTGACCGACTCCGAGATTCGGTCCGAGGTCAGATCCAACGTTGTGTGTTCACCGCCGGTTTTAGAAGATCTCAAGTTGTTGTGCAAAACATCCGAATGCGTCATGTTGTGCGCTTGTTGTAAGAATGTTATTTCAAAGTCGATTAGTTTTAAGAGATTCCTACCGGTACCTGACACGGATTACGATCCGAACGAGTGGTTTTGTTGCAATCACAATTCGAACATCACCGCGACCGACCTGCAGCCACGAGATTCCGATTATTTATACACTTCCTGCTTCTCGTTAATGCATAAAAGTATTTTCAAAAGCACCGCGTATCTGGACAATGGAACATTGACTTGTGGCAAATGCTTGTTGCACATAGGCACACTTTACAAGAACGGTTTGTACAAAATCTGGAACTGTTGCGTGGATCACGAAGCGCAAAGCGATACCTCCTCCCCGAGCACTGTAAACGCCACCGATCCGCTCAATGACTTTTTGCTGCTCGTAAGAGATTCGTTGAGCGAAATACTGGGAGAGGAAATTGTTCTACAGACATGTGTCGGTAGACAATCTCATTGTCTTTTAATAAAGCCGATGGATCACAAATTGAACCTAATCACAGAGCCCAGTCGGAAGATTCCCGGTGATACCGATACTATTCTCTTGCAACAGAAATGCGTTACCAAAGTTTTGTATAAATATGAGACGAGTAGAGTCAGCGCTGCCGTTACTGTTAATTACTCAACTACTAAATATTACGAAGTCGGCTTGCCAATAATAGAGGCTGGATTGAAATATTTGTTGTTGTCGACAAAACGATTGCCCCATGTCTACAGGACGGTCGTTACGGACTACTTCCTCGGTTATATTGTTTCACAAGAAGTCAACTGAACGGTATAATTTATTGTCAAAATAATTATTTTTATATGTACATATTTTTTTACACACGTATTTTTTGTACTTATATTTTCGTATATAATATAAACAATAATTGAATATTTCGCCGTGTACATACGTAACTTGAAAAAGACCAAGCTTAACATACAGAACAATCCATTAGACGGCGAAGTGTTCGAACACAACAAAAAACGTTGGAGGAGATGTCTATTGTTTTTGTTTTTTTTTTTTTTTTTTTTCGATATAGGTGTAATAGGAATGTTATTTAATTCAACGAATGAAAACATGTTTTATTCAATCAAGCGTTTCCAATCTTACGAATATAAATTGCAGTGTAATAATAATTTTAAACGGAAATACTGTGTAATTAAAATTAGACAATATCATTATTCTAATACTATATAATATACGTTAGACTGTACTTAATTTTATCTGCATGAAGATATACATTGAGGCTTTAAAAAGAAAAAATCATTTGTAAAGTTTTATTGGTGTATATGGAAAAAGTTAAAGAGAAAGAGAAATACGCGAATTATAAGAGTTAAAATAAAGTACTAAGCAATTATATTATTATTCATCGACGTATTATTTTGTGCATAAAAAAGACAAGTTTATTTTCAGAAACCTATTGTGGAATGCTGACCTTTCGTGTTTCTGTTATCTATCGTGAAACAGATCTTTAATGTGGCATGCAATTTATACGACGCATATTGCATTCAAACTTGCACATAAGACGCGTACCTCTAATTTTTTTTCTTATTATAAAACAATCGCAGTGTCAGTGTTTACAAACATAAAAAAAAAAAAAAAAACAGATTACGTGTACACATAAACTTAACGATATAACAGAAGTTTATAGAAGAGTGTGAAAAGTATATTCTGAGAATATATATATATATATATGTAAAAAGAGGACATCTTATATCATTGAAATTCATTCTCTTAATATTATTTTAACAAATCATGTTTATTGAAGCGAAATTTAAAACGTGAGGTGAGATAAAACGGAGGATGATGTACATATAAATGTGTCACCCGTTTCCTATAATCCAACTAAAAAGTAATTACTAAAAATATTTGATTTGAAATTGTTCGATTGCAAAAGTATATGTGTGTGTGTGTGTGTGTGTGTGTGTGTATGTGTGTGAGTGTATCCTGTATTGAGTCTACTATTATACAGGGCACTTTAGGCCACAGTTTTCCTTTTAATATCATGCTGCAGCTAAACTTGTCGCGTAATACGTTGTATGTATGTAGTTATGTAAGATTCGTTTCTTCTTTAGAATTGCTTATTCTGTCTACAAGAGGTTTTATGTACACCCAGCCACCGTCTTTGGTTTCCTTAAAAAGCTGTTTGCAAAAAAGAAAAAAATACCAGAATACAATTATGCGATGTGTAAAACGACAAAAAAAAACAAAAAAAAAACAAAAAAAAAACATTGTACACGGAAGATAATATATCTGCTTTACTTACTTTTGTTTGCCACGGTATATTGTTTTCCTTTCGTAGTCGTGCTTCGTCTCGTTGTTTTTGTTCAATTGCACATTTTGCTGCCGTTGCCTTGTCCATGTCGTTGATACGTAGGCCAACTGTGACGTCACGCCAAACCTTCCGCGACTCGTATTCCTCTTGTTCGCACACAGTTTTAACCAGTTTTCTTTCCGTAGCGAGTTCTCTCACATCGGCAAACATTTCACTTTTCTAAACAAGGTGTATAAAAAGGTCATATTAATATAATTGGATATGTGTTACATTCGTGCGCGTATTGTGTGAATAAATTTTATTAGTATTTTATTAGTACACATTATTGAATTCACTCGCACACAGCAACTAAGTGACACGTATGATGATATGTGAAACCTCGAATACTTCTTAAGTTTGTTAGTCTTCTCAACTATCAGTATATATATATTATGACTTGCGTATCAACTTACACCATCCAACCATTTTGCTTCCATTGCGCCGCTCCATTCTCCATTTACCACGAGAAACGGCTTTTTATCTACCGCATGAAACACCTGACATGTAATCCGATTCCGTTTGCCACCGTAAAACGGTTTCGTTAAAAAATCTACTGTCGCGTGATAGCCACTTTGCGCGCAGTTTATCGTCACAGTTCCTCCTAACTCTATCCATGGTACAGTAAGGATAGATCTGCCATAACCATTAGGGAAGGTTAGAACGTATTCCTCCCCGTGTTGTAATACATTTACCCAACCCTTTCCCACATTGTGTACTCCTATACTTAAACCCAAGAACTTGCTTTTCGTCCAAACATGAGCTCCGAAACTTATTTTTTTTCCAACATGTTCGGCATAAAATGCACTGACTGCAATCAAATGCGGTAAATATACAAAACTGCTTTGTTTTTGTTTTTAACACACGAGAGCAATACAGAAGCCATGAGACTTCGACTATTAAACATTTGAAAAAATTATTGATAAAATATAAATTTTCAATACCTGGTGGATGATGAGACACTTGTTCAGCAATAAAAGCAAGTTGATTTTCTTTGCACCACGGTACAGGGCCATCTGATACTAGCCTGTTGACAGAATCTGCAGCTTCGTCGGGAGATTGAGGTATGCTCCAATGACACCGAAAAATTTCACCTAATATAGGATTGTATGGTTTTTTGGCCACACCCGATTTACGTCCCGCATGAAAACTACACAAGTACCAACGGATTACTTGCACCATTCTCTCACGAGGTGTAGGCATATCTGCAATGCTAAATTTGAAAAAAACAAAAAAAATTAGAAGTGAAACATGTTGCTAAAAGATATTTGAAACAAATGGTACGTAACACACACAATCTTACTTAAACTGAATAATTTAAAAGTGAACCTAGTGAGTACCTTACAAATTGATCGGGGTGTGCAAAGTAATCCGCATACATCTCAAGAAGTGACCTGCGCTCTAAGATAAATGTTGGCAAAGCTACTTTCGTCAAATCCATTCCAATCTTCACTTGCGATAGAAGATGTGTTACAACTGAACCGTGGCTCTCCATAGAATCCACTGAACAATAAAAGCAACAGAAATAAGAAAATTGTACATAGTAGCATCACACGCAACACACTTTATATTTGTTTATATATTACCTTCTGTTTCGCTTTCTTCTTCGTAAAGAGCTGTAACAGACGCATATTTCAAAATTTTTTGTTTTTTAATTTATGAAAAAAGTTTTAGTCATATGCTTGTTTAAAATAAACTCGACATAAAACACAAGAAAAACAATTCTTGTACGCGGTTTCCAGGTTGGTGAACCCACGTTCGTGATTATTTTCATATCGACATTACATTGGATATTTCATTCATTTCATTTCATCATTCAGCGTATTCATTTGAGAGGCTTGCTCTTAATCCCGACGAAGTAAACTGAAATATATCCAACCCGGAAACTACGCACGAGAATTTCTGCAACACATCACAAAAGCATCGAAGACATTTAAAGACGTTGTTTTTTTTTTATAATAAAAAGTAATAAATAGTTTCTTCCTATTTACCATTTGTTGTTCTTTTTGCAACATTATTCTAAGAAAAAAATGTGAGACGTGCAAAATTATCAAAGAGTTTTTAGCCACTACATTGTGTATAAGATATATTTGCGAAAGCTCCGAGAAATTTATGCAGAGACTTAACCTGAAGCTTTTGTTGCAAATGCGATTTTTTGTGACATGTGCACTTACGACTTGAAGTTATGTCCAACATTTTGTCTCGCCGGAATAGACCAATTTGTATCCATTCCTACACTCATTCCCGAGACTGAATTTCTTAGTAACGCCGAGTATTTCGCCGAGTGCTCCGATAAAATAGCAGACGACAGAACGTCAAGTTCTGTCGAGATACTATTTTCCCGCACGTCATCATATCAATGAAACATCTTGTCTGTTTGACTTATTTTCGAATGATTTCTTTTAAAACAAAACATCATGCGAAACATATCCTCGGAATTGTCTGCTCGTAAAAGACATTCGTGGAGAACGCTAATTCATACGTCAAAAACTATTCGCAATAACTGCGAGATCAATAGCGGGTCGCGGTGGATAAGGCAGTTTGTTGCGGCAGTCATGTGAGATATATAAGTCTGTATTATCGACTACGAGAACTATCTCGTTTGAGAGAGAAGTTGTTTTAAAAAAATATAGGTAAAACTACGCAAACAGACGCGTTCAAGTTCTGCCTGCAAGTAGGTTTTTTTTTTTTTTTTTTTTTTTTTTGCGAAGTAATTTAATGCGGAATTGCACTTTTCAGATTGGTGTACTTNGTTTTTTTTTTTTTTTTTTTTTTTTTTTATGCGTTGCAAGACAATGCGGAATTGCACTTTTCAGATTGGTGTACTTACCCTTTTTCCTCTCTGTCTCTCTCTCATCTTATACGATATGAAACAATTGTATAAATTGACTCTATGCATAAAATGTATACGATTCTGAAGATTATTTTATTTAAAATTTGATATAAAAAAAAAAAAAACTTAATTGTAATTACAGCAAAATTTTATCAGTTCTGTTCTGGCTTTATAAATCAAAAATGTAGTTTAAAGCCAAGCGGCACACGGTGCCTGCTATAGGATTGTTTGCGTGTTCCTGCTGGCCATCTTGCTGGAAATTAATGGTTTAGCAAGCACGCAAGCAATCCAGCAAATAAAAAAGCATCGTGTGTACGCCGGTTTTAAGAATCGCAGCTGTTTAGTTAGCAAGAATGTTCATATCATTTAAAGTCAAACTAGCAACATGGCCAACAGCGCTTTTTCAGTAGTGTACGGCTGCTCCAGCACGACAGCAGGCAAACAAATTCAGCAAATAAAAAAAAAACGCATCGAGTGCCGCTGGCTTAAAAATGTTTTGAAAGAAATTGTTTTTCTCATTTTCTAAAAATATCTGTCATTTTACACTTGGTTACAACTTTATCTTATCTTTGAATATACGGAGATATGAATTTTATAACACTAATTTAATCTGAAACAACCTATTACAACAGCTCTGAAATAAATTCAATATAAAACAAAAAGATGTTAAAAAAGTAATGAACTCACCATCGTAATCTACTGAGCCATCGCACTTGATAGGCGGCCCTTTGCGTTTATCTCCCATTGAATTTTCCACGAATAAATGTAATCGCTCGCTATCTGATCGTCTGAAGAACATTAATAGAAAAATCATTTAATTTCAAATAAAGTCAGCATTGAAGCAAGCAATCTAGCAAGCAAAAAACATTGTGTGTTGGTTTAACACGCAAAAATTAGACACTACAGTCGAATTCTTCAACAGTTACTACTACTTCCAATCAGGTCCACTCACGTATACGCAGACAAATTGCTTCTCTATAAAGTGAGGATAGTAAGCGAGATGTAACTGTTAAAGAATTTTATTGTATTGACTCTATTTTCTCGCGCATAGAGACATTAACTCATTATACTTGCAGCGTAATGTGATTCTGAACCATCGGAGTTGGTATCTCGTCCGCGGCATCGAAGTAATCGTCGTCTTCGTCGGACGATGAGTACGAGAATTGTGGTACTGGTAAGTCTCTATCTACAACTGAACATACAAAGCCAATGCTTCATTTGTACAGTTTACAATAAAAATTCAAAATAATCTTATTCAATTTGCATTTGAAATAGATAAATGCATAACGACATTAACCATTTGATAACGCAGGTACTCTTGGTTCTATACACTCGGAACCTAATTCAATGCCAGTTTGCACTGTCATTTCCGGTGCTCTATCTGCAACTAAAAAATTTAACCTCGAGTAGAGTTGATTACCAGTAAACAAGTTTTTGTTTTATTTATAAACTATAGAGGCATAAACATATTTATGCAACGATAGAAAAAACTTAATCTCCTTACCACAAGGAAGCGTAGGTGATATATGTATAGAATTTGATGGTCCTCTGTACACTCCGTTAACTGGTATTGCTGTGTTCTAAAAATATCAGCACGTAAAACAACATGACAACAGCACAAAAATGCAAAATAACAAAGCAATATAATAAAGCACGCTATACCTTTGCAATTTGTAATTGGACAATAGTATGTTTGACAGAATTCAGCATGGCATTAGCTTGCTCTAAAATAGTAGAGTATTTTTTCTGTTTCTCTTCATCCTCAGCTGCGTCATCTCTTTTGCCTTCAATTAATTTAATTTGATCAATCAAAAGTTGAAGATAAACATCAGCCTCGGCTACTTTGCGATCGAAATCGTGTTTAGGAGGTGATTTCTTAGGATCCCATCTCTGCAAAAATCAATTTTCTGATATTCTATAATTGTGCATTGTAACAGTATTTCCTGATGACATTAGTTTACTCTCTTTATTGTTATTGTGAGAAAATGGTTTTTTTTTTATACCGTGTGCGAGTGTCTGAGTATTGTGTCTTCCAAGGCTCGAACCCAGCATTCTCTCTCTTCTCCATTACGTGTTTGAAAGTGAAATGTCTTAGGATCGTCTTTAGAAGAGGCTGTTGTGATGGTAAATGTGCTGTCATCCTCATCATCAATACCAATTATAGCACCTCGCAATCGTACACAACCACGACGAGCACCGCGCATCATTTTCTCCTTGCTCTAATAAAGAGAAAAAGAAAAAACAATTAATATTTAAAAAATTACTTGCAACAGCAGGAAAATATTCCATTTTTACGATATTCTAATTATAGTATAAGCATTTATAAAAAAAAAAAAAAAAACATGTGGATCTTTTTGACTACATAGTAAATGCATTCTCTCGCAAGAGAATAACTTTACCGTGTAATATGACAGAAGACCAGCATTGTCATCCAAAACAAACCACCGATATTGCCATCCATTAACAACATTTGTCCACTTGCTGAGTGAGCCCTCCATTGTTGACATTCTTAACTGTTGCTCAGCTCGTTGTTAAGCGAACGAATTTCTATCAAATTCTACGTATTTCACAGCGCATATCTCAAACGAAGTCACGCACAGTCATTGTACATACCAGTGGAATATTACCATTTGTCATATCTTCTTATCTACGGAATGCAGCGGAGTGCTGTCTCTTTCACGCGCATTTGGTGCACAGTCGCTTCTTGACGTCGAGACAAAAGGCTAATCCTAAAACGTCATCCGTCTCAAAGCTAGAGCCAACAAAGCTCAAATCAAGCACAATCACGAGGTTTTACACACGCGCCGCCATCTCTACGTGAGCAGTGGAGAGAAACGCCAAATATGGCGACTTTTTATCAGTCGAAAAGTGCAAACGCGTATCTTAGCACGGACAGGCACCAAAATAATAATTTATATCGGCACCGTCAGAAAGTTTTCGCTTATATATAGATGGCGCATTGAACAAACTTTTAAAAATTTTATGTAAAAAATTAAGCGTGCCCTACATACAGCAACTACTTTTTAGTCGCTTTAAATTTTGTCTTACATATGCGCGAGGCGCAAAGTAAAATTATAAAAATATTGATCTTCTGGAATTTAAACTTCGGAAGTTAAATATGTAAGAGATTCATAGAATTTCTACATTTTCGTGATTTTAAAATCTTTATTGCAAATATATATAATTCTTGATATATATATACATATGTATATATATATATATATATACATTTCATGGATTTATAAAGTTGTATCAATCCACATGAGATATATTAATTAATGCCGATAAGAAATTAATTGCGTAACTTGTTCTTTCTAGTTTCCCAATCCCAGCGCTCTTGTCCTTTGTGAAACGTTTTCATCTGCGGATCGATGGTAATATCCAGATAATCGTACACATCTTCGTTTTTGAGTGGTGTCCACGTAACTGGGGTCTTTTTCGTAGTAGCAGGAGTTGGATTTCTGAAGATAAAAAAAATTTAATTATCGATAAATTTGTCTGTGTGAAACTCTTTAATTTGATAAAATCAAAAAAAAAAAAAAAAAAACAAGCTATTAAAGCCTCTGTGCGATACCCTGTTTTTGAAAAATTTGTCCACAGATCAGTCATGTATTCTATCATCTTGTAATCATTCGAGCCAGGTGTAGGTGCTGATAAGCCAAATTTATCCAACACATCAGAAGAAAACAAGAAACAAATATCTTCGGCGTGACTCGTTCCGCCTAAAATATATGTGATGTTCATTTTTTCTTTCTTGTAAATTTCAGTTTTTAATCTTACAAAATCACAACTGTCATAATTAACATGTATATGATGTTATATATATAGTATGAGCGCTGTACTTTCTAAGATCAAAAACAAAAGTATATTTAATTGTTTTTAAATAAGTAGATAACACACATACCTTTTATTGTAGTTTTCATTGCTGCTCTCAAGACAGTAGGTTTTTCACTTGCGTATGAAAATCGATACAGATATGTATTGTTAGACTTCAGTTTTGCTTGAATTTCCGTTGTCTTCATAGTTCCACGAACAAATACCATATCGGTAAAGTAATCAATTAAATTCGATAGATTTTCCTCTGACACGGGTTTATCACCGAAATACAGAGAGCGCAATTCTTCGACTGTCATCGGTATCTTTGCTATCTCGGACAAAATCGTGGGATGTACAATGGTTTTGAAATCGGCATTGGTTTTCTCAAAATCTTCTTTGGTGAAATCTATAACGATTTTGTGAAAGTTACATTACATTGGTTCCTCTCAGACAATCTTATTATGAAAGAAAAATAGATTACACGTAATCACATAAAATCCTATAATCATATAAAATTGTTACGCTTTAATAATACGAGTATGTAAATTTAAAAACGAAACAAGAATTTTTTGTTCAACATCTCGTTAAAAAGAACACGAGGCGATAACGAAAATTTACGCATTTAAAACACATTTATAAAACAAAAAAATCGCGCGAAATAAAATTACTCTTATATTCCATATAAATAGGGAAAGAAATATAGAAAAGAACAAAAACAATGCACTTACTTCCCATAAAGTTGCTGTCTACCAGAAATATTCCCTCCTCCTTAGTAAAACCTAACATAAACGGTACCTTAACTCCGCGGTTTATATAATTTTGTATGGGCTCCGGGAAGAATGGATTCGATGATTCGGCATCCATGCTTGGCGTAAACATGAGATTTGCTACATGAGAGTTCTAGAAAGTATAAAATTGTTATATACATATATATATATATATATATATATATATATATAATGTACACGTGTATATTACGTAATTAATAGCAAGATTATTGTGAGGTATATTTACTTCTTTTTTAAAAAAATCTTTCTGATATACTGTTACGAGCTCTTTCACGTCGGTTGTTTTGAGAAACTCGTAGGCGACTTTTGGATCAGAGGTCTCTTTTCCTAGTTTCGCAACAAATTCGAAAGTTTTGTCGTTGGTTTGTTCAGTCCAGGCCCAAGAGTTTAGAACGACACCGCTTTGCGAAATGGCTTTGTGAAACAAACCTGTAAAGCGCAGCAGAGTCGCACATATTTTATTTGTTCATTTTAAAATATTTTTTTCCGGAATCGTCTTATAAAGATCAATCAACTTCAAGTAAATGTTGCAATAATAAAACACGTTTGACGATTTTAAGACATTCGTTTTTGATATCACGATAGATTTGAGTTTACCTTTGGTAAATGGAGATAGGGCCAAGAAATGCACAGCGGCACCACCGGCGCTCTCACCGAAAATGGTGACGTTCTCTGAATCGCCACCGAATTGCGATATATTGTCACGAACCCATCGTAATGCCAAAGTCATATCCTTTAAACCTTGATTACCCGTTGCTACTTTGTCATAGAGATTGAGGAAACCTTGAAAAAAGAACATATTTTTTATTTGTTCTTCGCACAATTTCGATTTATCGAGATTAAATTTCATAAACAGCCTCGAAAAAATCGGCGAATGTAAATACCTAGAGCGCCTAGTCTGTAATTCAGAGTCACCAGCACTACATCCTTCGGGACGATGTAATCGGGGCCGAAAAAGGTCGAGGTGCTTTCACCGCAGAAAAAACCGCCGCCGTGGATCCATACCATCACAGCGCGTTTCTTCGGAGGTTTAATGTCTGTAGTATAGACGTTGAGATAGAGACAATCCTCATCCCCTATAATCGTATTCGTGACAAAGTCTACTTGAATGCACACATTTCCGTACTTGGAGGCGTCTCTGTCGCCGGACCATGGTTCAGCCGGGACGGGATCCTAATCGCACAGAATTACAATTCAATTGCGGTGTTTTGGCAAAAAATGGCGTACCATTGTGTCATTCCTCTATTTCATGCCGCATTACATTTCCGATTTGTCGGCAATGGTTATAGCAATAATAATGATCGATAGTGACATTATTATTAATCGTAGTATTAATCCGTAAAAAGCTACAAAACTCTATACAAAACTCTATACTCTATGCGACGAAAAAGGCAATATTATAATTGTTACGATAGATATTATCTCTGTCGAGGATCTTTAAAAAAAACTCTTCTACTAATCTCTTCTACTAATATTTATTATAATAGACTTTACCAAATTCAATTTCTTGTTTAAACGACATCGAAACCGATCGTAAAAATGTTTAAACCTGACCTTAAACCTGAGATCACCAACTGGGGGTTTCGCGTAAGGTATTCCTTTGAAAGCGACGTAACTCCCACAACATCCTTCCTCGACAATGCCAATTAATCTTCCCTCACGAACGTTTACAGCCACTCTGGATTTACTCATAATGAATGCTGAAATTGGATGGATAGTGTGGATTAGTGTTATTTTTAAAATTTTTATCAAGACAGCAAAGATTCAGGAGCACGAACGAAATGCACACTGTCTTCACTACACGTTTACATGTACAGAGGAGTGCACCATATCATGAAATTGCAGGGGAAGTATTTCTCGGAAATTTCTCCTCTAGCTGCTCCACTACTGCGTGCCGTTCTCTTTCGATCTCGGGCCGCTGACAAAAACCGAAGGAGAACGGCGCGCGGTAGTAGGAGCAAATAGATAGAAAAGAATTTGCCGAGAAATACCTCCCTTGGAACCGCACGATATGGCGCACTCCTCTGTATATTATATACAGATGATTGAAGACTACGGCTGCGTTCGGGGAGCACGCGATCAGCGCTATTGCGTCATTCTGCCTTTTTTTTACATTTTTAATGAGCAATAAAAATAGAATGATGCAACAGCGCTGATAGCGCGCTCCCCGAATGCAGCCTATTAGTTATCAACAACTAGTCATCAACAACTAGTCGCTCGCGCGTGAGACGTTGACAAATAAACATAAGTTTGTTTGTATTGTACATACATATATTAGATAAACTTGTTACGTAACAATTAACTATAACTACCACGCGATAAAAACATATACCTGTACAATTATTGAACTTACACATATACCTGTACAATTATTGAACTTACACATTTATATTGTGTATAATAACTCGCAATAATTCTGACACCCATTTATATCATATGAAATAATAACAGATAAGATTATAACACATAATCTTATCTGTTATTATTTGATCTGATATTATCATTCAGTTTTAATTTTAAAAATATATCTCCTCTTCCATCTAAAACTCTTCAAAACACCTAGTTTTTTATTTTAGCGGAATATAAATATCAAGATCATTGATTTTATCATTGTGCGATGTTATTTGTAGGATGTTGAAGAAACAGCAATTATCTGTAATATTTTCACTGTTATCTATAAAGTGTTCGAAAAACATTATTATAACGCGTATTTCTATAACGACATACTTGTTAAATTCAAATAAATTCAGAAACACGAATAATATATATATCTGTTTTTATTTTATAATAAAAATACACAAAAGAAACTTACTTATCGATTGATTAATCAAGAAGAGAAGCAGATGTTCGATTTGAAAGAACTGCGACTGAAATATGAAGCTGCTTAAAATTCTCTTACATGAACAAACGCACGACTGACGTTCTGTATGAACGTCGTCGTATATAGCGTCGTTCTCTTCTCTCTTCCCTCCTTACAAAGATTAATCGTTATTTATCATAAGTTGACATAACATCTTCACACAGATACGGACTTCAACAACACTGTTCGTTGCTATTCACATTCTTCAGCTGATTGACGTAGAGCGGAGACGCACGACGAATTCAAGGACGATAATACTTAGCTAAGAACTTTCGAGAGATCCGAAATTATCACCGAATTAATCATCAGCTTATATCTCGCTTACTACATAGAAAAATATTTTTCTTCATAAATATTTCTTCCCTATCATATTTTTTTTCTAATGTAGGTTGTGCCCCGATCTCTCTCCTACTTACTATTTAAAAAAAACACAAGTTTGTAAGAAAAAACAACATAATATACACATATATTTACACAAGTTTGCGATAAAAAAAAAACAATATATACAAATGTATGTAAAATTTTTATATTTATTATATGTTAATATACTTCTAATACATGTACGAGCGCGGACATTCCTTGAATTTAAAATACAATCGGTTAGCTAAATTTATTGCTGCGCGATAGCGACGCTAATCTACGTATATATTTACGTTTTTTTTCTTTTTTTTTTTAAGTCCGATCGCAATTACTGACATGTTGCAGTATACTTTACTGTAAAATATATTAACAGTGAGTTTTACACAAATGAGATAAAAATTTTACGTCCTCAAATTTGTGTCTTTCCTTGACGATTAGGCTCACGTTAAAATATCAATAACCAGATATAAAATTTGTTTACATACATGTATTTATAATACAATTATAATTTTAAGATCTTATACCTCTAAAATAGACTGTATATTTGGTGGATTACTATCAGTAAGAATGATTTAACGTTTAAATTATCTCGCAGAATAATCGAGGAATTTGAACTCGAGTTCGAGATCAAGTTCCGAGGACCACACAGCTTCTGTATCTGAAACCGATGACCTGTATATACATAGCTATATCTCCAGTGGCTATATACAAATATATATATATATATATATATATTTGTAAATATGTATAGAAACAAAAATTATATCAAATATCGATGCTATCAGCACGAAAGCGAACTACTCGAGAACGCGGTCTACGCCTGCGTGTTAAATAATTTATTTTTATATAGCTGATTAAATATTTGCGTGTTTGTGATTTACCTGTTGACATGCGTTTTGTCGAACGCTTGATTATTTATAGATAAATAATAATCTATCTTTGACAATCAACGATTGAGACTTTATCGTGAAGATAGCAAAAAAGTCGAAAAACAATTTGAAATGTTTACTGCCATGTGTCGCGAATTGACACTGCATGCCTCCTATCGGACTACGGCGCATGCCCGTGTGTAGAGAATGTGTATATGTTAGCCGCATTCTGTCGATAAAACAGATTTCTTTACTTTCAAAAGTTTGAATTTTAATGTTTATTAAATCAAACTTACTTCGCAAGGTAACAACACAAGACGTTTTCTTTTTTCGAACAAAACGAAACTCGGCTGAGCACATTATTATCGATTAATCGGAGACAAAAATTAAACCGGGTAATTACCATAAGTAGATCATAAGTAGATAACAAATAAAAACGAGCTCCAGATGGCTCAGAGGTATAGGATAGGAGTAGAGCAATTATAATACGAGTGACGTGTTCGAATCAGCTTTCAGAGAATTTTGTAGAGTACAATAGTCAGAGTAGTCATTGTAAATCATAAAGTCATTTGAACCGCAATATTGTGCAAGACAACTTAGTGCTTTCGTGTTTTATTCCGCTGTTGCATTCTCTTGGTGATTTTTTCCTTCAAAGAGCGAAAAAAAATGTCGTTTATCTCGCCTATGCCCAGCCAGGAATTTCTTTGGAATGTGTTCCAAAGGTAAATTTGTAAATAATTTTTTAATTTTTTTATATAATCTATTTGCAGCATTGCAGTATCCTTGATTCTCTAGATTGTATTGATTAAAATACGACCTGTCACACGTGCAAATGTTTTCAAAAATGCGATCTTTGCTCGCGTTCTTAGTGCTTCAAACTTTGGTTTTAACCTGTCTTTGCAACTTTTGTTGTTTGATATATGTTATATATATATATATGTATACATGTAGGTGTGGTCTGTTTATTGTTAACTTTAAAATAGAAACATACATGCAGTTATTTATAATATTGCACATTTGTATGTATATTATTTGTAACAATATACTGTGACACAATATTTGACTGACTGTTATTAATTTTTGATTATCAGAGTTGATAAGGACAGGTCTGGCGCAATCTCTGCGGATGAATTGCAACAGGCACTCTCTAATGGCACCTGGACACCATTTAATCCAGAAACTGTTCGTCTAATGATTGGTATGATACACATTTTCAAATCAACAAACAATGACCATGTGAATTTGTATAATTACTTCTATTTGTGCATGTGTAGCAGGGTGGCTTTTATTTACTTTTAAAGAAAATTTATTTTCGGCATTTCAAAGAATAATTCCAAAAATGCTAAAAAAATAATCTGTGAAATAGTTCAGTTCGATCGATCAAAGAGAAAAGTTGCCCCTGGGGCAACATTTAAACATGTTTTTCAACATAATCAATAAGTTAAAAAAGATAATCAAATAAAATCGATTCATTACGTATTTAAAACATTGTTTTAATGTTTAAGGACCCGGGGCTTCTTTTCCCTTTATTCAACTGAACTTTTTCACAGATTATTTTTTTAACAACGAGAACCATTCTCGGAAGTGTCGCAAAAAAAATTCAAAAGTCAAAAATAAGAGCCACCTTAATGTGTGGTTTATCTCGTATCTTGTTGCAACATCTTTAAATATTATAACACTTAAATAAAAATCGTAGTATGGCACATTACGAGACAAAAATATAATGTAGAAAAACATTTGTATATATGTATGAAATGACTGAAACTGTAAATTACAACACGTTGCACGTTCTTAGATTTTATCACATAATGTAAAAAAACGACATTGATTTGCATGGTTGTTGGTATATTATTATAAATGTGTTTGTGTTTTTTTTCTTGTTGACACAGGTATGTTTGACAAAACTGATCCTACTACAGGTATGTTCGATAAACATCAAAAAGGCACTGTAAGCTTTGAAGAGTTCGGCGCATTGTGGAAATACGTAACCGACTGGGAGAATTGCTTCCGATCATTTGATCGAGATAATAGCGGGAACATTGATCGCAATGAATTGAAGACAGCTCTGAATAACTTTGGATACCGATTGAGCGATCACATAATTGACATGCTCATACGAAAATACGATCGTGCAGGCAATGGCACAATATATTTCGATGATTTCATACAGTGTTGTATAGTTCTACACGTAAGTATATAAGAGAGATTTATTTACTGATATAAATTATCTCATTAATGTGAGTCATTGAAGATATAGCTTCGGACTTTTTGTTTTGGAATATGTGGAGCTTTTTGCCTAATGTAGTAATTCAAGAGGCAATTTCTTTTAATCTTGTTTAGTTATTGTTTTTCATGTAATTGTAGAAATTATATTGCATAGATTACAACGTGTAGTGTTAATTATATTTATTAAACTATTACACTATTAATTTAATCATATTTTGTTTTATCCGAACAATTTAAAATATTTTTTTCAAACAATTTAAAATATTTTGTTTGTATCGAACAATTTTAGAAACATTTTCTCTCAAGGAAGAAAGAAAACGAAGATAAGAAGGAATGACACGATAATTCTATTCTCTATTTTCAGACACTTACATCCGCTTTTAGACGACTTGATACAGATTTGGACGGTGTTATAACGATTCATTACGAACAATTCTTAGGCATGGTGTTTAATCTTAAGGTATAAATAATATGTTGATGAGCTATATTGCCGTATAAATGTCTTTTCCTCTCTTGTTTGCTTTGGTAATATATCAAAAGCCTAAGGACATTCTGAGATGCCAAATAAACACAAATCTTTTATTTTTTCATATAAAAAATATATAAATTAAAAAAACATATGTTAGAATCTCTAAAATATTTATATATGTGCTGTCCGAAATTAAACCATCTTATGTGAGAGGAAGGACGGTTGCCCTTCTACGCACTGTTTCTCAGCTGCTGTTGGACAGGTGCTGATGGTTGGAGTAAAATAATGCATAAAAGAGCAATCGTTAGCTGGGCACTTTCACTTTTAGTCTAGTTCGTACGTACATGCCTTGAACAATTTTGAATCTTTCCTCGAATATCATTCTGTATATATTTCTCCACATGTACTACGAAATTTCACAACTTTACGACATTCCTATTTTAATGATACAAAATATGCTTAACACTAATAAATTTGGAAAATTCCTATAAAATGAACATTATATCACTAATGAGGTTTATGTGTTATGGTACACTTATTTGATAGTTACGTTTATTAACATATAAGTCAATTACGATATATCAAATATTTAGAACACATTATTGATTAATGTTGCGAATTTACTTGAAGAAAAACGAAGAATTTTTCACAGAATACAATTTTTAGTATTGCTATACATTATTGTGTAACTGCATGATGTAATGAATATTTTTGCAAATTTACAAGTTTAGTTTTAAGTGACAAGAGACACATGTACATATATTTCCTATATTTTTCATAAAACTTTACTGATATACAGTACTGTTATAAAATTTATAGAAACTCTGACAGCTTTATATTTCATATATCTATTTTTATGTAATTGTTGTGTATTACGAAGATAAATAAACTAACAAAAAAATATATATGAAAGATCATAAACTAAAAAAAAATTTATACTTGTTATGTGTGAATTTGTACATTAAGTGTTAACTTTGTTAATGCTTTTGGAATAAAAGCGAAAGATGAAATAAAACTCATTTTGTCTTGATAAACGCTAAGTATAAAGATTAGATTGATAAAATATCAGTCTAACAAAGCTTTTATTTCAACAGTAAGAGCAGTTTTGCTTTTATTTAGTAAATATTCTAATTATTTCTCTTCGCGTTTACAAACTTTTTGGTTGACGTACTAGTCCGTTTAGGTCTCCCTCACAATTGGAATATGCCATACCTAATCCAAAACCAGCACCAATTATAACGGGCCATTTCCTTCCTGGAAGAAAAATTCAATGTTTATGCAGTGAAGAAAATTCAATAAAATGTGAAAATGTCTCTCTTTTTGCCATGTGCGTGAGAATCGAGAATGTTGCTGAATATTTAAGAACAACGATAGATATAATAATAAATTACGTCACAGCAATGGATATTAATAATACATTACTATATGCAATGTAATAAATTTACTTTTAAAGAACAGCAGAGAACACACTCCACCGAGGACTACTCCGCCACCTGAAAATTAAAAAAAAAAAAAAAGTGATACGCATGGTTTACGTGCAACAGAGAAGAAAAAATTGCATTCGCTGGATATTCCAAGATTGACAATTACTCAGTTTGAGAATGGCATCCGTGAAACAACGATCCCACTTTCGTCCGATCTCATCCTCGACCCACACCGTGCCCGCCATGTTGATATGTCGTGCTGTAACGTCGTGCTGTTATATCATTTCATTTGCGGAGCGTGTTATCACAGATTCACACGGACTACCGCATTATTACGAATCCAACCAGATACAACGGCCGCGTAACGAACAATGGGTGCGTTCAAACAACTCAACGGTTGAGAGATCGTCACTTATGATAGGACTATTCTTCAAAATCTGTTGCGGTTCCAAAAGTATGATCCAATCAGAAGTGAGATTATCTCTCAACCGTTGTTGCAACTGTTGAGTTGTCTGAACGCACCCAATTTCTTCTTTATCAAAATCATAGGGTCCCCAGAGAAGCGGCGTTTTTGATTCGCCGCTGCTTCAGAGACTCTACCAATCGTAATACACGAAACTTAAAAATAGACTTGAGCGATTAAAAAAAGTTATTTATTCAATCAAGAAAGTTATTCAATAACTCTGGATTTGTCAATAATTGCGAAATTGTTGCAACAATAAAAGAGAGAGACAAAAAAATATAATGCAGAAAATTTGTGAAAAATTTCACACTCGATCGTGTCGTGGCAGCACTGAGGGAGCACGCGACAAAGACAGAAGAACGGACGCGTACGTCATCAGTCTCCGAACTAATTAGGCATGAATCATAGCGATCGTTTATTCCCCGTGGGAGACTCTGAATCCAACATAGCTCAGACATCGACAAAGAAGAAAGAACAGAAAAGGGAGACTCTGATCGAGATCGACTGCGGCAAATAACGCGCGACGAAGGCGATATTCTCACCGCGAAAAGTTTCGCCGCGCGCGCGTCAAAGAACCCGCGCGTGACATTAGGAAACGGGGTGCCACGACGCCTCCGTAGACCGGAAAACGAAACGAGGACGGGGGGATCGAGCGCGTCTAGGGAATCTCGACGCCTCGGTGTTGCCCGGTCCGAGAATCGACGAGTGCAGTTCTTGAGTGTTGCTGCGAATCGAATAGCGGGTCGCGCAAGTCGAACGAAGTCGCGTCGAATCGAGGCGGAGGAGCGTGAAATCTTGCGGAGCGGTGAGAAATCTCGATTGCGTTACGAGACACGGGCTTTTGTGCGTGTGTGAGCGGGCTGGTTTGCGTGAAAAAAAATTTGAGTCTCGGTGCGCGGCGCGTAATGGAGGTGCCGACGGCCGCTGGACGCGCTCGAATTACTGACATCGGGAACGGGAACAGCAGCGGAGGCAGCAACAGCACGACCGTGCGCAAAGACGACCGCCACTGCCTTCGCCGTCACGGTGATGCCGTGCTGCGCCGCCGAGCCGTCAGAGCGTGAGCCGTGCAATCACCGTCGTCGACCGTTCCCGCATTCTTTGACAATCCGGCAGCCGGCCGTGAGGGACGGATTGCTATGCGATCGTCCGGAACGACGACGCCGTACGACGCCGTTTCGATCGTTCGATTTCTTCTGCCGCCGTGACGATCAACACTGCTGTTGGGCCGCACCACCGAGCGAAGAAGAAGGAAAGAAGAAAAAAAAACGATAACACCTCAGATACGCTTCCTCAATCCGCCGCGACACAGCGCACCCTTCCACGCGATTTTCGTCCTACGTGTCGATTTTCGCTCCTTAACGTAAATACGTTCGGGAGAGGAAGATAAGTCTCTCCCGGAAGAGAGGTTAGACCGGCGCACGAGGATCGCCGCGCTCCCGAGAAGTGGCATCGTCCGTTGAACTCTGACAGTCGGTTAGCCTCCTCGGCATCTCCTTCTCTCTCTCTCTCTTTCTCTTTCTCTTTCTCTCTTTCTCTCTCTCTCTCTCTCTCTCTCTCTCCCCTCGTCGCATCAGCTCGCGCATCTTTCCTTTCCGCACCCTATACACACTTGCACACTTGCGCCAGTCTGTGCTCCTCTCCGCGTCTGCGGAAATTGCGACCATCGTGCGGTGTTGTGTCTCGTGCTGTGCCGTGCTGTGTTGTGTTTGCTTAAATCCGCGGTTCTTTAAAGCACAGAAATATGCCTTGCATAGGGATCGATCCCTATCACTGACACTGAAACCGACGTTGCCGTCGTCGTCGTCGTCGTCGTCGCCGTCGTCGCCGTCGCCGTCGTCGTCGCCGTCGTCGTCGTCGTCGCCGTCGTCGTCGTCGCCGTCGTCGTCGTCGTCGTCGTCGTCGCCGTCGTCGTCGACGACGGTATTGCCATTGTTATTCCTCATCATCATTGTGACGGATATTATTCAAGCAAGTGCGATAAAACATTGGATAGTTCGATCACATATATATCGGATAATTAATTAATATCCGCAACCGTGGATACCAACGACCGGTACGAGATGCAGAAGCGGGATGGCAGAGACAATCGCGGCGACAAGGAGCTCGGACCACGCGGCTCCGATCAAGAAGTCGTCAAGCGGCCTTCCAAGGGCAGCGGTAATGCACGCCCGGAAAAATCGAACGTTCATTCCCGGCACAGCCTCATTACCTCGTCGTCCGGCGTGCTCATGGTCGGTCCGAACTTCCGAGTTGGCAAGAAAATCGGCAGCGGTAACTTCGGAGAACTTCGACTAGGTGAGTTATCTTTCTCGGACCAACCGCAATGCGAGATTACGTCCCGCAATAAAACATTGCAAAAAAAAAAAAAAAAAACAAACAACAGAGGAAAAGCGAGATATATTTCTAATGCAAATCAATCTCGATGTTGATTTATCGAATTGAATCCAGTTCGAATTTCAATTTTAATTAGAGTTTGCATTGTTGACATATGTCTCGCACACACATTCAGCGCTTGGCTCTTGCTGGCCCTATTGTTTATTTTGACGAAAAGCATGTGATCCGTTTGCAATTTTTATATATTTTTAAAAAAGATTTCAGAACACGTCGGCAGAGACTGGATTTCTGTGTGCGAATTTTTTTTTTTTTTTCTTGCAGATTGAAAGTTAAATTGAACCGAGTGAGAAATTGTGTGTGGAAAATCTCTTCGTGATTTGCTCTCACAAGACCGTTTACTTTACCTGTTTACTGGCGTATTGTTGCATATGCGTCTTTCATTCTCGTAACACAAAAGGAAGATTAGAATCGGACTTACGCGACACCGGCTCTCCGAAAGATAACAAATTTGCGAAAGAGTATAACATTTCTGATTAAGCTTTTTTGTGTTTGCGCTCGTTTTTCGTTTTGTTTGCAAATCTCGTCGTCGAGCGAGAAATTCAAAAAATTACTGCGATATCTTCAAACATTTGTTGTTATTTTTCGAAATTTAAGCAATTTGCAAACACTCGTAAACAAACACAAACGAGAGACAAAAGACAGAAAAACAGTGCAAACACCCGTTTTATGCAAAACAGATTCTCTCAAACAAATCCTGTTTGTAGAAATTACGATAGTAGAAAAACAAACTCATTACAACTGCGAGCGAGTTCGAAATCAACATGTGCGCAAATCTGTGTTTGTTTCAAGTTAGATGGCAGATATTGTTCTTAAAAAATGGCGATATCTTCTTTTGAATTAAATCTCTAACTGAACTGTTGTTGCTACTGACACAGAATAATGTTTCATATCAAAGCGAGATATAATTCAACGATTTGTTGCGAATTACATTCAAAAGAAAATTGAACTCAGATGTGAATTTTTTTAAGAATCTTTTAAAGTTAGATGTTTGCGAATAAATTTTACTCTCGGGACAATTTTTTCACACGAATTTAATCTACTTTAAACGACGTGCCAATTACGTAAAGATGGATTTTTTTAAATTGATTTCACCAGCTGTTCCGCGCGATAAGAGACGCGCTTACATCGATAATATCATTATGCATGCGTTATCAATTTATTGTCTACTTTGATACGCCTGATGATCTTGCTCGAAGGTCGTAAATATCTCGTTCGGTAGCAATCGACTCTCGTCTCGCTCATCGAATATGAATCTAGCTTCAATTGTCGATTAATTTTCGGGTAATTGCTTGTGTGTTTGTGTGCGTGTGCACACAGCTCCAAAAATTCGACGCCTCGCAAGTTGATACACTTCGGTGACCCGATTTCGAATCTCGAGTCCCGGAGTTTCAAGAAGTCTTATGTAAAAAGAAAAGCTACACACGTTCTTCCAGTGACACAATTGTATATTTTTACATAATTTACACATGTATGAGCTGCATAAAAAAAAAAAAAATCGAAACTTTACTCGGTAATAAAAGCAACCTCTTTCGAGCGTCAAATACGACAATGATGCTCGATTGAAATTTGTACTTTTCGTGCTATATCTTCTTTATCGCGTCCTCTCGTCCTCGTCAATTGATAATAAACTTTTTATCTTTGTTAGAGACACGTGGAAAGAAGTGCAGTTTCTTCTGGAATCGTATATATATTTAACAAAAATGCGAAGTAATCTCTTCGCACGCAACAATCTTTCTGTGAGGCGATCAGGAGCCGAGCAGGAACCACGACGTATTCGAGAACAGGAAGTACGAAATTCCAAACCGCGGGCCCATAGAATGGCTAACGCACACACACATGTGTAACGGACTTACCTGAGGGTGCCGATCGTATTGTCGTCGCTTTCCCACGGTCATATGATAAGAATGGGTCGACGCTGTTTCTGAGAAGAGACTTCCTCATTTTTTTCTTCTCTCATCAGCAATCTCGTTTATTGAAAATAACAATAATTGTCTAGTCGGACACAAATTTAGGAGGCTCGCTCGAGTAATCTGCATTCTTATCGATCTTGTGTTTGTGTGTGTAATTTCTTCAAAATCTACAAAAAGCGATGTCTCGCAGGAATATAAATATCGCAAGTCAATGCGCAAGTGTGTACACTGACCGGCATCGAATCGTTCCGCGAAAGGGGAAAGAAAGTTCCTCCTCCGTTTCCCTTTCGGCCGCTTCGAGCTAAAATAGCGCGTAGAAGGAGAACCTTTTTCTCTCTCCTTCTCGGTGCCGGAAGAACGTGTACGTTTTTTTGTTTTGCGAGAACAAACTTTTAATCAAGAGATGCAAGTACGTGTATATAAAATACGTCAAGTAGACATCCACTCGAGATAAGTATTACCGTTGGAGTTTGCGGAAAAGAACATTTTACCTCCTTAGCTCCCGACGTAGCCGCAACGTGACGCGACGTGACGCGAGTTCTCCGGCTCCGCTGCACGTGCTGGTACCCTGACCTACATTCACACCTACGAGTCTAAGCCCATGTCTACGATGGTCGATCGCGCCATCGTTCGCCGACAAACTCGGCCTGGCAACCGAATGGTCCGATTAATATTTTCGAAATTGCACCTAGACCCAACCTGCTTCCTAGGTGCCCTACATTTTCGTTCCGCTGTCGTGTTCTTTATATTCCGCGCCCCGTGTATCACAAAAGCGTATCACATCGGACCTGTTGCGCTTTTCGTTAGAAACGTTTTCTTTCTCCCGACAAATCGCGTACGAAAATAAATTGTTTTGAGACAGAAGAACGCTCTTGTCAGGAACAAACACACAATTTTTATTGATTTGCAATTTACTTGTTGCAACACACTTCTATTACAGAGTAGAAAGTAAATTCATTCCGTTTCCGAATATATATTGATGATATCGTCCGTCGGCTCCGTCGTGGCTGGAAACGTAAATGAAATATTCGAAAATATCTCTCTATTTTGAAACATTTGAGTTGAAATAAAATAATTGTTCCAATAACCGAATATTTGTTTAAAAAATAATTATTAGACACGTCAATCTTAATTGTCACATTGTTTATGTTGTCCTGCGCTCTTATTTCTGGGATATTTTATATAAATGAATATAAAAAATTACCGCTGAGACAGATTGAAACGTTTGAAGACATTTTATAGAAGATTGTTCATTTAACGCTATTTTGCCAGCGTGGTTTTGATCCTCTCACTTCAATTATAAATTTTTTACTGAACAAACACGTAGTAGAAGATGACGATGATTTTGCACGGACTGTAAAATGCCTCGACTCGCAACAACAATCTGAAAAACATTGGAACATTTATTGCCGTAGCTTTCAGAAACAATAGTTTTTGGCGTAGGGAGCTTCTGGCATGAACGTACGCGCGTATTTTAAGCTGGCACAGCCACTTTCGCGCGCAATCGAACAAGATGCGCATAAAAATTCACAATGCGTGCTACATAATTTTGTTATTACTCCAGTCATTGCGCAAAAATCCAAAAGTCTGCGCTGAAGACTCGAGTGCGAAAAGAACATATTCGCGCGAACAAAAAACATTGAAAGCAAAGACATGTTCCTTTAATGCTGCTGTGTTGCAAATTTTGTTGCCTCACTCGCGTATCTTTATTGCGTCACGCTGCTCATCCTGCAAACAAAACAAAATGACGTAAAAATTATCGACACTTGAATGGATTACAAGAGTGAAGCACCTCAAAAAAAAAAAAAAATACATTGCTTCTGTTGATTTGAAACCGTTAGAGCGATTCTACATTTTGTTGCTCAAGACGCGCTATATATAGTTTCGGAGTATTTTATAAATTTATACTCTCTTATATCATCCAAGAGTGTCGTCGGTAGTTCTTACGTCATATTTCGTCTGAACAGGTGTGACGCAACGAGAAAACGTAGAAAATAAAACACAAATTAGCAACAAATACCGTAAAATGTACAATGTAGTACTATACCCAGCGTTCTTTTAATTAATATTAGAATCAAGGTTGAGTGTACGTCTAGTTTTTCCACATCCGTCAATTTGATATATAAAAAAAAATATACATATTTGTTGTTATTTTTATTTTCTTTAATACTAAAGTAATTAAGTAACAAAGAGTTAAAAATAAAGCTTTCATTTACTAAGGACTTTTAATAATATTTCACGCTTGCTTTTGCCTCGTTAAAATAATTATACCATGACTTAAGGACTGTAATTTCTGTGTAGAACAAGAAATCTGAAATATTATGACAAGTTTGATTGTTCTAGCGTTAAACAATCCATAACGTTTTACAGACCGTTCATTTTACACTTACACTTTATTTCGGTTTGCCTTTTTTTTTCACACGCGATCGTATCTTACTTGAAGTGCAGAAAAAGTGGAAGTAAAACAAGCAGACCTTATGCCATTCCTCTCTTGCGGTGGCTGGCAACACATCGAATGCTGGCGGTTTAAGGCATTTTTATGTGGCGGACAGCTGCTCCTAGTAACACGGGACGGGAAGACATACGTCGACCGAGGGGTTACCAAGGTCCTTTGTGTCCGCCTGTTCGCTTCTTTCGAAATTATCCTTTACAATCTTTCGCTTGTTTTTATTATACATTTCTATCTACACATACATTACACGTACAAACATTCATTTTGAATACGCGATATTAATATTGATGTGTATAAGATGTTCGCGTGTCGTGCCCCTTCGCATTTGCAATATGGATCGAGAGTTTAAGTCGGTCACTTTGTTAAACTCTATTGTTACTATTATTATCAGTAAAGCTAGACGTATCGACATTTTCAACGGCGCTAATATTTCGAATGTGTATAGCGCGCGCGCGGAATCGAAGCAGCTCCGATTCCGATTACCTTCGCGCGAAGAGACGCGCTATCAGAGTCTCTCTGCGATAAAAGCGCGCGCGAGACTTGCAAAACCGGTGCGGTTATCGATTTCTATCCCGGATAATGAATTCGTTTTTTTTTTTTGTTAATCGCTTCGTAATGAGACACGATATCTTCTCTCTCGCAAACATTTTCACGAACATCACACACGCGCGTCCGAGGAAGAGGAGACAACGCGACCCTATTATTGATTGACGGCGCATTTGCCGCGCGGTTTTTGTTAATTAACATAATTAGCGAGTAATACAACGTCACGCACAAGAGTGTGATTTAAAAATTGACCGAACGTGACGAAAGTTGGAAATTTAATATAAAGTAATATTATTAAATCTGTTTGTAGGCTTCTTTTAAAAATGGATTTCCGCCTGTAATCCGCTCTGTAATCCCGTCTGTTTCTCTCGGATGCAGAAAGAAATAATTTATTTACTAGTGTTTATCGTGTTTTACTTTGCGTCATCGATTCTCTATGAACGACCATTATTGTCACCCGGTATCGGTCCTTTTGGAAAATTACTACGGCCAATACAATACACACGCACGTATACACACACACACATAAATATATATTTCTGTCGTCATATACGCGGAGCGCCGTGATAAATGTTTACGCCGACGTTCTTGTACACGTCGTTCGTTGCTCGAACGGAGTCATCGCTCGTCCCTGCCCGAGGAAAAACCATGCCCGTTCGAAGTACATTATTCGAGGATCGTTCGCGCGAAAGAGAGAAGTCGCGATGATGCAACACATGACTCAGTACGTAACGCACAAGGGTGCGATTATCTTCTTATTCGAAATAAATCGACGGTGCTTGTTCGCAGCACCGCCAGTGAGACGAACAAAAAGACACGGAGGAAGATCGGAGAAGCGTTGTGTTAATTACCGCGAAAGTATATACGGAATCGCCAATCGCGAAAAACGCAAGCGTGCCCGCGTGCGCGAGCCAGAGTCCGCGCGCGAGTCCATTGACCTTTCCTTTCTGGCGGAAAGTTTCGGTTTTGTTCGCGTTTATTTGAAAATTATATATATTCTTCTTGGGCCTCGCATCTACATATGTATGTTATATCTCGCGAATAGACAGAGACAAGTGATACTTTTCAAGGAAGACCGCGCGCCTGCTCTTCTGTCAGAAGAGCGACGTTCCGAATCTTTTTATGAGTCACAAAAAATACCACGTTACTTACACGTACACGCGCGTATGTATTTATTATTAGATTCGTATCTTTTCTTTTTTTTCTCTCTTTCTCTTTCTCTTTCTCTCTCTCTCTCTCTCTCTCTCTCTCTCTCTCTCTCGGTGAAGCCATTGCGAACAAAATAGAATTTTGTGCCTTAGCCGGCTTCTGTGGCGTTTGTTCCGGACAATTCCGATAGACCCAACCGTGCATTACGAGATTTTGTCATATTTATTGTACGCATTTGTTTAGATATTTACACACGTGCAAAAAGAAAATTAAATTTGCGCTAAATAAACCCAGGTTTATTGCACTCGGTTTGATTTTGCGACGTAACACACACATACACGCGCGCGCGCGTCATCCTGATTCGCCGCCTGATGATAATGTACCTCTAAAACGCGCGCTTGTGTGTGATTATGTATGCATATCGAAAGACGTTAATTTATGTTTAAACCACCGCAATTCTGCCGGTAAACGTGCTGCAATCTCGGTCTAATTTTCTCATGTTGTGACTACAATCAAACTAATGAGTCATCACAAGTGTTGGCATTTAACTGTCGTGCAATTATATTGTCATCGAAGCGAGATTGTGTATGCGCGAAACGTCAAGTAACTCGCGCAATAACGCAACGTGCCATTTAGCGGGAAAGGAGGGTGGGGAGAGAGGACAAAGAGGATTTTACCGTTTAAGAAGGTTACATCAGAGAGAATTTGTGTAAACGCGATCGTTGTGTTAACGATCTGACATTGTAAGCGCGAAACCTTTGCGCGTCTCGTTGTGATTTTTCTAGTATTGTAATAAATATATATCATATTTGTTTAATTCGCATTACTCACATCAATCTTGATCTGTTTCTTTTGCAGGGAAGAACCTGTACAATAATGAGCACGTAGCAATTAAACTAGTAAGTAAAAGATTCCTACACTCTACTCTTTGCGCATCATGTGAGAGAGAATTGGCGAGCTAACGAACTCTCTTTTTTTTTTTCTCTGAATTTGCCGCCGTACAGGAACCAATGAAGTCAAAGGCTCCACAGCTACACTTAGAATATAGGTTTTACAAATTATTAGGTACACATGGTGAGTGTCACTTTCAAACTGCTTCCTTTGAACATTCCGTAGGGTAGACAATAATTGTCGCCGCGTCACATTTCCTCCGGCATGTCGAGACGCTCTTTTGACTCATTCAATTTTCTATGATAGTTATTTATTTATTTATTTTTTTATTTAATTATGTTTATTATATTTTTCCATTATGGATGTCAGCAAAAGTGTTAAATAATAATCTTATTTAATAATCTTAACTTCCGTGTTTTTGACGCAATTGCAAGCAAAATAACAAACACTCTGTTGTGGTGCATTGATTTGTTGCATCGAGTTGCAGATCTTTAAACTTATTTTCTCCGAAAAGATGGGGGATGATGCTAGCTACTTAAAAGTCAGCGTCTCCTCCCCCACGCAAAAAAATTGCAAACAAGTACACACTTTTGCGACATGTGCGATCTTGATTGTTTATAATGAGAAAAAAAATTCTAGTTTAATATAGATTTTACTATATCAACCACACACTACTACCACGCGCGCTATATACTTGTTCTCTTGTGTGACGCGTGTCGTGGATGTGTTGCGTCCGAGCCGATAATATTGCGTGTAAATGGGGGTGATCTGGGGTGTTATCTATTTTTGTCGATTGGTATAGTTCATAACACACATATAGAGGGTATACCGGAGGTGTATTACTTCGGCCCATGCGGCAAGTACAACGCCCTGGTGATGGAGCTTCTCGGACCGAGCCTCGAGGATTTGTTCGATCTCTGTGGCAGAAGGTTCACCCTTAAGACCGTTCTCAACATTGCTACGCAGCTCGTAAGTTGCAGCTTGCTTTTTATTAAACACATTATTTTTACTTTGCGACAAATACTTTTAATAATTTAATATCGAAGAGAAAGCAATAATATGTGATTTTTTTAATTCGACAGCTCCATAGGATAGAATATGTTCATACACGGCATTTGATATACCGCGACATCAAGCCGGAAAATTTTCTGATAGGACGAATTTCTGGCAAGCGAGAAAACGTAATACACATCATTGATTTCGGATTAGCCAAAGAATATATAGACTTGGAGACGAATAAACACATACCGTATCGAGAGCACAAGAGTCTCACCGGCACGGCGCGTTATATGAGCATTAACACTCATCTCGGCAAAGGTAACGGATGTTTACTTTTGGTTTGTCTCACCGTGCGTAACGAATTTCCGCATACACTATCATCGCTATATATAAATCATCACTCATGAGGAGAGACTAGCAAGAAGTTATTACGGCAAATGCTTAAATCGTTAATTTTTTTAGTTACATTATCTTGTAGACACAAAATCACATACGATTGATAGAAAAATATTTACAAGTTTACAAATTGTTTAATTATTAAGATAAAAATTTTTGCAGTAGATTTATGTAAAGATCTTGTAGAGCATTTGTTGTGTGCAACAAAAACTTAATTGTCGTGAATAATAATTTTTCATATTGTCTTGTACAAGTTTTATAATTTTCTGATATTGTTTATATAAAAGAAGCGTATAATACGTAAGACGTGTCTTGTGACGAACAGAGCAAAGCAGAAGGGACGACCTGGAGGCCTTAGGTCACATGTTTATGTACTTCCTGCGTGGTAGTTTGCCGTGGCAAGGGCTGAAAGCCGACACATTAAAGGAGCGCTACCAGAAGATTGGCGATACAAAACGCGCCACACCGATCGAAGTGCTTTGCGACGGTCATCCCGAGGAGATGGCAACATATTTGCGTTACGTACGCAGGCTGGATTTCTTCGAAACGCCGGATTACGAGTACTTGAGGAAACTTTTCCACGATTTGTACGAGCGACGTGGTTTTGTTAACGATGGCGAATTTGATTGGACCGGCAAAACGATGGTACGTGTTACAACTGATGATGATCGCGATGATTCTTATTTTTAATTTACGCGTTTACGTGTTCTACACGCGCAGAAGAAAGCTTTCGCAAAAGACTCGGTAAATGTTATGGATGCTCGCGTGTTGCTTTTACTCGGGAAGCAAACAAAGCGACATCAATATTTATGCACCTCACTTTATTTGTTATGCTGGGAAACAATAATATGATGATAAAAATTCTTGTTCGGAATTTAATTTTATTCAAAATTCAGACGTTGCTCTCTTGGGTGCAGTATGCATTGTATTTATTTGACTTTCTCTTTTCTTTTTTTACCGATATAAGAATAGTATTGCTTTTATTTGTTTGCATTATTTGTGTGCTTGTCAATTGTCTTGTAATTGAGAAATTTAAACAGCGCACACATACGCTGTTCACAAGTTTCCAAATTAAATTACGCGATATAAGTTGACGGAGAAGAAAAAACTTAGTTGTATGTTAGGTAAGTAAGTTGTTTGTGCCAATGTCCCAACAGACGAACCCAACAAAGAGCAATGCATTACTGGCGAGCAGTTTCTCATCTGATTTTTAACGTTTGCATGCTGCCTTTCCTTCTCAAATGCACTATCTCTAGCCATCCAATTTCGAGAACTTGAGAGCGCTACGGATTGCGGCTCCCTCGCACATCGGCAAAACCAAATCCGATAAGGTTGGTCGTAGCTCAAGTAACAAACATGTCCCGATAAATATATTTTATCAGCCTAGTAAATAAACTCTTTGATGGTTTTGCAATATTTATTTTTGTATATTTATATACTTCTATACACATATCTGTGCTTTCTCTCTCTCTTCTCTTCGTATCTTCTATCTAATTGCTAGTGACAGTGATTGCCTGATTAATAAATTAGTGCAATAATTATCACGGCCGATCGTATCCGCTTAAGTAGACAGTCTTAAAGCAATATGTCACACAGGTCTTTCGCGAAGCGTATACACAAGAACTAACAATAACCATGCGTCCTCTGCCATTTTCGTCGGTCCGCCCGTCTTCGCTTGTCAGCTCCAAGTATAGCATTTTCATGTATCGCGAAATATTGTAGAAATGTAAACGGTATATTTACTGTTGACTTTTGTGCGACCCAAGTGTACATCAAATATTTTCTTTTCTTATTTCAGTCCACGCCCGTCGGATCTCTTCAAACCGGCCAGGAGATCATCGTGTCACCAAATCGCGATAGGCACCCGACCACTTATAAGGTATTCCTTGTGTCTTCTTTCGTTCCCTTTACTTTTTTTTTTCTTGAAGCATGGCGTGTGTAACCTACCTATTTACGTTTTAAGAGTTAACCGCATGAATAATCGCCTCATTAGCGGAAGAATTAAAGATAGACTTTGAGAATTATTATGACCCAGATGTGTGTCTCTATTATACATATATATATCTCATGATTCAGGTCAGACACAAGTACATTTTTCAAAACAAAAAAAAAGAAAAACATCGAAGCGCTTGAAATTAAGTAATTGAGTCGCGGTGCAAAGTGGTGTTATGAGTGAAAAAAAAAAAAAAAAACAGAAAAAGAAAAAAACTGAAACACACAGTACCTCTCTCCCGCACGTACCCAGCGCGAATTATGGCGTCAATTTATAGGAGTACGATGATTTTGAGGAAGACGTAGTCCTCATGATGGACGAAGTTCGCTTCGAATTGCAAGGCCAATATGTAAGCCAATCTTTAGGTTACGCTCGATGAATCGACTTCTTCATGCATGCTTATCTTATCAGCAACGAGATGATGCTATACAGTCGGAAAAATACTTGTTTGCGTTGTATAATGCCGTGTTATTGATGTTTCTCTCATAATAAAATACGATCGCGAACATTTAATCAATACCCGCGGAGTTCTCCAATAGATTTTCACATCGCACACACGTAGGCCATTACAAAAAAAAAAAGTAACGAAGTACAAACCTCCACAGGTGATCGATATACAAACGGTTGTAGATAGAAATAGTAAATTTTCGTAGAATTGCGCAAGTGGAAATTATTAAATGAGTAGATAACAGATTGTAACAACGATACGTTTTCAATTTGAATTTGCGATAACGATAAAACTCGTGCATGAAGAAGCAGAAGTTTTGTTACACCATTGGCTAGTACCGCAGCAATCATCGCTTGTAACAAGCTAGAATCGATATTTGTACATTTCCTCGTAGTTTATTGATACGTGGAAACCGTAAAATATTTAACGCACAGATTTTAATCTATCTACGGAAGTCATAGTTAGTCTCTACATCTATCTTCGTTTTATCGTCAACAAAAAAAAAAAAAAAAGACAACGTCACACAAAGCGAACTATATATTTTTTTATTTATCCGATACATAGATATATAGATATATATATTTTCTCCCTTTAATATTTAGATAAATCAATTGATCATTGGATTAGATGTTTTATCATCTTATTGCAATAATTCTCTTCGTCGTATACGTTTATGCTATACGTACATTACATTATTTATGTTTATATCACTCCAAATCGTATCGATATTCCCCATATATGTGTTCTAAAAATCATATTCTTTCCTCAAATTCCTCGACATTATTTTCTATTACTTATCTCCCTCGAATTCATTCGCGAAACTGCTTAACGCAAACCCAACTGCGATATTGTCATGCTTATTCCTTCAGGACATGGCAGGTGGAGGGGTGGGAAGCGGGGGCGGTAAGGGGGTGGGTACTACGTGGCCAGATACGGTGAAGCAATCAGGAGCCGGTGGTACATTGACACCTGCTGACAGGCACGGTTCCGTACAGGTGAGTTTGATGCTGCTCATCTTTCAGTTTTTTTGTTTCTTTTTGTTTTTTACTTTCATTTCATCTCTTGGTTTTTCTCCGAGAAATTTTCTCAACTTCTTTTTTATCTCTTCTACATTTTGTATTGTAATCGTGTCAATCTTTCTCAATCGCGGTAAAGAGGAACAAGTAACGTTTCGGCAATATGATAACGCGGCGGTAATGTGTACAATACGAAATTTGTAATGTGTGATTTGTAATATTTTTCTGACTTTATTTCGTACAAAAAAATCTCAAAAGATAAAAACCAAATATTTAAAGAGGCATTAATAAATCCATTACAACGAGCTTATCGGTTAATGAAAAAGTTTATTCGTTGTGTCTTTCCCTAACTATTCATCTTCCTTGTCTGTCATGTAAAACTTCGTTATACAACATCTAAATGTTTTACTCTATCAAAAGTAAACCGTTCGCTCTATTTCTAGACAAAGCATCACTGGATTATGGTCAGTTAGAAGTCTGTGCAATTTGACTTGTTGCGGCATGTGTTGTCCTTTTTTGTGTCAATTTTGTAATTAATTAAAACTTACCTTCTTTGTTTTTTTTTTTAAATATCCGACACGAAATACTCTAATTCGGTATTTACTCTAATCACTTGCTTTCCCTGCACTTGCAAGAGCAAAACGTGTCATCGTGAAAATCGATTTTCTTCACAAGAGGAATTTATTATTTATCTGTTCTATGTATACCTATGTGTGTCTTTCTTTAGAACGATGTTCGATTCTTATTGATCTATTAGCGATATAGGATTTTTATTTATTAGCAATATAAGATTTTTATTTATTAGTGATATAAGTTGAATTTCCATCCCTCTGCTACAACTAAACTCTTTCTCTCACTTAGTCCTTTATTACAATAATTAGATCTTCGAATAAATTTAATTTCTCACATTGATGTGTATTATTACTTATTGTTGGTTGTATTTTTTTCAAATCTAAGTAGTGTATAAAACAAAAACGAATTTTTTTACACACAATAGTGTCGGAAAATTTTATATATATGTAAATTCCTTACACGTTAAATTGTACATTTGTCTCTTTGGTATGATTTTATTTCAATAACGTCACATATGTGATATATATATACAGGTTGTGTCGTCAACTAATGGAGAATTAGCTAATGATGATCCGACTGCTGGCCACTCCAACACACCCATCACGGCGCCTCAGGAAGTGGATATGATCGACGAAACCAAGTTAGTAACAGTTTTTATTGCAAATTTCTGTTGTTTCTCTGTCTGTTGCTCTGAATGTGATAAATTTTATATAAAATAACATGACGTAATCAATCTCGTTTACCTAACCATCTCTTCGATATTGCTTATACTGATATAATCCACTTGTATTGAACAAATATTGAAACATCGAAGATCTAAGCTACGCATGTTGTTTTCAGAAAATTAAAATGGAAACAATTAAATTGGAAACGTTGTCCTCGATGTGGAAAGTTGTTGTTCCAATCCTTACAAGCATATCTTTCTAAAGCCTGTCCTATTGTTATTCCCGAAATCCGTTTCTTACATCAATTCAAGTGGCCAATTCAAGATTTTTTGTTTCGCAATATAAGAAGAAAATATCATTTGTGCTAGATATATTAATAGAGATTTATTGGTATTGTATAGAAATTTTTATAGAAATTTTTTTGTAATTAATGTAACAGAGAGATAGAGCCAATATCTCTCGTACCAAATATTATACAATCAAAATATAAAAATAGAAAATGTTAGATAGTAATAAAACGTATATATTTGTAACATGATATTTTCTTTTTCACGCTACGTATGAAAATATTGTAAAATTTACAAGCATTTTGTGTTTTTCTTTTTGCTTCGAATACTTTGTGCTTTTGCAAATGTTTTGCAGGATTTAATCGTACGCAAGATTTATAACAAGCGACATTTATTTATAATATAAATCTGGTATATTTTAATTTCACAATCACATTAAAATAATTATTTACATCGCATATGATACAACACGAAATAAATCTCTTTATGATTTCTTACGATTAACATCTTTGATGCGGTATTTAGTAATGTGAAGGCTGTTACGTCGCTATTAGTATGTTATGTGAAACAAGATAACTTATACAAGATATGTATGTAAATAGAAAAAATCAATGTAACAATTTACACGTATTGTGCTTTCTATGTATTGTATAGCACACACACAATGTTGAGATGATTTATTTCTTTATATTTTTCTTTATATTTGGCACACTAATTAAATTCTATGCATTCTGTTTGTTTAATCTTTTTTATTTTTTTGTAGCATTTTTTCCGTCAATCTTAAAAACAATTTTTGTGAAGAATTTAAATCTATCTCTTCTGTCTAACACGCACAGGATAATTTTTATAAAATGTAGCATGTGGAATTAATATCCGTTTGTTTGCACATGTAGAGTTTGGCAAGATATCTTTTCTAATTTGGTGAAAGATTAGTTAAATTAGGAGACTGTTTATCTTTTCTCATTCTTGTCTCTATATATTTCTTCCCTCTCTTTCTTCTCCTTCGTTTTGTTCGGTTTCTCTCTTTTCTCTTCTTTTTCGTTTTTCCTTTGTCAGTTTGCAATTATACACGACAATGCAACTATTATTCCATCGCTGCATGACTCGGTGTTGATTAATGAGAGATGCTGACAAGAGGACGACTCTAAGTCCTATTAGTGTTTGCTTTATTTCCAGATGCTGTTGCTTCTTCAAACGCAAGAAGAAGAAAAGTGGAAGGCAGAAATGACTGTCTGTTACTGTTGGTCTCGGTGGGACAATAGAGTGCGCGGGTAATAGTGTCGACGAGCAGCCTGAAGGAGTAGCTACCGGTGCACGCGACGAAGCCGCCGCGACGTTGAAAACGGGTAGACGCGGCGTGCGAACGGGACCGAGTGCAGCAGGTAGTACTGCTAGCACCACCGATCCTGAGAGAGAAGCCGTTACCCTGTTGCGTGTCGGCAGCCGCTCTGCATCTCGAGACTCGGTGCTGCACACCACTGTCACGATGACGCCAACGCCGACCCCGCCGCCATTGTCGAACTGAACCATCACCAACACCGCTACTATTACACGCAACTATCTTAGTATTGTGTCGCTATTATTATCATTAGTTTGACGGTTAAGCGACTCAATCAAGATTGTGAAAATGAAGCTGCTTTTCCTCTGGCCAATCGAACTTTTCGGCAAAGCGGACTCGCTGACGACGATTCTCCTCCTCGATCTACTGTATCTGGAATTTTGTGGTACTTTTGTTGTTACTACGTGGTATGATTAGAATTGGTTTAGCTAATGTCTGTGTTACGGTAAGAGAGTTTCGCATGACCGATTGGCCGATTGTCGCGGCGTTACTTAAACCTTAGATTTACGAAAAACTTGATACATTGATACCGAAAAAATCTTTATAGGAAGTTAACAAGTCCTTTTTATCACAACCCGCTCTTTTTATTTTTCCATACACGGTACGTAAAATAAATCTACGAAGTACATCTGTACAGGTGGAGAAAGAAATAGCTATATTAGTATTGTATGTTAAATACGAAGTTAAAGTTTTCCTAACGGGGGAAACACATTTAATCGCTGGTCTCCGATCAATGAAGTAATAAAGTTACAATTTTATCGGATTGAAATGTATTTTTATGTACTTTGCTCGTTATTATGAAATATTGCAATGTGAAACATTCATCAACAAATACACAGGATCGATTTGTCTTATATATCCGCGCCGAAGAACTGAATGAATTCAATTATTATTCTATAATAAAAATTCTTTTTGTCGCTAGAGTAAAGTTTTCACTTTAAAGTTAATATTCAATTTCAATTGAATATCTCATCACATTGTAGATGTGCATGGTATGCATTTTATAAATTTCGTTCAATTCAGCTATACTTTCTCTTTTTCCTGTCATGGCAAATAAAATGATGAATGACTTTCTGTGGCCTTGAGCTACTGATTGCAGTCAAGACGTTGGCGAATCCCACTTACCTACTTACTGAATAAATCCTCTCATTTAGCCAAGAAAGATGACCTCGTACTATTATTATTGCATACTATTGTCATAATTACGTTTTTTCTTGTTACTATTCGCTACTCGCTACTATTTCTATTTGCTGCTATTGTTGCTACTACTATTATTATAAAATAATTAGTCTCTATATTATTACCTTATTTCATCATTATTAATATTATTATTATTAAGTTGGTTCACGCTCGTGCTTATCATCATCATTGTCATCATCATCATCATCATCCATCATTGTTATTATTTTCATTTTTTATTATCTTTATTATTTCTTACATTCGCGTTTATTGATCACGATTTTATCGATATCGACGTCATTATATTGACATGTTGCTATTGACTGAGAACGGTCGTCGGCTGTGACGGTGGCCAGAAACAGTTCATTACCGGTGATAACAAACCGGATCGCATCCTCATTATAAAGAAATAAGAAGGAATTGAGAAAGAGAGAGAGAGAAAAGATGTTAAGAGAACTGTTTGTGCCTACAACTTTCTTGTACTACGCGGGTACTTTTTCATTCGTGTTGTGCAATGGACACGCATTGGCAAAATTCGTGCGATCGTATGTATACTACGAATTATAAATGAATTAAAGCTATTATAGATCTCATTGTATTATCACAGCTCTACACAAGATAAAATCGAGCATTGTATTCCCGAATTTGTTGCAATTGAGACTTCGATTGTTAATCCGGATTATAATCCTCTGAAAGACGTGAAACTGAAAACTTGAAGATGCGCGAAATTGAAAATCTCAATTTTTCTAACCGACTTTTGAGAGTAATATCGAAATAGATAAGTGCTCCGTATAGTTTCGCTCTTTATGTACAATTTAAATTCATTTCATTGGAATGTGTTATGAGTCACAAGAATATGATTGAAGTGTTACGAATTATAGAAATATACATGAAATACATAAAATGTATGTTGTATGTGAAGTGAAAATTGAGTTCCACAGTTTTTATTATCATATCTTTTAATTTTAGTTTTGTTTCTTACGCATTTTTTTTAAATCTGAAATACACAAATTCTGATTCTGAACAATGAATGTTTATACCGTACATGTTTTTTTGTAAAAGTATTTTGTTTGTACATATACATATGTGCGTATGCACAGACAGGTTCAAAAATCAGTGTCCCAAGCTGTGTAGATTCGTCTAGTGCTTATCGAAGTAAACAAGAACGTGTAGATAAACAAGCGTAGAAGTCAATGGTTTTCATGTTATAAAATATGTATTGATGCATCTATCTAAAGTGTTCTGTTTAGTAGCGATTATTGTCAATTAATCTTGTCTGCTGACAATGAAACTGACAGTCATGCAAAAAAAAGTCTGTTATAACAAACTAATATGTTTTTTTATTACTAGAAAACTCGCGTGCACTATCAGTTTTTTATTTATTTGAATGAATATTATTTTGTATACGTCTAAGAAGCGGAACATTGACAGAACACTGTGTGTGCGGACGCCCTGTGTTGTATATATGTATGTGTACATGCTATATATAGATACGCGTAATATAAATATTTTGGTATTTGTAAAAATATATATACATATATATGTATAATATGTGTATATATATAGATATTTATTTATAAGAGAAAATATATCAGTATTTTTTTGTAGTATTGTGAACAACTATGATCGAGATGATACTGATTTATGCATATAACATTCAATTTATATGTATATATAAATATACATATATATGTGTATCTATATGCAAGTTTTACATATGTATATATATATATATGTATATTGAATTCGCGTATATGTTTGAATGCGTTCAGATAATGCGTCAAAATAATTTCTTTGGGCGTAAAATATGTACTGCCTGTCATTTTTTCACATCGATGTATGCGATATAATTACACATACTCTGTAAACTATAACGGAAACGCAAATCGTGCAATGAATGAACATTCGTATATTTCTACGTGTTGCAATTTCCAAGGCAACTTCAAAACAAAATTTCGGTTTCACGCCTTCCAGAAACGAAATAATCATTAAAAATAATTTATTACGGACGCATACATACAATTGAAACAATTTTTACGTAATTTACAGTAGTATTTTACAGAACATATCGATAGAAGACTCTTCTGCCTCTAGAGATTCTCGAACGTAATATATAATAAATAATAATGAAAGTAATACGTAAAACAAAAAAATAACGCGAAAATAGTTGAAATTATAAGACACCGCAGTGATTCTACCACTGGTGTGTATCTCTCGGTTACCACATGAGGAAAAAAAAGAATGAAAAATGAATAAAGCAGAAAAAACGAGAAAAAAAAAAACAATTTATTTCCACACATTTGAATTATCTAGCGAGAAAAAGAAAATGTAAGACTTCTCAGAACAAGTTTTTAGTTTTTAACGACATTATACGTGTTTTCACAAGACGTTCATTAAGAGTGAAAACAGAGATAAGGGAGAGAAAGTCAAAGTCATATATCTGCGTCTCTGACTTTGGTCTTGAAGCGAGATAAAGAAGATATTGTGCGAATAAAATAATATAATCGCGCGCGTCTATCAAAAATTACGTGATTCGATTGTAGAAAATTGAAGATTCACACAGTGCGTAACTTAATTCTCTTCTACAAATGTATCACTTCTGACTATATAATGCGAAAGAAAGCAGAATATACTATCGCGAGATATATATATATATACATAAGGAATTTACGTGAAATGATAGATGCAAATTCTATTTCTGCTAATAGCTCACGAAGCACTTAAGCGGCTCAAGCAATTGAAAAACAAAAATGTATAAAAATTTGAAAAAAAAAGAAAAAAAAAACATTGGAAGACAAGGATCTCTTCAGCTATGTCGATTAACGAAACACAAGTAAGAATGTAATTTATAATTTCTGATCTTTAAAATCGCACAATAAAAAAACTACCGTCGGAAAAAATAGAAATTTGTTTTTGTAGAAATTGTAATATTTTCGAATATGATTTATGCAAAAAGTAACATATTAAGTATGTAATCTTGATTCCATATAAAGTGCAGAGAAAAAATTTATGTCTGTTCCTTTTTTTTTTTTTTATTTTTTCTTTTTTTACACATCTCTAAACCTGGCTTTTTTAGCGAATTCAATATCTCTTCATTTTTTGCAAGCGCGCGCGATTTCCCCGAAATTCGATACTTCGAGTTTTCTCTTCAATTCGTTTCGGGAAAAAAAAAAAAAAAAAATACTGTATTATTTGTGTGTGCCCGGAAGATGCAGTCAAACACAAGTTTTATTTCTTTTTGCAGGAACGTGATAAGTGGCAAATTGAATGAGAACTCGCGCGGAGAGACCGCGAGTATAATAACAACTGTGTTATATCCAAAGGTCCACACTTACGCTAGTCTGGCCGAGAACTTCATACCGCTGTCGAGATGTGTGTGTGTGTGTGTGTATGTGTGTGTGGTGCGTGGTGTATATGTGCGTGCGCGCGAATGTATTGTATTAGCATAATATTCTACTTGTACGTACGTTGTTGTATCCACGTTGAATATCTAAATATCTCTGGCACGCGCGTCCGACAACAGAAATCTATGTACTTATAGGATTGTTGCTCTCGTACTCGAGCGTGTTACACATATGTATATTCGACCATACGTGCTTTCGAACGATTAAAAAACTGAAAAAAAAAAAAAAAATGAAAAAAACAAAAAAACGAAAGACGGAAAAGAAGAAGAGAAAACCACTCCGCCGCCGCCGGATGTCTTGAAAAGATATACGCTTACAAATAGATCACAATCTAGATCGTACTCTGTGCATTTCCCCGCCCTTCCTTCCCTACACACACACACATAGTAATCCATTGTCGACGAGGATATTGTTCCTTTTTTGTAAAACCTGAAGCGATCGTCGAAATAATCACGGACACGGGTTGTTCCATGTTTATATCAGCGGATGCAAGGAGTGAGTGATCCGACGAACATTGGGGGAGGGAGGGGGGTGACACCTGCGTGTGCGTGCGGTAATTGATGTGCGTGAAAAAAACAAAAAAAACAAAAGAACGACTTGTCACCTTAGGCCCGTTTCTTTGTGACAAAGGTGATACACACAGTAAGGAGAGAGTTCCGTGAAAGTTGTATTAATGTTAACACGTGTATTTTCCGTTGTGTATATCGTATTGTACATAAAAAAAAAAAAAAAAAAAAATGCTAAATCGTGATCATTCACACGCATACGCCAGTATTTATTTGCGTATGTCTCTACGAATCGTCCTTGCTAACATCTAGAATTTGTTCGCGCGATCTTAATAGAGCGAACGGAGGATTGATGTAATATCTGCGATTGTGTATAAGAAAACGAAGACGGTGGTGCGTGCGTGCGGAAATTTTGTGTAAACGCGCGCGAACAGAAACAAAACTTCCGATATTTGTATTAAAATACTGTCCGCAATTTTGTGCGTGCGTGCGTGCGTTTGCGTGTGTGCGCGCGCGCGCGCGTGTGTATGCGACGTTATTAAGATATTATTATTCCGCTAAAAAAAACCACGTGTACGAGACGTTTAGCTCGTAGGTTTCTAGCCGATTTTTCAAAAGTGCGTGCATGCGCGCGCGCGCACGCAAAATCACGGAGTTTTAATATTATAAAAATACGACTGACTGCTGGTTGTATGGTTGTGAGCAAACTTTTTCTCTTCATACATCATAGATGAGAGAATACACACACATCCTTCTCCTTAAAAAAAAAAAAAAACTACATACATTGCACACGGAAAGAGGAGTAATCGTTGCATACGCGTTTATGACGGAATTAAGAGACTTGTGATCTAATTATAAATATATATTATACATATATACATATATATATATATATATATATATAATCACAATTTCTTTACTCAACAGATATTTCTTTTGTCTCCCGTTTTTTTTTTTTGTATATTTTTGCGAATTGGTGTGTGAATAGATCGGAATTATAATCGATGTATTCTCGTGTCTTTCATTCCTCGGTTCATCGATCAACGATGAAGAATAATATTGACACTATGGTTGTGCGTATTTATATTATGGGAATGAGGCTGCGCGATTAATATCTTGTTACGAGGTGAGACAGACTTTTGACAGAGAAATTAGATAACGTGCATTTTCCCTCGTGTGTTGTATAATCGTTCATTGATGACATGTCAATCTCTCTGATGCTGTTAAACTAAGCTGAAATAACTATAATAAATGAAATTTAAGATTATATTTAATCGACATTTTATGGCTTTTCGTATAGAAAGCAAATTGCGCGCATTGCGGCGAAACAACTTTTATTTACTGTTTATTTATTGTTTCAACAAATGAAGTGTTGCGGGGAAAATAAAATCGCTAGTAATATGAGATCGCAGATTAATAATCAATCGCCATTTTGATGGAATTGGCAGCTTACTTGCGTTTAATATGCGTGAATGTGTGTGCGTCTGTGTGTGTGCGTGTGTGTACGTGTGCATGTACATTCAATATTATAATTATGTCATAAATCTTATATATGTATATATATGTATGTATGTACATATATATAAAATATGAAACGCGGATAACAAGATACTAAATAGTAGACAACAATTGTGTGTGGGTTTATGGTGCAAACCGGTGCATATTATTTTTTCAGTGTGCATGCAAAAAAGAACACACGAGGAGAAATATGTGAGGAGTTAAAATATACATATATATATAAGAAAAAAATAGACAAAAAAACGTGTTATTAATATGTGCACAGCATATTTCCTTCAATTATCTACATTCTATGTGTAAAACTTTTATCACAATATTGCATTGTTATATAGTATAAAAAAAAATTGTGAAATTACTTTTATTATAATCATTTTTTTATCATGTATAGTGGGAATAAAATCACTGAGAAGCTAAAATGTTCTTTTTACGAGAAAGATAATTGAGTAAAAACAAAGGTTGTATAAGAGTTTACATAGAAATATATATCACATATATATATATATATATACACACATATATGTACATATATATGTATAAATAACTTGTTTATTTTCTTCCAATTAATTTTTAAAGTCGATTCATATTTTTTTTAATGAATGAATAAAAACCAACAAAAGGTTTTTTAATAAAAAAAACTTCGATATACTCCTTCCAAATAAGCTTGTTTTTTGTCGAGTTCAAATTTGTTCAAAATTAAATCTATGTACATAGTGTAATTAATTCATTGTTATTAGCAATGTGAAAGTTTTTGTTTTTATATTTGCTTCGTAAACTAGCCGATCTCTTTTTTATTTTCTCTAATATCAACTAAAGGAGAAATAAGTAATCTATACGACGCGTAATTATATAGTTACAAAAAATATATACGTATTATAATAAATCCCCATCGCGTACTATATAAAGCCTACGATATCTTTACCACATTATACAGGGGTTTATTATATATACATAATCATCGGATTATTGTTTATTTTATATTATGAGAAAATAAATATATATACATACAATATTCTTTTTTTAAAGTAAAATTTTATTAGATATATAACTTTGATCATCTTAACTCTTTGAATTGTATCATTTTTCTAAACAATTTTTTTAACTTAAAATTGTTTTATATATTTCAATGGAAAATAGAACAAAAATAAAAAATCATTGAAAGATGTGTGTCAAAATGTACAAATTTCATATAAATATATCTCACAATTGATTTTACTGAGTAAGAAGAGAGAAAATCTCACTTTAAAAAATAAATTGCGTATTCTCTTTTTGAAATTATTTTGTTTTCTCTCACCTTTTTATTTCTTTCTGCTTTTATTATCTTACTCCCACATCTTTATTTTGTGTCATTTTTACTACTGATTCAATACTTATTAAGTCTTTATGTTTCTCTAACATTTCTGAGAGTATGTGCTCCTTTGCTATCATGTAACCTGATGCTGATATAAAATTTCGAATTAATTTCTTCATTACATTTATCTTCCATATAGTTTTTTCCATTTTACGTTTATTCCTGGAAATAAGTATTTGATCAATATTAGAATCAATAAGAGACAGAAAATAAATGTTGACACATTTGTGTGAGTTTACTCACTTCACAATCTCAGGATGTGTTTCCTGCAATATTTCACTTTGTAACTGTTCCTGGTTGCTTAGAAAAGTTTTGTAATCAAACAGCGCTTTCTGACATTCCAGTTTTAGATTCAACTGTATCAAAGATGCCTCTTTAATGGACTCGTGAGTGGCCATAATAGTGTCATTAAGAGTAAACAACTTATTCATATGAGCATCAAGTTTTCTAGAAAAAAAAAACAAAAAAAAACAAAGACAACTTTTATATTATGTTTAAAGTATTTCAGAAGAAAAGATTACTTCTTGTTATAAGACATATATAACAAAGATCTAAAATGTCAGCTAAACAGAACATCAGAACAAACTTGTTCCTCACTTTTGATCCTCGATACTGCCTTCTTTATTGTTTAAAATCGAAGCTATAGTGGCGCTGTGAAGGCACAATTTAACAGCCTTAGCATTCACAAGTGTATCACTTATGACATTTTGCAATACACCTCCGGCTTCGCTCGTGGTCCGCTTCCATCTGCCATCGATACACTCTATAATTAATATTAAACTCTCAAAAGAATGAACAACAAATTCGTGCGGCATTACAACCTGTAAAGTGACGTACGTTGACACTTCGCTCTGTACATTAAGAATTTAGCGTTCAAACGCATCAACGATTCCCTGGTTGCTCGTATCTTCTCCTCGATGGGGGTGAAATCGTCCAGCGAAATTGCACCGATCGGAAATTCGTTTAGCGTCACATTTAGACTCTTCACAGATTCTTGCAACTCGTCCCACTCCGATCCCATTGTTGTTGTTAATTAACGAATTCTATACAAAAACAAAAAACTTCTATTTACATTCGGCGCGTAAACATTCGCGATCGTTAGGGTGCATCCCAATGGAGAGAGAAGTAACGTATAACGGAAAACGACGAAAAGCAAAATTCCGCTTGACTCAAATCACTAGCTTGAGCGAACGGGAAACCGACTCCGTTGAGTAAAATTCTCTTCTCGTGCTGCCACCCCACCATCGGGTACACTTCTCTTCTCCTTTTACTTTCTCTTAAGGTTATGTTACTGTCAGTTGGTGACCCGTCTACAGTGGAGTACATACACCCGGGACAACATAACCTCGAAAAGCGGATAGATAACCCGCTATCTACGGATGAACTGTCAATTCCGGTGTGCAGAGGGGCGTGTTTTGCGACCGTCAGTATAGGCCGGGGAAATTCGTGTAGACTGACCAGAGTCCGCGAATTTCCGCGAGTGATACACGGTGCCCACACGATCGCCCGATACGCCCGGAATCAAGTCAAGTCGACATCGGCGACCGCGCCCGTCGAGCGCAACCAACACTGTCCGCTGATTCACTGAGCCGCTGGCCCCCCACGGCATATTCTCTCGTCGTTTCGCTTGTGTTATATAGTTTTTGCGCGCGACCGTCCTGAGGCGTTACCTTCCGCAAGCAGCGAGCACGAAATGACGGAGGCCCATAACTTCGGTGTCGAAGCCATCAGTTGTCACGCGTGGAACAGAGATAGAACAGGTGTGAAAAAAAAGTCGCTCCCCCTCGTCTCTTTTTACGCGTTATCGAATTGTTCAGTTGCGCTAAATTGATTTATTTTCGCAGAGGTTGCCATTTGTCCCAATAACAATGAGATACAGGTGCACAAGCGCACTTCGTCCGGCTGGAAGCTGCTGGAAACCCTGGAGGAACATCACATGACCGTTATGGGAATTGACTGGGCGCCAAAGACCAATCGCATAGTCACCTGTTCCGCGGACAAGAACGCGTACGTGTGGACTCAGAAGGAAGATGGCAAGTGGGATCCCGCGTGGGTTCTACTGCGAATAAATCGGGCTGCTACATGCGTAAAGTGGTCTCCTCTAGGTATTTGAAGATTTAAGAAATTTTGTAATATACTTTCTGTTTTTTTTTTTTTTTTTTTTTTTTTTGTATTTACAACGATCATCTTTGCAGAAAACAAATTTGCTGTGGGCTCCGGTGGACGAGTTATAGCTATTTGTTACTTTGCGTCAGAGAATAATTGGTGGTTATGTAAACACATAAAGCGTCCATTGAGGTCCACAGTGACCACTGTGGATTGGCATCCGGATAACAAGGTCCTGGCTGCGGGATCTACGGACTACAAGGTCCGTGTTTTCAGTGCATTTATCAGTGATATGGAGGAAGGTCCTGGGAACAGTCCTTGGGGACAGAGTAGTTCCTTAGGAACATTGGCTGAGTTTCCTAATACACCCAATGGAGGTGAGACCTTTCTATTTTTTGTTGTAATTTTCTAAAAAAAATACAAATAGAAGCGTCGTTTCTTATGGATAAATCACTTTTAAATCACTTTTTTCTACGTGTATAGGTGGCTGGATACATTCGGTAGCGTTCAGTCCGTGTGGCAATAAAATCTGTTGGGTGGCGCACAATTCGTCTATATGTGTCGCTGATGCTACTAAAGGAAACGCAGTCGTGAGATTGTATACAGAGCATTTACCGTTTTTAAGTTGCGTTTGGATAGGATCTAATAACATTGTTGCTGCGGTAAACAACCACGAGTCTTTAAGATCCTCCGTGATAGAGGATTGTTTCCCGTACTGATCGGTGATAATTTTTCCGTCCATATTATAGGGGCATAGCTGTATGCCGATGTTATATTCCGTTGACGATAACGGACAAATATATTTTGTGTCCAAGCTGGACAACACGCAGAAAAAGGAGATTGCTGGATTGTCCGCAATGCGAAAGTTTCAGTCGCTGGACCGGCAAGCGAGGAACGAGACGAACGATAACGCATTGGACAGTGTGCATCAAAATACGATCAACTGCGTACGTCGGGTATCCGATCATGAATTTAGCACAAGCAGTTTAGATGGACAACTTGTAGTTTGGGACTTAAAGGTAAGATTCGCGCGCACACGCGCGCGAAGTTCTATTTGTGATGTCAACTTGACAAAAGTTTGTAAATTCTAATCGATCTCGTTCTTTTTTTTTTTTCTTTTCCCTCATCAAGCTTTTAGAGAATTCCATTGCTGGTCTCAAGATAGCGTAAGCATGAAACTTTTTTTATATTGCGAAGATCAGAGATATTACATCCAATACAACGATGTATAAATGTTAAAATAAAAATGCTATACAAATTTCTTATTGATCAGTCGCCTTGTTGAGTTCTCTCGCGCGTCACGACGCGCGATTGCCCTCGCGAAGGAAAGTCTTTCTTTCTTTTTTTTTTTTTTTTTTGCCGTTCCACGTGGGAAAAATTTTATATCCGATAGTGCATTCTCTCGCAAGAAGGAAACATTAACCACTGACGTCACTCACGAACGTCATCAACGGATACAAGATGTCGTCGAAGTCCGGACCACTGAACAGCGCGCGCCTGCCTATCTGTGTGTGTGTGAACCCGTAAAATTCTTTTAAACTAAAATTTGAGTAAACGCAATTATAACATGGTAAGATACAGAATTTCTTTTATCGTTTAGCAGAATATACTTCGCGTCACGAGTACAATAATAAATTAATATTGAAAAATACATTCACATTCCCTATATATACGTAAAGTAGAAAACTTTTATGCATATGCGGTGCAGTGGGACTACTTTACCGACACTGATTTTCTCGATGATGCACAGAAAGTAGAAAAAAAAAAAAAACTCGTGACATTTCACATTGTTAATACAATTTTTAATACTTTTGAATTTTCCGTATTCATTAAAAGAAGAAGAAGTATTTATTTATTAACTTTATGTAAAAATGTTACTTCAATCTTTATTTTCATGTAAAAATATATGTCAGTGTTACATCGCCATTAAAACATTTTTATTTCATTTCTCGATTTTTTATTTCTTTTTGTGTGTGTGTGTGTGTGATCTCTCACTCGTCCTTCCGATTTTCAGAACGTCAGGTATACAAAAAAAAATAAATAAATAAATAAAAAATGCGGCTCGAAAACACGCGACCTGACACGCGTTTCTGTCGAACGGTTCATCCGTCGACAGGCGCGAGTCTGCCTGGAGAAAGGCTCTCCAGAGAGTGCAAAAGCAGGGGTGGGGGTGGGACAAGCAGCCGGACAAGTTCACCAGCGGAGAATATCGATTCAGTCTCGCGCAAACCACCCCCATGTGTCGCTGTGGCCGTTGCGGCAGCGCGCTCGAGCTACTCCGCTTTTGCCATGCCTGCCGCCGACAAGTAAACACAGTCACACGACGAAGCGATTAACGCAAAGACACCCAAAGGGGGATTCCCGTCGTCGTCGTTGCCAAGAACCAGAACGCAAACGGACGGAGCCGCCGATCCTACGTCGAAGCGTGCGACGAAATATTCCGCGGAGACGCGGCGGATTATTATCGCCGAGCCGATCCGCGATTATTGATTCCCGGGTGACGTTTCTTTTTTCCTCTGTATTTCCACCGATCGGGTTGCACGCGACGCATCGGAAATCCATCAAGCTTTCTTGTGAATCGCGCGCGCGCTCGTGCCGCCGTCAACCCCCTACGAGAAATAGTAGGTCGCGTGTGCGGGAAGCGACGACCGAGTATCGCCGTCGCCGCTGCCGCCGGCGCACGCGGTGTCGTTACTCGACGGAGGGCTTGTTGGCGTCCGAACGTCACGGTTGTCGGGGCCGACGTCGGCCGTCGAATATGACACGGACCCGTGATCGTTCCGTGCAGATCGTTCCGTGCTACTCTTGACTACGAATCACAGCCGCGGTGTGACGACCACGTTGACGACCACGACGACGACCACGACGACGACAACAACGACGACGACGACGACGACGACGACGACGACGACCGCAAGAACGGGGACGAGATCGAAAGAGCCGAAAACACCCCATCGAGGTATCATGTCTTCGATATCGGCGCAGGGCGTCGTCGAGCGTGCCAGCGCCGAACTGACCAAGCGAATTAATGGCCTGGGATTACGGACGTCGAAGCATCATGGTCGGTGGTGAAACATTTTCTTCGTTTTTTTTTTTTTTCTTTCTTATTTCTCGCCGTCACATTCCTCATTACCGCGCTCGCCTCCTCGCATCAACCCTCTCTCTCTCTCTCTCTCTCGTTCTCTCTCTTTCTCTCTCTCTCTCTCTCTGCTTTTTTACTCCGTTAGTTCCCGCACCACTTTCCGTCATCCCCTGCTCGCGGTAGCGTGCGTAACGCGACGCGTCGCACGCTCCGCGTTAAATTCGCGTTGGCTTCGATTTTTTTTCTCACGGCGCTATCGGGGACAGATACGACAAAGGGAGATCGGATCGGTGTCAAGTTTATCTTCCGCTCGAACGGCAACGGAAAATAAAAGCGAACGAGAAAGAAAGAGAGAGAGAGAGAGAAGGGTTGTCTACCACGCCGCAACCCCGCGATTTTTTTCTCGCTCGCAAGCTCCGAGCCCCCCTCGGGACTTCGATCTTCGTTGTTACGTAATCACGATAAAGGATTGATTTCCTCGTGAGAGCTTTGTCTCCTCTATTTACCTGTCGCCCTCTCTTCCCTCCTCTCTTTCTCATCGCCCCCTATATCCCTTTGTTTGATCTGTCCCTGATATCGGACGTGTTCCTCCGCGTCGGAGCGGAGGCACTCCGCTCGCGCGTCCTTTCCTGCGCGCGCGATAATACACTTTTTCCTCGTCGTTTTATTTAAAACGAACATAATTTTTTTTTTTTTTTTTTTTTCGTGATTTTTGTTGTCGCAATTTTAACTGCAATGGAATCGATAGCACGCGTCCCCCGTGCACACGCGAAAAGAGTGGCAACGCGCCGGCTCGAATATAACACAAGCCAATGTACCTGCTTTTACCCCCTTTTTCCGTACCTGCTCGGCCAGGTAGTGTCTAATATCGTCAGTAGTCGCAACTGCGCGATCGGTAGAAACGTATCGCACAGTTACGACTACTTCTAGAGAAAAAGGTAACCCTCCCTCCTCCCCGTTCTCCATTCATGCTCTTCTATGAGTAAACAAAAGCCGATAAAAATGTGCGGGGGTACTCATGGGTTCCTTTTTTTTTTTTTTTTTGAGGACCGCTCGAAACCGGTCGTACGGATTCGATTTGGTCTCTTCCTTTGTAACGTCCAGAGATGCCGATCGGATCGCCATTTTCGGTTATTCACGAAGAGACACTCGGCTGGTGTCCGAGAGACCGCGTTTCAATGCGCAAATAGGAAATCTCCATGCTTGGATAGACGCCAATCGCAGTCGCCAAGCGGGGATCCGCGGAATTGCAATTAGCCTAAATAGGAGAGACAAAGTTGATTCTAGACGAAATATTCTCTCTCTCTCTCTCTCTCTTCGTACGAAACGTCTTTGCTGTCGCTAAGATATCTTGCAAAAATCACTCATACACACACGAAACGAGCGATTATAGGATCCTCGCTGTTTCCGAAAGACGTGCGGCGTTACATAAGTTTCGCGCGTGATGTCGCGCGAATGTAAAAAAAAAAAAAAAAATGCACTCGAAAATCTCACACGCGGTTTAACGCACACGCGTGACTCGCAACGAGAGATTCTATCGCGGTTACTAAGAATAAAAAGTAATTTATGCTTAGATAAATGGCAAACGGGAAATAGCGGTGCACCGCGCGAGCCAAATAGGACATTTTGCTCGGAAATAAAACGAGAATGCCCCCGAGAGAAGTTTTAGAATTAATCTATCACTCCCCCGGAGATTTCCCTAATGCGGCGAAGAATTATGTAAAATGAATTTTTTGAAAAGAATTTTCCAGAGAAAAATTATCCTTCTTACAACTTCTCTCTCTCTCTCTTTCTCTCTCCCTCTCTCTCTCTCTCTCCAATTGTGTATTGAAATTGGCCTTGAATATATATTTTAGGGGGCGGAAAGACCAGCGTCATGGAACGCGTGACGAATGTCTTCTGCGGCGGCAGTGGTAGCGTCGCTTACATGAATTTGCAGAGCGCAAACAACGCGAACACGACACCCGAGAAACCAAGCCGTAGCGCCGCGCAAACCATCAACAATGCGACCGCGGGCAACAATAAGGAACGTATGAACAATGTCACCCCGAGCAGAGGCAGGATACCCAGAAACAGAATGAAAATGGCCGTGCCCCTGGCCAGCGGGGGTACGGGCGGTTACGTGCCGCCGGCCACATGGGAACAACTGATGCAGGACGACAATTTTCTCGGACGATTTTTTCTTTACTTCAACGCGACGGAAAGAAGAATCCTGGCACAGGTAGTAGAGAAAATCAATCGGGATTAAATTATTTGCAATTGTTCATACATCAAAACTTCGTTTTTGTTGTAAATCTCTCGTCGCAGCTTTCCGCAGCTTTCTGTGTGTGTTTGCGCGCGCGTGCACTTTAACCGCATCCGTGTGTTTATCGTTGCACGCAGGTTTGCACGAGATGGAGAGACATTCTGTACGCCAGACCGCGTCTTTGGACGGGATTGGTTCCGGTGGTGCGATGTCGCGAGGCTCGCGCCATGCAACCGAGCTCGCGCACCCGGCTCTACGCCTCTCTGGTGAGAAGAGGCTTCGACTCATTGGTTCTCCTGGGCGCTACCGACGAAGATATTCCGGAACTAACTCGCGGTTTTCCGCTGGCACAGCGATATGTGCATTCTTTGTCACTGCGGTGTTGCGCGGTAACGGACCGAGGCCTTGAGGCTCTTTTGGATCATTTGCAGGTGAATTCGTTATGCTTTGTATATGCTATACGCTGCTGTTTTCAAGATCTCGAAATAAACTCGAGATGTTTATTTCTACATTTTATTTTTTTTTGTTTTATTTTTAAATACAACAATTTTTGAGAAATGAGAAACAATCGCATTTTTTCTGGAGATAAAACGAAACAGAAATATATGAAAGATTGATATAAAAAAAAAAAGTACACAGATATAAATATTATCTTTCTATCGATCGGCTTTTATGTATTCGAGAGTGGCTGTTTTGCACAGACGGAAGTCGCTGAATATAATTTACGGCTGAAACTCGATATAGCTAGAAAGAGAGCGCGCGAGATAGAGAGAGCTTGTTAACGGGATTCTCTCCCGGTCTTCGTCGCGTCGAGAGAGCGGCACTATGCGAAATCAACTTAACAATTTGCCATTATTTTTAGGCTTTGTACGAGCTTGAATTGGCCGGCTGCAATGAGATAACGGAAGCCGGCCTGTGGGCATGTCTCACCCCCAGAATAGTGTCGTTGTCCCTGTCAGATTGCATAAACGTCGCCGACGAGGCTGTAGGCGCCGTGGCGCAGCTATTGCCGAGCCTCTATGAATTTTCCCTGCAAGCTTATCACGTTACCGACGCCGCGCTCGGTTACTTCAGCGCGAAGCAAAGCAGCGCGCTCAGCATCTTGAAATTGCAATCTTGCTGGGAGCTCACGAACACCGGTGTAGTAAATATTGGTAAGAATCGCCTTTTTTTTTCGCGCCCGTATTGTTTTTTTTTTTTTATACAATCGCAATAACGAAGATGTAATTCATGTAAATTTAAATCTCTTCACTATCTAATTGTGAATTCGATACAGCGTACGTTACGTAACATGTTGCGCGAGATATCGGGAGAGAGATTCAATATAAAAAAAACAAAATCTACTTTTTATCACAAATGGGTTTTAATTTTCGAAACAAAGAAGAAGTTTCTTGGTTTCTTTCTATTTTTGATCTCCCCAGATGAGATTTGATTCTCTGGTGAAAATCGAAACGATAATTTATTTAGACAGATTGTGATTACACACGAACGCGCTCAAATCGCGGAATTGGAAGAGCGTGGAGCGTTTGCCAATTTTTGCAAGTTTCGATCGAGATCTCGTGAGTGACAAAGGTGACGAAGATGTAACGGTGATAGGCCGAAATTAAGCCATACGTGCTTGAGATTAAATTTAGAATTAAGGAACACAGCTTTATTTAGCTTTCACGCTGTCTCTCACAACGGTAGTTCAGATTCATATGTTATGAGCAGGAACGCGTTTGCATAAGAAAGATAAGCAAACGCGTTTTGCGGACAACGACCCGATATTGTTATTTTTTTTTTTTTTTTTGCACAACAGATGTGAGATATAGATAAAAGATTAAGTTTTTACATTTCGTTTTTCTTCTTGTTTTTTGTTTTGTTAGTGTATCAGTTTTTCTTTTTCATATTTAGATATAAATATTTAGAAAAAACTGTTAATATGTATCTGTGATGTTTTGTTTTAGTACATTCCTTGCCCAATTTGACCGTGCTATCGCTTTCTGGATGCAGCAAAGTAACGGATGACGGTGTTGAATTAATCGCAGAAAACTTGCCAAGACTTCGTTCCTTAGATCTGAGCTGGTGCTCAAGAATTACAGATGCAGCCTTAGAATGTATTGCCTGTGATTTGAATAACTTAGAAGAACTCACGCTAGACCGGTAAGAAGAAGTTGCGCGCACATTTTCGAAGGAGACACATTTCGAAAAAGTAGATTTGCAGATTTGTTATCCGCAAAAAATTTTTCGCATAGTCGAAACGAAGAGGATCACCAACATCTTTTCATTAGTAAATCATCTGATTGTTGAAAGGCGCGTCCCTTAAGTGTTTTAGTTATCTATAACATAAATATAGTATCTAGAGATATTCCCTCCGAGCTCGCGTTACGTAACGACTGACTCATATGTGTCATAAAGTGTCAGAAGGTCGTTCTCGTGCCGCTAGAGCCATAATTTAGTCACGAAGACTGTTCGCAAAACGACAAACAGTCTTCTGGCAATAAATTTGCGCAAGGCTTGCCCTACTATTTTTATATTTATGATACATTCGCGGCCTGATTTATGATGTCACATACTTCTCTCCATCGTTTAATCCTCGTCTCCTTTCAGATGTGTACACATCACCGATATTGGTGTAGGTTACATCTCCACGATGGTCTCGCTGAGCGCTTTGTTCTTGAGATGGTGTTCGCAACTTAGGGATTTCGGACTTCAACATTTGTGCGTCATGAGATCTTTGCAGGTGTTGTCTGTGGCAGGTAAATCGTGCACACATCACCATCTGAATCTGTTGTTTTTTCTTTTACGCGAGAACAAATAACTAGATTGCAATATTGTAATTTTTATTTTTTTTCTTTTTTAATTTTTTTTAAATAAAATAACATGTAATTTTCCGCAGGTTGCCCGTTGCTCACAAGTAGTGGTTTATCCAGTCTGATACAGCTTCGGCATTTACACGAGCTAGAATTAACCAATTGTCCGGGAACGTCGCGAGAACTGTTTGACTATTTACGTGAACATCTGCCGCGTTGCCTAATCATCGAGTAAAACAAAAACGATGTTCCATGAAGACACAATAAAGCGCGAATATATAGAATTTCTTTATACTCAAAAAGAAAAATTAAATTAAAAAAAAAAAAAAGATGTAAGTATATGTGTCAAACAGAAAGTATTAAAATCGCGCCCGCGAGAAGTAGAAACCTCGCAGAAAGCAATATTTCAAGCGAGAGACAAAGGTGGTGTAAAGGAGAGATACAATATATATATACTATATATATATATATATATATATTACGCGTATATTACAGATATAAGAAAGCAACTGACGTCCAAAACAAGTTAATGAAAGAACGCAATGTTTTCCTTGTAATGTGTGGTCTAAAAGAAAAAGTCACTAGCCCTGTGGAAAGAAACAAAAAAAAAAAACAAAAAAAACAAAAAAAAAACAAATATATAAACGCGTAGACATTTTTAATACACTAAACGTCCCATGATGCACTTCCGTTCGTATTTTTTCATTCTAACCACGCGAACACATCACGAGGCATGTACAAACGGCGATCGCGCGTGTGTCTACACACCGCTGGTTGGTGGGAAGCAGAAAGGAGATCTCCACACACTCCCAAGAAAAAGGAAACGCAATTGTGTAACACGCTCTTGTACAGAAATGAGAATTCACAAATATTGTACATTAGAACAGATTGATAAAAAAAAAAACGCGTATCGGAAATTGAGGAGAGAGATCAAAGCGCGGTCTTCTTTTTGCCTCCTAAATGTAGAAAGTCCGAATGTAAAACAAACAAAAAAAAAAAAAAAAAAGACGTGTGTGGCAAGAGAGACTCAACAGTTAGAACTGTGATAAATGTACATTAGAACAGATTGATAAAAAAAAAAACGCGTATCGGAAATTGAGGAGAGAGATCAAAGCGCGGTCTTCTTTTTGCCTCCTAAATGTAGAAAGTCCGAATGTAAAACAAACAAAAAAAAAAAAAAAAAAAGACGTGTGTGGCAAGAGAGACTCAACAGTTAGAACTGTGATAAATTTATATTGTACGTAATTCTTTAATTGGTTCGCGCATATACGTCTACAAACGTATCATCATCACGAGTGAGGCAATCGAACAATGAATTTGGAAGAGCGTATCGATTGTGCTTAATTGTTGCTACGACTTGTTGCTCCGCCAAATATTCCCATTGATGAGTAGTGTATCGCACGAAACGCTCGCGGAAACACACTCCGCGTGCGTGTGTTTTCCGTTGCGCGACGATGATGAAAGAGAGCTTTCTCGACAAGCTGTAATCGCAAGTAACGGAACTATGCGCGCGTCAATGAGCGGAACCGACAATAGAACAGTAATTAAGCATCATTGGTACGCATTTCTCGATACACACGCTATCACATACACATACACACACACGCACACACATTCCAAAGTCACACTACCCAACGAGATTCTATTCATGTGTAAGCACATGCGAGCTGGAACGTGTGTCGGGTGTAAATCAGAAATCAAATCCTTTCCTCGTCAGGCGAACTATCATTTGCTTTATTAAATCATTCAGATCCGACAACTTCTGCTCGCCTACGTGTGTCTAACGGCCGTTGCGCCTACACATGAATAAGCTAACAACGCCATTCGCGTTACTCCCGTTTGGCCAATGCGTGTTGTAAAACGTGTTTGAGAAAAAAGAAAACTCAAGAAGCTCACTATTCCTGCACCCACAATGGTAATGCGACAACGTCGTTTCATCTTGTATGTTATATTTATACATACATATATCTCTGTGCAATCAATGTGCGATTTTCCTAAATTTTAAGAAACTTTTACTAGCTGTATTCTTTGTGTGGTTATTCACTTATCTCCGATTAAGTACGTACGTATGCGTATTAATGTATGTAGTCATAATTAGAACGAAGTATTTTGTGTGTGTGTGTGTCTCTCTCTCTCTCTCTCGTTTTTAATAATTTGTTACGCCGGTATATACGCGATATATGTCCGACATATTATAATATACACACACCTTTTATTGCCATGTTATGTATCTCGAATAAATATAGATTTCAACGTGCTGTATAATTTATACCTCAACGAACGCGTTGTATTGCAAATCGATTCGGTCGGACGTTTGAGTTGCGCAATAGGCAAGGGTAAACAGCATAAATGCGCGGAACAATGTGTGAAAAAACTCGCCTTACATTTCATTTGATTTGTTTTTCAAAAAAGGTGCGGTGCAATATATATGTATGTTATTTGTTTTTGATTGTTTTCAGTCGCACAGACCGGAACTTCAAAGAGATGTGGTGCAATATATATATATATATATATATGTCACTTGTTTTTTGTTTTTATCAACAACATCGCGTCTCATATGTGATACACCGACTATTATTATTATTATTATTATTGCAACAGCGTCTCTGTGAGAATATTCCTATTATTGAATTAAGTTAAACGTAATTTTTCTCAAAGCAATCCGATAATCTCGCGTAACACAGATATTTTTGCGTGTTGTCACGTGCGTGTTTAGCACACAGAATACATTTGTATATATTGTAAAAATTATATACCTAATAATTCTGTTATCAATCAAAATTGAACGTAAATATATATACATATATATATGTATACATATATGTATATATATGTGTGTATATATATATATATATGTATATAAATATATATATATACTTGCACGCGGGCGAAGTTGTACTGGGTAATCGAGTCATAATTGTGAAATACCGCTCACATTTAATGCAACATTTAATGACAACACACCACAATACGATGAAATGCGCTGTGAAATAAAAGTTTATTGACCAGAACTTGTTTTGTGCATTTATTTACTTAAAAATCTTATATACCTAACAATAACACATTGAGTCTGTAATAACAAGTTACGCATTTTTCCACCAGGTAAGTAAACCTAGACCAGACTCGTCAATTGAACCCTATAAGAAAAAACATCACAGCTGAACTGTAGAAAGAGCTGTAGCTTGTGTTAATTCGCCATGTGTAATTAAAAAATTATTATACGTATGAAACGCACAATGATTAAATATATTAAAATTAATGTACACTCACGTGCAAAACATACGGTGCAACATTGCTAGTCTCTTGTTTCTCTCCCATGTCCTGAGGTGCGTTGTGCGCTGACGGTAAAGGTGTTTCCGTGAAGATCTCCTTCACAACTCTGAATCTTATAATTTCTCCTGAAATTGATTAAATGTCCCAATTTTATAAACTGATTGTGCAAACACTCCGATGTATCATCCCGATTTCATCAAGAAACTTTATTTCAAATATATTACCCGCGTCCATAAATAGGTCGTGCGTTTCTCCGTCTTCAGTCTTGTATATCCACACCCATGCTTGCTCCATCTGATCGAATCGCGACGGATGTTGCAATTTGTGAGGCGGTATGACTATATCTTCGAAAAAACCTAAAGTAACTAGAATACAAAAGTAGACATGTTAAAAAGTAAACGTGGTTCTTGAATTAAAATGTGTAAGAAACACAAAAAAATCGATGGATTACCGTGTACACCTTCGGGGCTACAGCAACGAATCTTTCCTATCAATATTTCTTCCATCCACGGACGAAACACAATAAATCGAAATGTAACTTTGGTGTGTGAGGACCCGTCACCGGGAAAGATATACGATTCCTCGATGTTTGTAATATCGTGCAGCGTGATACAAAGCCCCACATCTTTGTAAACCTTTTTTAATAAACAAAAAAATACCCGTCATCAATATATTATATTACTTTATCAAATATACTCATCTTCTGATTACTTACTTTATTGGCTAGCTTCTTATTTAATTCATCGGAAACGACGTCGTTTAACTTGTATTTAAAATTCATGGGTTGAATCCTGACAGTGTCCTTGAATTCCGCGAGCACAAACATTTTTTGATTTATTATCGTATCACGTCAAAATGCAAAATTGTATAAATTTGTTCATGAAGAACCATTTGTCTCCTTTTATGTTTTTCGTTTGTAGGCTATAACCTCCTGCAAGTTGTGCGCATAATGAAAAACCAGCTTAAAGGACAAATATCGACAAATCGTTGCAGAATGCGTTAATACACTTTACAAACAAAACATAAATATACATAAGTTTTAGCGCATCAAAAAATCCCAGAAGGTAAAGCAAAAACACTGGCTACAGGTCCATTCACTTTGAGCGCACATGTCCTTAACTCTATTCTGCCAGAGAGAAGCCTGAGAGCGGCCAGGTCCATAAAAGAATGTGTAATCACTTTTCCGCCCCGTAAACTAGCGCATGTCCACGGGTGGTACACATTGGAACTACGCAGCCAGTCCACGAGCGACATGTCGGTGCGCTATGTCCACAACGTGCGGTTCTATTCTGTGCTATGTGCACGCGTCCAAATGGTCACCTTCTTCAGGCGTGTCAGTATATTCGAGAGCGTGGATTTGATTTCTTTTGAAATTTAAAATGATCGGTCTCGTGATGAGAAGATACGAAAGGAGAACAGAAAAGGATTAAAAAAAAAACATTGCAACTTTCCACACAACATAAATGTGATATACAAGAAAAGATGTGATAGCGAAGAAAATAATATTATTCTAGCGAGCAGCATCAGAATTCGTGGAGTGTATCATCTCCTTTTGCATCATCATTTGCTGCTTTTTGCTTTATAAATTTTATTTTATTTTTTCAAAAATTACATATATACGTATAAATACAAATTACACAAAAAGAAATGTTATATTACACAAAGGTGTTTTGCCGGTACACAAATATATACGTCTGAAAAGTTGCAATTCCAAAAAGGATATCTATTAATCTGCTTTATTACAATTCTTTATCAGTGTGTTTTCAATTTTCAAGTTTCATTTTACAATTTTTTATACATTACACTAGAATACAATAGTTTACATATATTACATACAACATACAATATAATACAATATTATACAATATACATAGTATATATAATCCTACCTACCTACCTACCTATCTTAGACATCTGACATATCTTAAACGTTACTAGCCTTATTAATTAGGATTAAGGCTGCGTAACAACCTTGATCCTAATTTGACATTTTGATTTCTTTCTACTTATTCGGTCTACCATATTTCCTACCTACCCGGCCTAATATATTTTCTACAAGCGCTTGTAGATACGCATCCCTACCTACACAGCCTATACCTATTTACCTACCTACTTCGAAAAGTTTTAAACTCTATCAAATATTTTACGCGAGGGGCAGTTGTTTTAAA